GAGAGAGGGAGAGAGAGAGAGAGAGAGAGAGAGAGAGAGAGAGAGAGAGAGAGAGAGAGAGAGAGAGAGAGAGAGAGAGAGAGAGAGGTGCGTCATTCCCTGGGAGCTGTATTTTTATTTCTACAAAAATATTATCATTGTGTTCCGCAGCGACTGTACCGTGCGCTAACTCCTCTTTACAGAATACAAGCGCGCATAATTGTTGTCATAACTTTTACGACTAATAACCGGATTTTGAATTTCATTCAACTAAATGTTTGTTGGCTCGCAATACCCAACATAATCCCAGAAATAAAATAGTACGATTTTTTTCAATTCGACCACGACGCGCTGAGGTTCGCGTTGAGAGATCTATTTGTTTGTGAAAAAAATATGAATGGACTAGGCAGCAGAGATCAACAGCGATGTAAATGTAAATGAAAAAGGCAGAAAAATACGGGCATCGAAAACGAAGCGACGAGGATCGGGCGCGATGGGGTAGGGCGAGGAGGAACAACGTGTAAATTGAAATTCGAACGCGCGGCCTGCATTCGCACGGAAAATTGTACTTTTATCGAGGTGCGACTAGTATGGGTGCGAACCGGGAACGTCGCAGCAGAGGGGTCAAGTACTTGATAGGTCGTCTGAGCTGCATCCGGGCAATATCGTTCAAATTCAATATCCGCAAAACTGAAAATTTGGCCGGCAAGCGAATGCAAGCGCTCGCTCGCGTCACTTGCTACTTCAGAGCTGCAAGGTGGTTTTCCTTCACGCGACAGCCTGACAAAACAAATTCTCGTCCTTGCTAAAACGTGTAAAAGCAGAGAGGTAGAGAAAGAGTGAGAGAGTGAGAGAGAGAGAGAGAGAGCTGGCTAAACATTGACGTCGCGTTATTGAGTAGGCGGCGGCGTGTGTGCATACGCGCTACCGCAAAAGCGCTTTCGCGATCGCAATTTGCTTGGAGCCCCAGGGATAATAACACAACGCTGCCATGGCTCGGCGGACTCGGTCGTCAGGGTAACGACGTGCAGATAGATAGAGAGGGAGAACAAGCTAGTCGACTGCTACGACTGCGCCCAATCAAACCTCTGAATGCACGGATTGCGATTCCACGGCACGCTCGAGCTCGCTACTCGCTCGAGCTTACGTATTTATCGAGTGCTCGTCGAGAATGAGACTTGTGATGTTTACGCAGCGTTTAATCCGACCGCGCCAGACAATGCCCGAGTCCTCCGGCTAAAAGCTTCGAATGACGATCGTCCATATGTGCGCCACTGCGCCAAGCAATGGATGATTGCCGATAATTCGCCGCCGGCCAAATTTACTTTGCGCGCGCACAATTGAAAGCTGCCGCAGGAGCCTATGATGAATAGCCACTTGAGTTTGTAGCAGCGCCGAAAATCTCGTCGGAGCTGCCAGCCCTGGGGCTTCGTCCCTCGCGCGACTACGCACCTTCGATAAAACGTCGGAGTTGACGCGACCCGAGAGAACTGCCGATTGTCCGTTATTAACGCCGTCGTCGTCATCGAATAAACGCTCCTCTAGTCGCAGCTGTTTTGCAACTTAGCAAGGCGCGCTCGTGACTGAGAGCTGTATAATCGCGGCTGAGTGTGAAAGCTCGTGCGAGCGGAATTGGATTAAACGCGCGTTTATCGGTCTCGCGCTCGCGTACACAATATGCGTACACGCGCTCGGTTGCGTGCGCGCTTAAACAAATTCACGTAAACGAATTCCCCAAGGCTCGATATACTCATTATGACGCTGCTTTCTTTATCACCCCCCAACCTCGCTTCCTCCCTTTCCGCTCCCTCTCGCTTGTGGCAATTAGTAGCGCACAAGTGCATGATCAGCCCTGTGGGCGAACTTTGCTTTGCCAGCTTCATCTCTTTTTCAGCTCAGCTGTTTGAGAAATGTAATAGCTCTTGCAAAAACGGGCAGAATTTGCCGAATAAGCTGGTGGCTTGCACGCGAGCTCTATTATTCAGCGCGCCGTAGTCGCGCAAACAATAGGGTCGGCGCCTCCTCCGTCGCCCCGTCGCGCATATTTCATCAGCTCAATTATCATTCGCCCTCTGAAAGCGCGAGGTGAAATAAAAGCCACGTCGAGAGAATTAAATTGGGCTAGTTATTTTTGGTCGATCTCACGCTCATGGCGAGGCATGCGCGCGCAGGAAAAGAAACAGACCATAACGTAATCGATGGAAAATGAGCCCCCCCCCCCCAAGTACCTCGTAGTTGTGCATGCACATCAGTCTCGGCGAGATATCAGCGATTCCCGGAATTCCGCCTCCAAGACGGAATGCGCAAGCACGTCAGCGTGCCCCGCATCACTCGATTCGCCCAGCCATTGTAATATGCGCAAACAATTGGACTCTATGTCTTGCGCGTTCTTAGATCAGTTTGCTCTCTGTCTCTCTCTCTCTTTCTCAAGAGAAAGAGAAGATCATTCGATAGAGCGTACACTCGCGCTAGACTGATTTGAACTGCGCGGGCTCTGGCCTTGCTCGAAGGACAAAGATAAGACGCTCGCTCCTTTGTCGTACAATTACCAGCTGGCTATTATTAATTTAGATTTTCGACATTGATAGCACATAGGGCTGAGAAATCTTTGTCCACCACTTCTGTTTTGTATCTTATCTGGGATTATTTATCGGGAATGTATATTACCGGTGAATCGAAAGACATCGGTAGCAATATATTTTAATCTAACTTGTAACCGGCATATTTGTTATTCGTAAAAGGGAATCCATGTTCCATCGGATTCGTCGAATCAGCATCGAGTGGAAGAATGTAAGAGCTGAGAGCAACGGCCAGGAGATCGTACATAACAACTTTAACGTCTCAGTACTGATTAACTTTTCAAAACCACATCCAACATCCAAAAAGTTATTCAGGTTATAGCCCTGAATAATGATCATTTATTGATGGCACGTAGTGGAAGCGATCGAGATTCTGTTAAAGCTTTGCATGCGAAATGCCATATGAGAGAGAGAGAGAGAGAGAGAAATAAAGAGGATACAGGGGTAAATCATCGGAGCAACACAATTTTTACGCGCTCGCGCGAGTGACATGGAAGCACAATGATCGCGATGGCTTTCCTAATGAAATATTTGCTCCGGTGAGCGAAATCGATTTCGAAAAACTCATCTATCCGTCTTCTTTTTCATAAGGTTGCTTTCGTATAAATTGGATCGGCTGCTGCTGCTGGTACTACTGCGAAAAAGAAGGGAAAAGTCTTTCTCGCTTTCGTTTTGATTCGTGCAACTCAATTGCACGAGAAAAAGGAAAGCTTTATCATTTACTCGGCGACGGAGACATTGAAAAAGCAAGTTCTAGATGAATTCCCTGCGCCGTTGCGTGTGGCGTATGAAGCTTTTGTGTTGTCCGTGACGACGTTATTGAATAAGCTTGCAGCATTGGCACGTCACCGCGCGGAAATTACAGAAATAAGTGGGAAAGCACGCAGGTGAAGAATGAATTCGTTTATTGCCGAAAGCTCTCTCTCTCTCTCGCTCCTTCCCATCACTGACTTTTTTAATCCTCTCGCCAGTTGCCAACTCGTTTCCTCTCTCTCTCTCTCTCTCTTTCTGCCGTTAGCGCTGGCGGAAGGTCTTGAGTGGGTTTCACTAGGAATTCCGAAAGAGTTGATTATAGCCGCAAAACAACTGAGCCGAACGCTGTAGGGTGAAACGCCCATTCCAGGTTTTCTCCATACTCATCCATTATCCATCTGTACCCGGGAGGCAGAGAGGGAAGAGGGGGGTCACGCAGCGCGAAATTGAGAGAGCTGTGCAAACGTATGCGCGCGAGTAGCGCGTGGACAGCGAAATGGGTGACTTCCTATTTCACTTGGCGTTTGTCTTTTCTCTATTAGCCTAGATTTCTGGTGCGAGCGCGTCTCCTCGCGCCTGGCCTGTCGAGTTACGAACGCGTACGCCAATGTGTGGGCGTTCATAATACCTACGCGGCGGCAGACGCGAGTCGAGTGCATTATGTGAGTGCCGCTAACTCGCCCGGACGCTCGTTCAGCGTTGCAAGAGGCCGCCGCCTCGCGAGTTTATGCTTTCCAAATTTTAGCACTACCCTGTCGTGACAGTGCCACAACGCCAGCAGCATCAGTAGCAGGCCGATACATTACTCTCGCGCCGGGAAATCGTGAATTATCCGCGCACGCGTTTCGCGGCTTGCTCATAAACTTGTAATTACACGCAGGTCCTCGTTTGTATTTTGGATTAATAGTTGCGATGCGCGTCATTGCAATGTGCGCCCCACCCATCCCACTCACTTACCCCCCGCCCGCCGCGCTACTTTTGATATTCATTGCAAATAATAAACGTTTCGGTTAGGTCACCATCCCCTTATAAAATATCGTAAAAGGTAGAAGTTGTGATTTCTTTTTTCGCGCTCTGATGATTACGCGAAGTATTGTTCGTTGGCGAAGCACTGGCGGCAGTGAAGAAAGCGAGGGAGATTATAGAAAGAGCTTTGGTCAGAGCAGTAAAAGTTAGGAGCACGAAAAATAGCATCTCTCAAGACAATCGTAAGATAAAGTTCGAGAGCGCCGTAAACGTCGCCAAACTTATCTCTTGCTCTGCTGTGTTCTCTCTCTTTTTCGCACCAGCCTGTCGCGGTCGTGAGAAAAAAATGAGAATAATTCTCGCGACATATAATGCGTCTGTGACGCGCCCCGCCGCGTCGACACTCATGCAAATCAATGCGTGCGCCAGAGAGAGAGAGAGAGAGAGAGACAAAGTGTGTGTGTGAGAGAGAGAGAGAGAAGAAGAAAAGAAAACACGCGACACGCCCGCTCGACAACAGGTACAACGTCGTTGCGAAAGCGAACGCTTGAATGAAAACGAACTGTCGTTCAGCGAGTCGGGATTTGTGATACACAAGGTGACTCAGGCAGACGATGATGATTATGACGACGACGATGGCGATGGTGACGACGACGGGAATATCAGTGATGGTAACAACAAGATAATACATGCTCTGGTAGTCTGACTGAGTGCAAAACGTACGTTCGTCTTTCGAGACTCTGGGTCAGTGATAGCTTATCCTCCGGCAACGACTCGAGGCGTAGGGCCGCCACCTCGAGCAGTAGGAGGAGTGGTACCCTTCGGTCTGGCCGTGGTGAGTGTGCGCGCTGCTACTACCGGTCACTGGTACTCCTCCATTCTATCTCTCTTTCTCTCCCTCGATCGTTTCTTTCTATTGCTCGGCCGATCAGCGTCCGCTTTTATCTCGCTTGTTCGACTGTTTGCGCTTAGCCAACGAGGACTCGGCGAGACATTTGCGGCGTGACCGCAAGAGCAACCGATCCCAGCAAGCACTCTGCTCACGTCGCTGCGGGGATCGCCGTTCTCGGTCGATAGAGCGGCCGCGGCGAAGCCACGGGCAGCCAGCGGCAGACTGGAGCCGCGCGGGCGCCTCGCCGAGCATTTATAACTGCGCGGTCGGCGAGCGCCTGCGCGAGCTTGCGCCCTGAGCCGAGAGCCGCGCACTCGCGCGTCTTCGCCGTGCACACGTCACGCCTGTTTTTATTTTTCCGGCCCTTTCCCCTCCGCGCGTCAATTTTCAATCATCCCAGCGCCCGTCGATATCTAATAGACGCTGTCTCCCGCGCTCTGCGCTGCCACCGCAGCATCGCCGATTATTGGCCTTGCAGTTTCTTCGACTGCTGCAGATTTCCCATGCAGATTTATACAATAAGAGCCGCTACTCTTGCCCGAACTGCGCGACGAAAAAGCATCCCTCGATTTATGCGAACCCTCCTCGGTAAAAGTCGATGGCGCCTCACGCGCTGCGTGCGCAGTCGACAATCCTCCTGCTCGACTTTCATGGAATAATTACGAAAGCCCGCGCACGCCTTTGTCGCGTTGCTGCAAGCCTTTCTGAGCGCCGCCACTGACTCGATGGTCTTTATCTGGATTTGCTATGCCGCCACGTCGCTAACTGGCTTCATCGTCTATTAGCGACTGAATTTCTCTACTCCCTTTTGCTCCGCTTGCTGCTTCCATGACATGCCTGATTGAACGACGTTCACTAACACTGGCTTTTATTGTTGACAAAACAAAATTAGCTTATTATCGTTGCGACTGTGTTTCTTCTCGTGTCGATTTTTCACAGTCTGTTAATTTTACAAATGCTATTGTACTTATCCTTATCCGAATAAAACTCCTTGTTTCTGCTAATTATTATTAATTGTAAATTAATATTCACGAGACGAGATGATTATAAAGATATATTGCAATGAAAGCTCAGTGAATATCCACCCTGTTAGCAATAAAAAATGTAGTTTTTACGGTTGCTCAATATACATCCTCGTAATCATAATTTTAACGATTGTCATTTTTCATCCACCTGCATTAATCATGTCATCAGAGTTTTAATTAGATACATCTGACAACGTTTACATTAAAGTAATTTAACGAAATCGCTAATAAATAAATTTTATATAAATTATGAGTACATTTTGATATACAATAAAAACCGTAAATGGATGATTTATTTTTATTTCAATTACAGTATGACATACTCTACTCCTATACTTCTTTGTAATAGGAAAAATTATATTTATTGATTCTACACAAATACGTAATAAATATGCAATTCGACTTTTGTTTGTGGATAACCGTTCAATTTCTCAACCAAATAAATTATTATTTAATCCATAAAATTTTGTATAAATATGGATTTGGACGACTCGTATTCATTGTTAGTACTGGAGCAAGTTTAGCCGTTTAGTTCAAAGGAGATGCTGGTTTTTGGAAAATCGTTTATGACTTTAATGATCTGTTTTTAGACGACCTGATGTTTTACTAAAACATCCATCATTTAAGAATATCTTCTATATTCCAATCTCAAACACAATCAAAAGTATATAGCCCACGAAAATTTCATTTGAAAATAATTTTTAAGCTACCAATGTCCACATAGTGAAACATCTTTTTTAAAATAGGAGCAAAGTCGAAGCTGTTGTTAACTTCGATTTAAAACAAATGTATCCTAATTACATTTCGATTACCGCTTTTACGTATAGTAGTTCACAAACCAAGTATTTCAATACGAATTAATTTACTGATTTCATTTAGAACTATTATGATCATTTTGTTATTTTATTCTATAAGGTAAGAAATGACTAAAAATATGCATTTTGATAATCCCTCTCAAGACAAACTCAAAGTGTTATTTTTAACATTACGACAAAGAGAAATTCTATAAACATTGCATTAACATCCGATTAGCCATGCACATTTTACGATTTTATACTTTGCGGAAAGATTGATTTCGATTTTTTCGTCTACGTGAACTATGTTAATTCTATTACTAATATTAGTTGCAATGATAATTTTACTGTGAAAATACTGTGAGGGAAAGATAATAAAATCTACGTATTTATCTGTAAATTTTGTTTTCGAAAACAATGTCTCCGCACTTTCTTCTGCTTTTTTAAAATTCAGGACGTCGTAAGCTGAAACAAAATGCGCACTAATGATTGATTTATCTTCTGCTTTCAGATTCAACATTTTCCAATTATAAAAGCTTTAAAGTTAATTCAAATGTAACGTTTAAAAAGCTTTATAAAATCGAAGATTAATCCATTAATTTTTTTTCCGCATTAATTTCAATGGAATAATTTACCATAAATGTATTCAAGAGTTTGGACGCTTGCCAGTGTTGCAATCTTTTAAATTATTTTGTAGTAATCGAAATAGCTTTTTCATCCCCATTTTAGCATCTTTACCAGCATTGTAGGCCGACATCGAAGAAAGAAGGCGTGTTTTAAAAGTTGAGAAGACCCATTCTTTCCCGATAATTCTGTTGTAAAAGTAAATGTAATGTACTTACATTAATAAAACTATATTATCAGATAACAATTTATTTATATTATATACCGAATGTATATTCTTTTCATTTAGAGATGTGTTCACAATACTAGCGCGAGAAATTAATTTGAGCCTAGTGTGGACGTTTGCGCTTGAGCGAAGTTAGGCTGAAGAGATTTTCCAACACGACGTGTGTGGGATAGGATTTTTAATATTTTCGATATCTCGAGCGTGTAAAGTCGAGTACCCACGCACGGAATGTCGAAAGTATGTTTTAGTTAGTTTAAATACTAGATTTAAATAATTAACTAGTTGCCAGTGTAATAATACTGAGCTGCTCTACAATTTTTATCGTCGGTGAAAAATGATAAATGTTTATAGCAAATAATGAAATAATAAGCTTTGCTTTAAGAATAATACCTTCTTTCTAAGTGCAAATGGAATATTATCATGTTCATTTGATTTTGGTATTATTGACAATATGATTATTCGTCTTATATATTATATTAATTTGAATTCAAATATGTCTATGGAGGCCAATAGAATTCAACAGATGATTTTCCTAACCTCAAAATTATTATCATATATTATATGCGGTCTATATTGTGTATAACTTTTTGGGTTTGTTAATGATTCGAACTAAAAAGTCAATTTATACGCAGTATTCAAAAATTATTCATCACATTTTATAATTAATGAATAGTAAATACAATGGAAACTGTTGGTTATAGTTTGGAATTGGATGAGTTGACAAATAAGCAACTTAGTGTTTACTTGTATCAAAATGTTAATAATATCGAAGAAATACATAAAAAGCTCGTAAATAAAGAACTTCCATGTTGTATTGTGAAAGCAAACTTAGTGATTGATCCTTTTCAAATCGCTATTGCTGCAAATAGAGCAGCATTAAATGAAAAGTATGGACAAATGGTCACAAGAAGTTTGTTTACAGAAATCATTTATTGTTTGTCAACGTCTAAAAATATTTCTCAATCGTTAAAAAATTTTGGGATTTCCAGTGTTACTAAGAACGTTTTAGTTGTTTTAGTACACAGTAATCAAGAAAAAGAACCAATGGAAAAGCTCATCTTTGAAAGTATAGAGGGTGAAAGGTTATTAATTAAAAGACTCTCTGAATTTGCTGATATAAACTTGATTAAAAATATATATAAAATAGAAGCAGAAGAATTGAAAGTTTCCAGTTTACTAGACTCAATTATAAGTAGAATAAATGATAAAGTATCAAAATAAAAAGCGGAAATTTTAGAATGGTGTAAAACAAAGGTTTTGTATAAATAAAATTATTTTGAAATTGAAAATTTATTATTTTCTTTCACTTTACGTATGTGAATACAGTGTTTATTATTTATCTTCCTTCTGAATACCAATGAAAAATTGAGAAAAAATCATTTTAATATTATAGCAAAAACATTTGTAGCCACACATTAAATTACAGATTAAGGTTTTTTAACCTTGCATAGTTGAATCCATATGATGCCTTTCTTTCTTCTCATATCACAGTTTTATTTCTTCATGTTTTTCTTTTTTATTATTAAAAATTTCAATAAGAACGCTGAATGGCTAGTTATAGTAATCAGTCATTGGATGCTTATATATTTCTATGCAGCTGTAAGCTTTGTTTCCTTGACTTTATCTTATTGAAAATTCACATCGTCATTCTAAAATTTATTATGTTAAATATTAGTAAATAGTATGAATGAAGTTTTAATGAATTCATTATTTTCATACATTTAAGGTTCAATAATTACAACACGAATTGTCTGAATAGCATTTGCCTAAATATATTGGAAATGGAAAGCCAGTAATCTTGTAATTTTATAGTTTTCAGGAGAAAATGTATAATAAAAATGTCATTTACAAACAAACATTGTTTTTAAATAAGATAAGTGTAATGTAAAAGAATGACATAATTTTAAATGGATTATAGCAATTTATTAACCAAAAATGAAATCAAATGAAACACAAATTTTGAACATTTGTCTCTGCTCGATATAAAAACAAATTGGTAAAATGTTATATAAAATTATTTTCAAGTGCATGTATTACGGATACAATTTAATCAACACAAAATTTATAAATGTATATATTGAAAAAGTTAGTTCCAAAAGGATTCTTACTCCAAATTCTTGCACATTAATTACGACATTAATAAAAAATTCACCTCGGCAAACTACACATATCACATGTGCTAATATCAGCAGGATTGAGAAAAGTGCAGTGTGAGCATGTCCACAAAGTTTGTTCAGCTCTAGAATCATCTGATGGTACACTTCTGGTGCTACTAGTTCCTACACCTCTAGATGTTAAACCTGATGAATCATTTCCAAACATTGTACTGCGACTGGATGGACCAGCAGATGATGTTGCAGATATAAGTTGTTCAACCGTTGCCCAATGTTCAGAACAAGACCAGCTGGCAGCTTTTTGGCGATCCTTAGTACAAATAGCTTCAAATAGTGGGTCCATATGATCCTAAAAAATTATAATATGGCATGAAATTGAAAAATTCTTTAATATACTCTACCTTTCAAAAATAAATATTTACCTTGAGAGGGAGCATTTCCATGCAAGCAATAAATATAAGAAGATGGAAATCTGACATTGCCTCAAGGAACTGATCGGGACTAAATTGTTGCATGTAAGTGCACAAGGAACTGAATTCTTGAACTTGTCCATCAATCAACCTGAAAAAATTAATAATCAATCAAGATTTATGATGAAAATTATTTTGTTAATTGGTGATTTCTTAGAAAGATAAAATACCTGTTTTCAACAGGGAATGGAGTAATGTTGTCATTGGCAAAGAAGGTAAATTGAGGCGTTAATGGTGTGGACGCAGGAACGTCCACTAATAAGTACTCAACCGGCAGTGGTCTAGCCAATCTTGAAACTTCGTTGCCATACGAATCTTTTTCCTGCAAAAATTAACAATCATCGATTTTATATTATTAAATATTTGATATGTCTTGATTTTTCTAATTATTTCATCTACTTTCTAACTTGCAGACCGAATCGAAGTTTTCATTCAACCGTTTTAAATTCCACGCCAATAACGAACGCGAGAGATGAACCGAGTGGTGGCGCCACATAGTTTTTTATACCTGAACTATGGCTTATTCTCAAGCCACAGTGGCGCGCATTGCGTTGGAATCGAAATCGGCGTGCTCGCCGCATTCGCGTTAGTTTAGTGATCGTTCGCTGGCAGTGAGCATCTTGAAGTCGTTCCGGCTACATTGGTGACTGTGCGTGTCAACTAACATCTTCGAGAGCATAATTGTCGAGGCTTCGTAATATATACACATACGATAATCTCTTTCGCACGGTAGCAACAAACCGCGAAAGTGTTGCTCTCCTCTGCCTCTTGCTTGGCTTGCGCGCGCGCAGCAAAAAAAGAAGCCTACGTGAGAGAGCGACGCGTTAGCGCAGGCGCTGAGGATATAAAGTGGGCAACGACGACGGGAGAGAGAGCGAGCGAGAGAGAAAGACAGACTGCGCATGTGTGCGTGTAGAGTTGCGCCAGGGAGCAGCAAGTAAGAGTGAAAGAGAGAGCACCGTTGGCTAGTGTGCTTGTAGTAGCGCGGCTATCACATCGTGGTCGTCGCCGTAGTCGTCGCCGTGATCGTCGCCGTAGTCGTTGTTGTCGTCGTCGTCGTCGTTAGCGGCTGCAGCAGATACAAACGAACATCACGGAGCAGTCGAAGATACAGCGGCTGCTGCTGCCGCGAGTGGCGTTGGAAACGCGCGCGCACGGCCTGCCGGAGAGGAGTCGTCTTGCCGCCGCGGCGCCATGCCAGTAGCAGTGGTTAGTGTTTGCTACTTTCAACACTGTTTCGAGTTTCCTCGCGCCCAGGAAGAGCGTTTCACATGTTACGAGGTTAGCGCGTTCGATCGCCGTTTCGGCGGCACGCCACCGCATGTGGAATCTTCCTCGCCAAACGTAATGTCTGTCTGACGACTGTTAGTCTCTGTCTCTGTTGCTCTTTCTCTCTCCTGTGCACGGTGTAAGCGGGACAGAGACGGAGCAATGCGACGCAAACATCGTGATGTGGCAGCCAATCGAGCTAGCGCGTGCTCTGTGTCGAGAAATTACGAAGGGCCGATGTTGAACGTGGTTTTTTCCTTTGTACTGTGTCGTTGTCACCGTCAACGTTCGATTTCTCCGGCGCGCAACCAAAGGAAAACCTACGTCTTAGTCAGTATGTGTGCTTGCGTATATGTGCGCGACGCGCATGTGTGTATGCTAGTGAATGTATGTGTGTATTGAGCGAGGTCCAACGAAAGCTCACTCGGGTGAGAGTTTGTTTTGCCCTGACGATGATTGATCCTGCCAAAAAGTCGCGGGTAATTTTAATCGGATTATTGACGTCAGCCAACTCGATGACGAGGCTAACTGCATCACGCCGCAAATCTGTCACCGGTTTACAACAACGCCACCGCGACCGGTAAACTCGACTCGCAATCATGTGATTCCAAATTTATCTGCGTATTTAGTGTGTTTTAGAGCAACAGATAAGAAACCGTTGTTTTTGTTTCTCGTTGCCCCCTTCGTCCATGTTGCTACGAAACCACAGTAAAAAGGAAGCCAAAAATACCCGAAAGCTAAAGAGCATCAAAACAAAGCTTCGGCAGTCTATTCATTAAATCAGCAAACTTATAAGTCAATTTCTTGGGAATCGGCACGCACGGTCGCTGACGGCGTACTGCGACTGTAACTTGGGCCGTGTCACCGCCGTACAAGATAAACAGAAAAAGAGAGAGAGTATGAGAGAGAAAGAGTGCACGAGAGACAGAAGAGGCGGATGAGAGTGTCGCATCGTCGAGAGCTACGCAGTGAGCTACCTATATACGTTGGTTTTTTTGTTGGCCGCTCGATTCGGCGCTTGTTTCCTCTTCCTCCTCTTCCCTGCCGCTTGCTCGCGCGCACGGCCGCGCATCGATTTTTTTATCTCTCTTTCTCGTGGCGGCGGCGACGGCGTCCAAACGTGTTGGTAGACGCGAGGGGCAGGGGCTTTTGGCGGGATTTCGAGCGCATGCGTGTCCCGGCCAGCGTACATACCGCCGCAAATGTCATCGGCAGACGACGCGACACTGTCTCTGTCGAATGAAAGAATAATCACGGTAGCTTTCCTTTCAAAGTATCGTTGACTTTCCACCGGCCGCGCGGAAAATGTCTGAAACACGAGATATCAATTGCGTAACAATAGAAAACGAAAAAAATTACAAAGGGACCGCATTGCTGGCGTGTGTTGTATGCGACGACGACTTTGTTCGATTGATTCTGCGGTTCAGTGATCTGCTTACGAGGAATGCAGCCGTGTTTTTTTATGAGATAATTATTATGTACGGTCGGTAGGAGACTTTCCACTGTGGTCGCGGCTTTCGAGTCACCGTTGATCGGCGAGAACGAGACTGTTCACACGCTGGGATTTCGTATTTACGCGGCTGCGAGGCAAATAGACAGGCGCTAAATAAGACATTAGACTTCTTCGACCAGTGCTTGTCAAAATGAAAGTACTCATAATAATGGATTTTTTAGGAAAAGTTAAAATCTCGAGTCTAGCCTCTACAAAATATAGGCTAAGGTAGCGGAAATGGAGTAAATCGATTGGTGTAAAAAGTAATAATATTTGCAGATGCTGGATCCGAACGTGTTGACGGACCTCGAGGAGCTGACTCTGTGCGGGTACTGCAAGCAAAAGTACAATGACACCGAGCAGTGCCCGAAATTTCTGAGCTGTAAGCATTACTTTTGCTTGCGTTGCATCGAGAACAACCTGCTCAAGGGTCGCGAACTGTTCTGCGCCCATTGCTGGAAGAGAACGGAACTCGGCGACCAAGGGCCCGACGCCTTGCCCACCCACTCGCCATTGCTCGCCCTTGCCAACAACTTCTCGCACCTGAAGGTCAGCCAAAACAATGTCGCCGGACAGCCGACTCCACCGCCGCCACAGAAACCCAACGACAGGGAGAGAAAGGTAGAAAAACGCGCACTCGTCGACGTTATTAGCCTTGGCATCTTTCGGTTTCATCGCGCAACCATGCATTTTTAATAACTCGACAAGTCGCGAAGTCGCGCGTGGAGCATGGCAACATTTTTCTCAGTTATGTAATTCGCTATAAATGATATACGCATTGAACGACAGAGAATGACACTGCTCGTTTGCGTGCGATTTTCTCGCGATAATTGCGCGAAAGAGCGAACGCCACAAGTGCGAAGCCGTACAGCGACGCTGTAGCGCCATTGCTGTAACGAGCTTATGATGTAAGGTCATGACAGGACGCGCACTTCGTGTTACTTAAGAACGTTTGAAGCGAAGCGTCGATCGGATTGTTGACGTGCCGCGATCTCAATGTGTTGCAGAGCGAGAATTGCCATACCCACGGTATGCCGCTGGCGCTCTGGTGCGGCACTTGTTGCACGGCGCTCTGCAGGGCCTGCGCTACGCCCCAGGAGCACCCCGGACACCAGATTAAATCACAGACTGATGCCAAAGAACAACTCAAATCGGATGTAAATATGTGCAACTTTTCAGCCATCGCTCAACATTCAAACTGATGAATTATTCCCTTTAACGAATCACTATTTTCCGATCTTCTCCAGGTTCAAATGGAATTGGCGGCGATGAGCAAGCTCTCCACGGAAATCAACCGGCTGCAGATGCAACAGCGCGACTTTTTGATGAAAGTCTTGGAGGCCTGTATAACTCTGAAAGCCCACGTGGAGACGGACTTGCAGAACAGCGGCTGGAGCCACCCCGCCGAGGTAACAGATGCGCGCGAGACCTTCGGTAAGGCCAAGACATCGCTCCAATTATCCGACTGTCCCGCCGAAGTCTACTCCCTCCACACGGAGATCATGCTCGAGAAACAGAGACTACAGACCAAGTACCAGGAGATGATGCTGCAGTGCCAGCTCGACGATCTGATCGGCAATTCTGGGGTGATATTCGATTTCGCGCTGCTCAAACAGGCAGTCGCGGGAATCCACTCGGGTGAGCCGCTGATTGCCCAGCAGATCGGCAACGGCGGTCGCCTGCCCAACCACGCGACTGCTTCGCAGAACCCTATACTCTTCCTTGCCAACTACTGCATGTCTCAGCTGTACTCGAGGCACGTACACGAGGCGACTACGCGAACCAAGCAACACTTGCAGAATGGGTCGATAGAGTACCACATGCTGCCGCAAGTAGCGGGCGCCGTTCACGTGAGCCCCTCGGGAGCCACGGCGGCGCCGCCACCCTCCCAGCAGAGTCAGCCCCCGCAGGTTCAGCCGCAAGCCCAGCAACAACCGCCGCCGCCGCCACAGCAACAACAACTACTCATATCCCCGGGCTCGCCGTCTCTCAAGCCGAGCGTAGCCGCGCCCGTTCCCAATGCTATTCTCCAGCAGAGTGCGACAAGCTTCATCAATGCCGCCGAGGCCGCTGCTGTGGCCAATAGTGCTGGGATCGTAGGTATGCATTCGCCGCAGCAGGCTCCGGCAAATCTTAGAGGACCATCCAACCCCTATCCTATGTATTACTTCAACATCGAGGTGAACGGCTCACCCTACGGACGCATCGTCATCGAGGTGCGACCCGACGCTGCGCCCAAGATGTCCAAGAATTTCAGCGTACTCGCGACCGGCGAGATTGGCTACGGTTACAAGGGCTGCACAATCTTTCAGTGCTGGGAGGGCGAGAGTGTGATTACCGGAGACTTTGAGCTGAACAACGGACGCGGCGGCAGGAGTATCTTCGATGATGGATACTTCATGCCCGACGACACTAAGTTCCCGGCGGTCAGGGGAGCGGTAGGCATGAGAAGAACGCAAAAGAGACACGACAATCTCGGCATGGTGGGCTCGCAGTTCCGCATTATACTCCAGGAAATGAGAGGTTTCACGGGAATTTTCGGCCACGTGGTCGAGGGTCTCGATCTTATCGAGACGATTTCGACTTATGGCGATCAGACAGGCAAGCCCACCAAGACCATCCTCATTAACAAGTGCGGCAAGCTCTAACGAAGGCTCGAGCATTACCAGTACTACCATCACCATCACCACCAGCAACACGATGACAACAATGGGTTCTTCGCCTTTTAGACGTTTTTTTTTTCTTTTCTTACTTCGCCTTTTTTCTGTTTTTCTCATCACGTGGAAAAACGACGACGACTATGCGTTCCCACGTGCTATAAACTAAGTGAATCGACAAGGGCGAGGGGTTCAAAAGACGAGGGTGTTCAACGATGACGAAAGTTGATGACTGTCAAACAAACAAAAATGCGATCAGTAGTTCAGGTCTTTTCGAAGATTTTTCAAAGCTATTTCCGTGTAATCTCGCGCGTGCGTGCCGTATTTGTCGAATTATTATATATTATTGCTAAGGGACCGGGTTACTTCAAGGGTTTGAGTCCATAATTTTTTTTGCTCTTCATCGACTAAGTCGGGAGAGAAAATTGTGTCGCGCGAGCATTTTGAACGTTTAAACTCTCTAAAAAAAAAAAGTTACAATCTATTTTTAAAGCGTGAACGAGTTTAACGAAAAAGCTGAAGGATAGCGATATTTCGGCGATCGATATCATCGCGAGAAACGTAATTATTGTGAGATATGATGAATAAGGGTGACAAATGTCGATATTTTCCTAACGAAAGCGAGTCAAGTCTATTCGTAACAATTTAATGTTGATAAAGAAAACGATACATATACACTAAAACGTACGCGCATATATACGCATATATATATATATGTATATATATACATATACATATATACACTCAGAAGAGTTAGGGAGAATAAAAGAAATAAAAATGGAAACAAACTTTTATGTCTAAACGCGAACACCGCGAACCTTTTTGGACCGACGCATATACACGTACCTCAGATCGATGCGACTCCTAGTTAGAAAAAAATTGCGATAACTTGTTTTAGCTGTTGACGACGAGAAAAAGATGATAAATTATGAAAAAGCTATACGTTAAGCTCCGAAGTTTATTTTCGCTATCGTGTGTGTACGTTGACATTATACGCGTAATAGTTTAAACGTATCTTCATAAAATTAACGATGCAAGAAAAATAAGAAAAAAAATATTAAATGTCGTGCGTCAAGCGATTAAATGCATGGAGTAGGCGCAAATACCTCTTTGTTACTTTGATCCGATAGTTTTCTCAAGAATGAATTTTTTAATTATCAGTAATATTGAACATTTCCATAGATATCGATATTTTTATTTTGTCATTGGACCACAATCAACTGAAAATGGTGCAATTAATCACAACAGTTAATAATGTTCAAGAAGTATAATAGTTATTTTATAGCATGAATCGGAGGAAAAGACAAGGGTATCAAATTAACAAATGGTATTTGTGCTCCAGAACGCTATTTATAATGGATAAACGTAAGTAAAATTGCTACCCATAGAAGTTAATCGTTAGAAGTACGAGGGAGTAATATGAGTTATTAAGATGACTATTGCAAATGAGAAAAAAATATACATCAGGGAGATCGAGCACACAATACATATATATACAAAAGATATATACAATATATATTATATATATTTTTAGACAGGACTTGTATGTTTTTGGCCGAAAAAATTGCAATCGCGCGTAGCTCGGCGGAAGTCCGAGGAGCCGGTATATAAGAAACAAACCGATAAAATAGTTAAGCTAAGCTCGTATATCCTTCCAGAGGCAAGACATGGATTGAGAGAGCGCCAAGGGAGCATAAATAGAAATATATATATTAAACTAATGTGATCAATACGCAGCGAAATAGTGCGTACGTAATTTAGGTAGACAAAAAAAGTGTATAACCGAAATGAAACCCGTGAGAAAAGGATGTTTGAACGTGTCGTCCCTACCGATCAGCTCTCGATCTAGTTTTGCTCTCCATTAAACTAGCGAGCCTATAATGTTATGACCGCGAATATATAGAAGTGATTATTACAAAAATGGAAAAAAATTAAGAAACACAATGAAGTTAGTAGATTTCACTCATTTACACACATACAAAGCGGAAAAAAGCCAAGCGTTTGTAGGGCAAAACCACTATTTAATCACGTTCAAAGTAAGGCCTAAACTGATAGACAGATAGAAGATTTACACAATTATACGCGTTTTTTTTTCTTCTTCGAGAGTGAACCATAATTAAAAACAAAAGAAAAAAAATTGTCGTGTGTCTTTAGAGTGCATGTTTCACGCAAGTGTGTCTCCGAGTTTATTTAGCATAGGTGCGAGTGATGCTAAAAAAGAAAAAAAGGTATACGTAGATTGAACGCGCAAAAGACGCCCTTTTTGGGTCGAAAACAAGCCTCCTCGTCGAGAGAGTGAGACAAATCTATTATACATAAAAGTAATGGTGTTGCGTTCAGCGAGAACATTTTTTCTGAATAGATCTTGGTTGGAAAGCGATTGATGAAAAAGAAAAATTATGATGTATTCATAAATATTGCAGACGCACGTGTACGAAAGTCTGCGTATTTAACGAAATCATTCCTCGATGCTGTATATCGAAAATACTTCGATTATGTAATATGTTATGTGCTATTCATATGTAAATCCTCGTAAACCCCGTCGTTATTGTACTATATATCACAAAATACGATTTAAACACAAAATGACAAAAAAAGATAATATTGTACAAGCATATTGAAGACGATGAAGCGTTACACAATAAACAAAACAAAGTATAGATATGCCACACTGTATACACGAGTACGTCGCGTTATAGGCTGAACGAAAAAAATTACAAAAAAAAATGTGAGAGAGAAAGCGAGACAGATACTACTGTTACACTACCTATTCACTGTATATTACGAATACATAGAAAGCGCGTTTAAAAACGATTGTATCTATTTAAGTGAACACAATGAAGAGCCACCTTAAACAAAGTCTTGAGTAACGAATGACCGCGTTGGTACAAAGAAGAAATGTGATTTGTTGTTTTGTGATTGTGAAAGCCACGTAATGTTTTGTATCGTTTGAAGTATTTGACAAATAACAAAGGTTTTTTTCAACTTTTTTTGTCGGTATCCAATAGAGAGAAAGTTGATCGTGTAATTTTTCCTTGACATTCCGTAAGATAGTCTTCCAATAAAATTTAAGTTCAACCAACACACAATTTTGTGAAGTAATCTATCTTGTCCATTAGCGGAGCAACTTTTTGCCTCATTATTTCTTTCACGATCACGTCATAGTTTGACGAAACTAAAGGTATATATGAACATGTTTGCGAATTTTCGAGTGCAAAAGCTTTTTGGCCTCAGGACGAGCTTCTAAGGTGGCTCAAAAATGCCGTATAAAAAAGAAATAAAAAACACGTATCGATGCAAGCATATTCTCGCCGAGAGTAGTCGTAGAAAAAAAGAAAAAATCGTCGTGAGAAATGCGCCTTCTAAAGAAGAGAACCTCATTCGATGTTGAACTTAAAAGTTTTAACGCTGTTAATTGTGTATCTGACTAAATGATAATTGTGTATCTCGCGGCACTGTGAGCGATTACGATGAGTTTGCTTATACGAATGCAAAACGACGGAACAGATGAGAACACAGAGAAAAACCTTTGTGTTGAAGTAACCGTTTTTAAGATAAATGTAATTGTGCAAAAGCGCAACATGAAAAGCGCATATAAATAAAAAGTCTGTGTAAAAAATGATAAAAAAAAGCGTTGCTCGAATAATAAGTTTCTCTTCTTGATTTAAATATTTCGTATTATAAACCACGAGAAAAAAAAATGATTCGCGTTAAACGACGAAATATTATCAACTACGTGCACAGTTGTATCCAAAAAAAACCACTGACGATTATTGTAACATGTAACTCAAGACTCTCTTACTCACAGAAAAAGCTACAAAAATTGAACTGTAAAAACAAAAGTTAAATCCGAAAAAATAAGCCACCTGTATATATATTTTTATGAAGTTGACGAAGTAACGCATAGCTTGTAATAAATAACGCGATTTCGAAACCGTTTTCTCCTCTCTTACCGAAACACAACAAATTCCTGTTCTTGGGTGGGACACGCGAATTGTAAAGCGATAAAAAGTATACATATACTATATATGAACGAAGTAACAAACTACAAAGAGCTTTACTTTACACGTATTTTCGTCTTTCTTTTCTCAATAAAAAAAAATTGCTTGTTTTCTACTCTCCGGCGAATCACGAGAGTATTACGATGACCGTAATTATTATATTATACTTTTTGTTCCTGACCTTACGATTATAGGTCGACTCTATAAGCTAACGTGTGAACGCCAGTGGAGCGCATATTCGGTACGAATTAGTTATTTAATTGCGATTCAAGTGTACGCTCGTTACCCAAGTTACTGTACTTTTAGATCGTCAATTTTCAGTTATTAATTCATTTCTTCGTGCAAACAAAGTCGTCTTATTCTTTCCCTAACCTAATCCTTTTTACCGAATATATTGGTAAGTTAATATTAATAATATATATTTAAAATATTTTTTTTTGTAATTGTTCTTAGTTTCTTTTTTTATTAGTAATATCTTATAAAAAAATTTGTTCTTTGAAAAAAATGCATTCTATTATAAAAATATCTTATTATTTGAACAATTACAAAAAGTGAAAAAAATAAAAATCTTACCTTATAGTACACATCTGGAACATACTGCTTATCTGATGATTCAATAACGTAGCCTAGTTCTGGTGCATCCTTTGTTGGCACTAGACATCCATCTCTAACCAACGCCATGCACTGATTAGTTACTTGATATCCTTCCATATGAACTTGATTTTTGTCGTCACCTTGAAATTGCAATAACTCAGTAAATGATTTACGTTTAAATAAGTTGATGACGATCCTGAATACTTACCAGTGACGCAAATGGTTACTAATTTTGAGCCAAAATAACCAGACGGCGAAAAGCGACAAGGATTAGGTATTTTATTTTGTATATGACCAGCCATAATACATTCTTGTGCAGACAAAAAGTGGCTTTCAATATTTCTGACATGTTTTACCTGAAAGAAATGAAAATCGATTAATTAATGCATTTTTCAAGTATTAGAGTAACACAAAGTGTAAGTTATAAACCACTTACTGTGCCTTTCTTAACGTCATCAGCAATGAGATCGGTAAAAATCCATCCTACCTTTTTCAAATTTAAAAACTGAGCTAATTCATCTACAATAGCTTCTTTTTCATCTGGCAACAGAACTATAGAATCTTTCGTACTTTCCTACAATTTTTCAATTGATTAATATTTGAACAATTCATGAAAAGGTCATTAAAATTAATCGCAAATCTAATGACTTTGTTACCTGTGGTGGCTCGTAAATAGCAGCTACAACCGTTTTAATGCCTAAAGGTACATCTGAGTGGATTTCATATCTACCATATAAATAGCCAATGCGCTGATGACCTGTTATGCGCCAATAATTGAGAAACCTTTCGACGAGATGAGCATTTTCGAAAACTACGTTATCAACGTGTCTATAAGTTTGTCGGTTTAGAGTTATAGCGTTAGGCTGACATTTACTACATATTCCCTTAGGCCATGGTGGATGATCCTTACAACCAGTTTTAATACGACAACTTATATCTTCTAACTGCAAAAATTTTCCTCTGCAAAAAGTAAATTTCATCATTGTCTGCAGCTGTAAATATTTAGTTAACTAAAATAGATATTTTATTCTCAGTTTACCTATCTACACCAGCTGTAAGTTTTCTAAGGTAAGAATGGAAAGACATGTGTTTTATGTTTTGAGCTTTTAGATAAGCCTCATCAAAAGGTTCTAATGGTGAACAATGCACACAACAAGCATTAGCTCCATGTCGACAACTGAAAATTAAAAGTATAATGTAAATGCAACAAGTACAGATTTTGAAATGAACAAATAACTGGTAATTAGTGGGAATAAAAAACCGTACAATTTTTCGTCACGTTTTCTCTGTATTTTTCCATTTAATTTCCACAGTTGCTGATCTACCTCATCTTCTACGGGAGTTGATAATGGTCGTGCAGAGTTATTCATAATTGGCTGTCCTGGAGGTCCTTTACTAGTGCTTGGAGTAATATCCATTGGTTCTGTTACATATTGAAAATAAAAGTTTAAAATTCTATTGAAATTAAGCATACAAACATGGGATATTTTAAATAATTTTATAGTGATTTTATTAAAAAATTTATAAATTAAACAAGATATAAAACTTTAACAATGTTATGTTATTAACACTATTGGAAATAATTAAAAAAACATTATCAGATATTTTTTTATAAATAACAATAATAAAATGTCTTTACTAAAAAGTGTTATACCTATATTTCACTACATGACTTGGCATAAATGAACTTTTAAATATTGTATAAAATGTATTCATTAATAATGTATAACAATCTTATTAGTATTTTCATTTTTAAAATATTATTACAATATGTAGACTACAAAATTTAAATATTTCTATTAAACACAAATTTATAGTTCTTGTTTCCAGAGCAATTTATGGTTTTTAGGTTATTTATTCTTATATAAATATTACCTGAGGATACATTATTGGAGGCACTACTGATTGATGGGGTATCCCAAATAACTGCACCATTCACAGGTGCCAAATATAACATATCTCCATGTTTTAGACCTGCACTTTGAATAGTTTTACTGCAAGATGATATAAGTTCATCTTTCTGATTGCGTTGTTTATAAAGGCCAAATCCAAAACTTCGTAAGTCGAATGCATCATGAATCTATAAGAAAAAAGGGAAAGATATTAAAGTATATTTAAAATTGAATTTATTTGCAATTTTATGATATGACATTACATTAAAATTAAGCAATAACTGAATCTTTCATCATGAGCAAAATTTACTGGATTTTTAAGTTATGATAAAATTTATTTTCTTAATTGAATATACAGCCGATTAATAAGTATTTCGGTGTTATTCAAATGCCTATTAGAAAGCTGATTTCTTATTCAACTCCAATACTAACCTTTAAACTAAATCAAATATATACTTTATATTTTAATTATTCATTTGTAAATATTTATATCGTTTCTAATATCAACATAATATTTAAAAAATAAAGTCATTATATTTAAGATGAATATGATTATCTAAACAAAAGATATTATACAAAGTACTCTTATTAAACCGTATAAAATTTTAATAGAAAAACTTTGATTTGAGATACCTATAAGTAAATTATTATGTTAATAAGCTTTATACGTGTTTAAAAGGAAAAAGTATTTAGGTGTTAATCAACTAAAACAAGTGTTTCTACTATTGAAATTTAAAACCACTTATAATACAGAATGTTTTAAAAATGATCTAATAATATTTTGATGAAGTAATTTGAAGTCTCTGTTTATGAATTAAAAAAAATAATAGTAAATACCTTTTCAAAAAGCTGAGAGATTGTGTCAGAAGGATATGTCTCGATTCGCTTTGTTCCTTCTGCAGATTGCACACGTAGTATCTGGAAAGATTTTTCAAGATCATCTCCCATTTTTATAAGTGATGTAATATTCAATCAACACCAGAGTTGAACAACGAGAAAGTTCAATGCTTTCTTTCTCTTCAAATTGACATCTTCAAAACAAACAACTACAAATCATTAAAGGTTAGAAAATTGTTTCAAATTCTAAATACGCAATTTTTAAACGCAAAGTGACGGTTCACTAAACGTAGCCTCAAAATCCGAAGTTTATTCGAAAGATTCGAAAAAAAAACAATGAAATTCGACTTTTGTTTGTAGTGCTAAGTGTTGTTTAGAAACACTGTAGTAACTTTCGCGTGGCAGTGTTTCCACGAGCAGCAGCCATGCGTCGTCGGCGGTGATGATGATCAGCAATTTTTCTGCAGTGAATGATTTATCGCCACCAGCGACGACGCTGCCGAGCTCGTAAGATTGCCTTCCTAATGATCCTTATAAGCGAATCCTGGACTTACAATTTGCTTGGACTTTGACATATTGGTGAGTTCTGTTGCCCAGCATCAGCTGTTTTTCTCTCGTCGTTTCTCAGCCTTCGTTCGAACGCGCTGCTAGCTACCGAAATGTCCCTAGCAGCTTGTCGTGTGCTCGCTTGAGCAGCTGTATTTTTCTGTCTTCTACGATCAGACGCTGCCACCACTACATTTAATCCAAAGAATGGAAATTTTCTTGGACTTATTTCTATTCTTCTCTCTCTGTCTCTCTCTCTCTCTAAAAATATATAAATTTATATTTTTAGTAAACTTTAAAGTTGATTCTTTGAATTCGCTAATTATTTTATATAATACTTCTATTGTAATCAGGAACCACATATATTTGAAATATCAAAGATAATCTCGATTAGTACTTTCATTATTATCCTTTGGATAGCCTATAGATTTGTCATTTGTTAGTCATATCGGGTATTCAATTTCAAATCAAAATTTGAATAGAAAAAAAATTGTTTTATAAATATACTGTGAATAACTTATTATTTTGGAGCTAACATCTATTTTTCTAAGATAACTATATGATATTGATTGGAATTTTGAAAAGCATAATCTTTCATTATAGTAAAATACGATATTTCAATTATTCAAATTAATATAGACATAAACACCCATTACTCTGAGTTTTTTATGGCTTATAACGAAACATAAGAGGAAATTAATTTAGTAGTAATTAATTAATTTAGAGACAAAATAGTTTAGAAATAAAAGAAACGTCGATTTGATGCTGAATTATCTAAATTAATTAAAATATATAAACACTTTTGCAGTGCACGGTAGAATAACGAGAATGTAAAAAGGGTAAACACAGAATGGCTATCTAAGAAGATGATATCTGCGATTCGGTTTCCTATAGTCCTATCTTCTTTCTAACATTTATTTCCGCTTTGATTCATGCATTAGTCTGAAAGTCAAAGCTCCGCTGCAGATCAAGAGAGTGTATGTATATATATACACACACACATGTATGAATGCAAATGCCATTTATAGGTATATTCGTAATTGAAAACAGAGTTCGCATATCGATATATCGGATGATAGTTACCATGAGAGAAAGCGAGAGAGTGAGAGGGAGAGAGTGAGTGAGAGAGAGAGAGAGAGAGAGAGAGAGAGAGAAGAGAGAAAGAGCGAGTACGAGAGAGGAGAGAGAAAGAGACATAGAAAGAGACTGATAGAATAGCATGACAGGTGTTAGCTTGAAAAGAAAAAATTTGCAATGAAAAAGTACATATATACTTAACCTGGTGCGTGCGGCTATCAAACTTGTTGGAAAAACTATCAAGTCAAGCGTAACCACGGGGTCGAGCATTAAAGCCCGTTAGCACTGCAGCTATACGAGCGGTCGTGCGAGCGACAAAGACGGGCGAAGAGCGAGACCCGAGAATTCAAAGAGCGATAGCCCACGTCAGACCTATCCTAACCTAAGGACATATGTGCATCGCGCGGCGCGTATTGCGTGCTGTCATCGTCCACATAACGCCCATAACCTTCAAGCTGCAATCTGTTGAGGCAACAACACTGTACGTTTTGCTGATTTTGGAACTCCTGACGGATTTTACGCGACAATGGCAAGTAGCCACTGATTCATCACAGATTTATTTACGATTTCGGAGTTCGCGCGGTGTGTGTTGTTTTGTTTCTACCAGACGCAGACTGACGGTGCTGCAATAGCCAATGACACTATCATTTTCAGGCACATCATTCTTTTTTTGTTTGTTTTCTTTTCCGCAAAATCAGTTGCTGTGGTAGGTCAATAAAGCAATATAAGTATATGGCGAAAATTTAAGTTGCTTCTGCTAGAAACTTAACGCGTGTTTGGACTACGAGCAGACGAAAAAGTGAGGCGGTAGCAGTAGTTTACTTCCTTCCGCATAGGAATTCGTTTAAAAAAAGTTAGCTGATGCTTTTTCTCCGTCTCTCCTGCTGAGATTTTACGTGGGCGTAGTCGCGTTTCTAGACCGTTCTCTTCTTCTTACTATAAACGCTTTCACTTCTTTATTGCTTGTTGCAATTTTGCCAGGTAATGCCGTCACGCGGTTGCCCCTTTACTGCGATGACCAGTCTGGCTTCATTGCTTTGTTGGTGGCCACTTTCATGATCTTAAACTTTCATATCTTTGATTAATTCTAATAATATTCTTTATTGTTGATTTTTTCCATTGAAAATTCAATTACTAGCTTTCCATGAACGCTTTCTGTGAATATTGTCATTCGATCTTTGATTTTACGAATAAAAATTTACATTTTAAAAGAATGTTTGAAAAAATAATAAGAGAATCAATTTAAGTTTCAAAGGAAATCCTTGTTAATTTTTCGTAATTGACTTCGTGCGTCAATTACACAAATTCTTGGCGAGTTCATACCAAGAAAAAGTAAAAAAAAATGAAAAACAAGCAATAATCAAAATTAGCTGACGAATTTGAAGGATGTGTTTCAATAGGATAACGCCAGATGTTGATTGAATTCTTGAAATATACACGTGCATCACCTGCCCAAAGCAATGAACTCATCGTGGGCGTGCAGAGCTTGCAGAGTGTAAGCGCGGGGCGCTGCTGCTTACTCTTGCGCGTATAGCTCAACTTTGCCGCTCGAGAATTCACTGATCAGTTGCAGTGGCAGCGGCCGGTGCGTCAAGCCGCTTCCGTACAGTATCTCGACGTTTTTGTTACTTATTTTAGCCACTTTTTACGTCTGACCCCTTTCCATCCCACTGTGCTACACAACTTAGGCTTTCCTTCGCTGTTTTTCTCGCTCTTGTTGTCACAGCTTCAGGTATGTCAAAGCTTCTTTCATTCTTTGCTTTCACTTCATTTATATCCATTCTCTTAGTGTTTGATGCTGCAAATTTTGCTTGGAAGTGTTTTTCTCTTTTGATCGATAAGTTGCCGAGGTTTTAAACTTTGTGTTTTTCCGAGATGGAAGAAAATGCGGCTTACGTAAATGCACGTTTCTGTTGACGCGCAGCTGTTTTTAGAGTACAATTGATTACTCTGTTTTGTACCATTATTTTTCGCGTGGAATTCTCCTTGCCCGATATAAGTCGCTGGAATATTTATCAGCTCGGTGCAATGACACGCCAGTTTAAAGAACATTTCTTTTTAATAAAAAAAGAATTGTTTGTTGATCTCTTGATAGCGGTAGTGCATTGTGTTGTTTTTGGCAAGTTAAATCAACTGCAACGTTTTTAAATTTTAATTTTTTTTTATAAAGGCAGTATTTTGAAGTTTTAGTTATACTTAGAAAATGAAAAATGGCAAAAAGTTTGCGCTAAAGTAATACTTGTCACTTCCTTTCATTTTTTAACTTTTTTCCCATTCGCTTTGTATTATTGAATCTACCACATCTATATCACAAATCTTTTTCACTTAAACGTTCTGTCAGTCGTTTACTAAATTTAAATGCTCTTTTGCCTACTTTACAAATACCTCGATGAATACTTTAAATATAACACTTTCAAAAGAAAGTTCCAAGGTTACAACCTTGAAGATTTTCTACTGTAATCACTCAAACGATTCAAGTACTTCCGTCACTAAATTTAATTTTAGACTTGTTCTACATTTGAGTGAAGAAATTTCTATAATACTGAATAAATGAGTTATAGAATGACAATAATTGACGGTTAAAAATAATCATTTTAACTATGTGTAGGAAAAATCAACTTCTTCGTAAAATTTTCCACGATCCTTAGTAAACAAAGAGTAAGTTCGCCACCCAGTTATACGACCCAAATCTCGATTTCAAAAGTCAACGTGACCGCGTGTAGAACTCTGGCCTGTGTGCGAGCGTTCGCTCTTCCTCCGCGAGAGCTTGCGGCGCTTTTGGGAGTCAGATATGAGCGTATGGAACGTGCGACGATCAAGCTTCGCAGTCGCAAAGAAAACTCAGAGAGAAGACAGTGGAATCGGGCGCATTGGCTGGCGAAACGCTCAAAACTCCGATATTACTTCCTGTGATAATAAAAGTCTGATTCGAATTTGAAGTGTTGCGTAGCTTTATGTAAAATGGGAGAGTTTAATTTTGGGAGGTGGATGCAGTAATCGGCGAAACCAACGAAGATTATATCGTAGCCTCAAGCAGTTTGAGTGTACTAGCCCTCTGACTTATTTTACTTGTAAGCTAGTCGGATAGTGTATACTCTTTAAAGATATAGAGCCATGGTGAGGAAGTGAACACAAACTTTTGCGTTCTTTGATTTCGGCGCATTTTATAGTACTACTTGATATTTAGCTCGTTTGCACAACACCGATTTGAAGTTACAATATAATTTCAAACGAATTTGGATTTGAAAAAGTGCTTGCTGCATTATTTGTATTTCCGTTATGCGAGAACAGTGAACAATAAAATCGAAAGTAACACGTCGAAAGTTGTGTCTGCGGTGCTAATCACGTGATCATTTTATTTACAACGTTATTTACTCATACACAGCTATATATCCTTTTACCAAAATAATCCTTGCATTCACTCAAGACATACTTCCAATATTGTTGATAAACGAGAATCACTTTTAAATTAAATTTTTATTTACTCTCCATGTCATTTAGTATTATAATATGAAATATCAATGTACGTATAAATGTTGCAGGCAGAGAACATGGAAGATGCAGACGAGATGGGTACGATCGTCGAGGTGTTTGTCTACGATCTGACCAAAGGCATGGCTGCGATGACGTCGCAACTGCTCATAGGTAACTTTTACGGAACTGAAATTCCGAAAGCTTTCAGCGTAGATGCTGACGCTTACCAAGTGATCATCCACGTTGATCGTCCACGCGAGAACGATTAATCTATCTAATTTTAACAAACTCGTATAATGGTCACAGCGTCGTAATCAGTTCTTTGGGGATTCCGCAAATGATTTACATCTGTCGCCAAAGATTTCGATCGGAACGTCATCGCAAGCGCGCGCCAACGACCAACGGCCCGAGCTGTTTTTTCATCGCGGTCGGTCATCGTCGTTCGGACTCTCTTTTTCCGCGTGCAAAAGAAACGACAAGGAAAGCGTGCACGTCGGCGACGTCAGGGTACCACTTGGATATTCCCCCGTGTTTCTTGAATTTTCGCTAGATCTGTGCCAAGCCGACTCGCGTTAATTTTAGAGCCATGCCTCTTTCTCTTTTTCGCCATACGGGCTTTAATTGAAACGAACCTCGGCCAATGGCTGCAGGCGATCTTTGTCACTTTGTCTCTGTTACTCTTTATCCGTTCACATCGAGAGCGTCGTTTTGCGATAGCAGCGAGAGTTTTCAAATTGCACGATTCGCCTTTGAGTATACGCCGGTTGGAGTCACGGTAGGGTAGAACGCGACGCAGCTCTTGCTCGTCGATGTACGACGCGTTGCGTCTCTCTCTCTCTCTCTCTCTCTCTCTCTTTCTCTCTCGCGCGCACGGCGACAATTTGTGCGCTTGGCGTGGCGCGAGATCGCGGAAGCGTTGAGAAAACCGCGCGCGCACTTCTCGCAGAAATAGGATAGCAGTTAATACGCGACGAGTGTGGCTGCGCTCACCCCAAGGTAATTCGCAATGAGCGCGAGCTATTTCCGAAGCGAGCGCGTGCCACCTTTGTTCGCCAGTTTACCCCCGCGCGATCGGCGACGATCGCGTGTTCAACGAGCCGACTTGCGGCTCATTCAGCTTGCAACGCCTACTCGCGCCTTACCGATGAGCTTTTTCACGCTCGCGCGAAACACTTTATGGGCTTGGCACGAGATGCTTTCAGAAGAGTCGACTTGTGAAAGTGCGCGCGATTTGTCATTTTTCGGTTGAATGTAAGTTGAAGCAACGATGACACCGTTGGCGGGATTTCGAGCGAGGTGTAAAAATAATAATTTCATCATCACTCTTTTCCGTGTTTTTCGAACAGTTTAGTAGGCGCCCCATCCAACATATCCAGATTACAAGCTAAATAAACGTATTTCTTAAGGATTTGCGAGACATTTCATTGTACATGCCACCAGGGCCGTTATTAACTAGCTGTTTGACAAAGCGCGCGCGCTCTCTCTCTCTCTCTCTGTCAGATTCTAACGCTGCGCACAGCGTCTCACAGCTTGTATTTCTCCTGATCGAATTAAATGAAAAGCCAAGAACTAGCATGACATACCTCTTGGCGAGTTCTAATCTTTGTGAAGCATCCAAAAATACGTCAAACACGTCGCTCCGAACATTGGTGTAGGCTCTACTGTGACATAAGCGCAAGAAGACGCGTCAAGCGACTCTCGCGCGTGGATTTATAAATTGGTCGGACGCGTATAGACGCTCGTGCAAGCTGACGTTGTTTATATCGGCGCCGCGACGCTTGGGCTTCGTGAGCCATTTCTCGTCTCTCTCACTCTTTCACTCCTCGCTGTACGTGCAGTTTATATTTGAGACACTCGACTGCTGGAGCTGTTATTTCCTTTACGATGGCGCCTGATCTGGAAAAGCCATTGGTGTCGTTTAGAACAGCGCTTGACGTTTGCTCCGAGCCGCGATTTCGAACCTCGATCGTTAAAAAATTAATTAATATTTCTGAAAGTCGTCAGTTCGTAAGGTGTAAGGGGTTTAAAGTTCGATTAAATACATCGAATAAACGTTCGACTGATATTATTCACATAATGTTAATTAACATTCATCATGAGCCAATACTAAATTTGGATGTGTCCCTATATGGTCTAAAAATGTTACTCGTGTACTATGTCACGGATGAGCGACCTTGTCATTTATGTACATTTATATATCACAACCCAGTTAGCAGTTCATTCCTCTTCTCGACCGGTCAACGCGCGATAAAAATCGCCGGGGGCGACGCGCGTGCGGGCGACTTTATTCTATTTCCACGAAATGGGTCGTCGGCTCGCTATTAATCCACGAACAGACATTCTATTTTTCAGTGCGCAGCCCAGGGGTTCGCAGCTTGCAATAATTTTCGTCGCTGTCGTGCCCGCGACGTAGGGTGAACGCTCGGCGTCGTCGCCGATCGCCACTGACCGTGAATTCGGACCAGAATTTGTTGCTGCGTTGAATACTTTGCCGAAAGACGAACAGAGACGCTATTCAACTGGTGTGATCGTTATTAATTGACGACTAATTGTCTCAGCTTACTTAAAACTAATGTGGTTTTTTGATACTAGGCTATACGATTGTTGAGATTTTCGTGCAATTTGCTCTGCTGTAATATACTGGAAGAAAACATAAACAGCAAATATCACTCAGTATATCTATTTTTCTCGAACCAACCAATAATTCTTAGTTGCATTTAAATTGTCGTTCATCATCGTCTCACTCATTATAATATATCTACAGTTTGAATAGAGCTTGTATAATATTTAAATTGACAGAGTGTGTGACAGTTGGTTTTTGCTTGACAATTTCAGGTCGCCACCTGGATGGTATATGGCACACAGCGGTGGTTGCCTACGGTCGAGAATATTTCTTCGGTCCACAAGGAATTCAGAGCGTTAGACCGGTAAGTCTGTCATCCACGGTCTATTTGTTTGACGTCCTCAAATATATCAATAAAATCTCTGATAAACTGTATAAAGGTAGCGAGTGCCGCGCAAGCTTATCTGGAACGTTGCATTTCGTCATTCGACGTTTTGGTTAAGTGTCACTCACATCGTCCGACCTCTCGTTGATGACAATTTGCGGTTCGTTGTCTCGTTACCCACCGCGGCTTACGAATGCTTCACGTTCAGCTCCGCAAGCTCTCTCCCTCCCTCGCTCTCGGTTTTGTTCGAAGCGAAGCGCTTCCGCAGGGGCCGGAACGTTCTCTTGCTATATGATACGACGCCGGGGCACCTAAATTTGGTGCGTAGACGCCCTAAAAATAATCAGCCGGAGAGAAAGAGAGAGAGAGAGAGAGAGAGAGAGAGAGAGAGAGAGAGAGAGATGAATTCCTGCTGGTCGTGGCGGGTCTACGCACTCGAAGCGCGAACAGCCGGCTTCTAAAGCTCATAGAGTCAGTTGGTCACTCTTCGGGTAAGTTCCCTCTCTCTCCTCTCTCTCTCTCTCTTTATCTCTCTCTCTCTCTCTTTCTCTCCGTATCTCTTTCTGGCTTTCCAACGGCAGCGTAATTACGGATGCTGAGGCTTCCTCCTGTGGGGGCAAGTGACGTGGAGCTTCCGCTTTTCATCCTCAGCGATTGTCAGTGTGTGCGCGTTCGCGAGCGCATGCTTGCCACTGCGTTTTATACGCCGTCGTCTGAGATATTACTCGGCGCCCGCAGCCGTTGCCATAGTCGTTGTTTTGCAAGCTCTCCTCTCGCTGCTCGATTTTCCTTCCGCTCGCACACTGCAATCAGTGCCCGCTCTATCCAAGGTGTGATTTTACTTGGCGTTATGAGATTATTAGCTTAATTTTGTCAAGTGATTTGTTACAACGAACTTTGCCTGTTTTATCTTCTTCGTTTAAGCTTTTCTGTTACCGTAGTAAACTGTTGCAGATATGACGTGTTATCAGAAAAGTCAAAAATAAAAACTTTTTTTTTTTCGTGAACGTCATAAGTTACAAGTTTTTAATTTCTTGTTCATTGGTGTATTTTTAGTTGTCTCAGTCAACACTAAAAGTAGGCAAGTGACTAAGAATTTTGTTCATGCGTTAACTCGACTCGAGATTATTTACAACAAACCAAAAATAGATTGTCAAAACGAGTGACGACGTTCTCTATGAGAAACTTCATGCTGAACATGTGGAAGAATTATTTCCGGGCACCAAAAATAATATTCTTGCGATACTTTTTGCAATGCCTTTTCCGTACAAAAACATTTTTGGATCGATTTTATTGGATACTATGTGTCCAGAATTTTATTTTTGGTACGAGGTTTCGCACACCTGAAAATCAAAACACAAATTTATACATTTTTCCTCTCTTCCGTCGTATATTTTTAGCTGTGCCAGTGCGTGTAATCATGTAATATTTTTGTTGTTCTTTCTGTATATCTAGGGCAGCACAGAACTGCAAGATCCAGTGAGAGTTGAGAAGGTTGGTCAGACTTATTTGCCTTACTCGGTGTTCTATGAGTACATCAACGGTCTCGGCACTACCAAATTTGCGTATGTACAACACATTCATATCGCTTCAAAGGGCAGATAATTAAGATGTACACGTAGATCGGAGCGACTTTGATTTTGACCGGGATGTAGCAATACTGAATCACAATTATTTATAAAGCATTTTAGTCACCAACGTGCAGTAGTTTTGTTATTTTCGTAAACGCCACTGGACGTTCAAACTGCCGCATGCGCATCGAGTTCAATTCAAGCAGCCAATATTATTTCAGTCCCGGTACGTACAACCTGTTCACACACAACTGCAACAACTTTAGCGACGAAGTGAGCAGCTTCCTCGTAGGCACTGGCATACCAAAATATATTCTTGACTTACCAGAAGAGATAATACAAACGTGAGTGCAACAGTACAGTAGCAGGTGGAGCAGACAGACGAACGCGCGGGTGAGTGAGTTTTGTTGTTCTTCATTTGAGCCGCGTGTATCTTTTTTTAGGCCGATCGGACAAGCCCTGTATCCATTAATAGAAAATCTAACTAAGAGCGCGACCGCTGGCTTTACGGTTGGGCAGCGTTTCGTCGAGCCGCGAATACGCAGGGAGGACTCGCCCGAATACCAATCGCTCAACAGTGAGATCGAGCAAGCCCGACTCAATTCCATCGCTTTGGAGGAAAAAAGGAACGTGATCAACGAGAAACTCGCCAAGAAAGAGAGGAAGAAGAAGAAGAAGGAGAAGAAGAGACGCGAGAAGAGTAACCGGGAAAGCGGTAGCGAGAGCAATTCTACCGGTCCCAGCAACTATCAATACGACATGGCTGACACCGACAGTGAGCTCTCTTCTTTATTATTCGTGTAAATTCATTGCTCTCTACCAATTGCATTATCTTTGTCGTGAAAATTAGGCACAGTAGCTGAAATATCAAGCCAGGCAAATGGCGAGGCAGCAGAGGCAGCCGAATTGATGCCCTCGGAACGAGCTTTGCAGATGGAGGCTGAAGAAAAGCGCCAACTCGAGGAGCTTAAGCGGCAACGCGATCCACCAATCGTTTTTAGGGATCCTATCGACATTGTGACTGAGCTTGAGGGTTTCAAGTCGAAACTCGAAGGCAAACTTAACGATGAAGAACAGTCCAACATCGAAGAACTGAGACAGTACGTTGTTGAGAATGAAGGCTCTTGGGCGCTGGGAGACAATTTCCTCAATTTTGTTGGTCGGTAGTTTATTTATTTATTTTTATCAATGTTTGTTACCAAGTGATCAGCTAAATTGATACGTATCTTAATAATTTTGTAATTTTAGGAAGAATATTTTACGACAAATCACTTGACAGCGCGATTCGAGTTCATTTACTTAACATTTTGTGCGCCGCCGCATTGAAGGATGACGTAATTTTGCTGCTGCACCAAGATAGGAGAGAACATACAATCATGAATTTTGCATATGACATCGATCGTCACCCGCTTAAGGAGCAATTACCGCTTGCTCAATTTGTAAGTAACTTGAGTGCTATGATCATTAAGATCGTAAGGCATAATTACTTACTTTTAGTTAAGAAAAGATAGGCATCTTCCGGACTTTTGGAATATATATCCTCGAGAAGAAAAATCGTATGGTAATGAAATTTACATAGTATTGAAGCTTCGAATCTTGTACATCGATTGATTCGATAGCGGTTCATCAAACCAATTATGAAAACTGTAGTGACAATCGAAGAGGAAAAAAGCATGGGTTTTCGAGCATTTTCAGACATGGGCAAAATCGTGTAGCTGTTGCAGCTTAAAGTCTTCCTGTAGCAACTGTGGTGGAACTGAAAAACAAATTATTTATTTATTTATAAATGTCAATTTTCGAAAAAAAAAAAAGTTATTTTATTAATGGCTTGTTCAGTGACTTTGAGATTTGATGCAGAATATTGAAAAGCTTTTGAACCATTTGAATTTTCATAATTTTTTTAATAAATTACTTTAATGTTTAAATGCCGGCGTCTTAAAGTTTAGTATTACGTTCAAACGAAGCCATTTTTTTTTATTTTAATCGAAAACCTCAATTTATGGTGGCACGATTGTAACACAATACCAACAGTAGTTTATTGCTGTATATACCTAAAATAAAATGATATTAAACATTTAAGTTATATGTTTATCAAGTCATGAAAGATTTAAAAGCTCTAAAGTTTTTCTATATTTTGTATAAAATCCGAAAGCAGTTGAACAAGCCATTGATGAATTAATTTTTTTTGTAGATTGCCATTTACAAGTAAGCTAATTAATTTCCATCGTGAAAATTGTTTCATGGAGACTTTGAATTGTAAACTGAATTTTTTGCTCGGCTTAAGTTTCAAATTTACCTGACGAAATGGCAGGTGCGTAGTTGCCCGTTTCTGAAAAAGCTCGAAAATACGTATTTTGTCCCCTTCCGAGTTTTGTTATAATTTTACCAATAAATCTAGGTAAACCACTGTTAAATCAATTAATAAGCAAGAGCTGAAGCTTGAGCGCTATGTAATCCATTTCCATGCAATTTCTTTTTTTAGAAAGATATACGCTTCGGAACTGAAGTGCCTATCTTGGTCATTGCATTTCATTAACTGAAAAGAAATAAATGAACGATAATGAAGTTAAACATTTGATTTTCAACAGATCGCAAATCTATTTGAGAATCTCAGCGCTTCAGAATGGTTGATGTACATCTCTGAGTGGCCACATCAAAGTCAAAATATCAGCAACATCCGAGTGACAACGAAGGTTGCTGTTCACTCATTGCTATCTGAATCAGAGGATCTTCAGATTCGTGGGGCCGCCATTATCCACAACCTCGCCTGCAAGGAGGTAAAAACTGTGGTCTGTATCATTCCTTTCTGTTTTTTTCATCTCATAACGACTAAGCCACGCTAAACTATCATCTTTCGCTCTCTTTGGTCTGTCTGACAAATAGTAAATAGAATAGTAAATAGAATAGCTTTTAAATCAGACATTGTTATGAAACTGATGGATAAAAATATTTCACCGGTACGACTACTCTCTTTTACGACAATTATTTTTTTTGTACGTCTTGTAAGTACATGCGTTGCAGTGAAATGTGAATGTGACATGAAAAAAGAATGAAAAAAAAGATAGTATTTTTGAAGAGAATCTTCTGAGTTAGCGGGTCTATGAGCACACTTATTTAAATTAGATGTCTCTTTCTCGCATTAGCACCTCTAAGAAAAGCTGCCTTCAGTGACTGATACATTTACATCTAACAAAAACTCTATTTATCTCTTGTAAATACAATGCGCTTGAGTATGCAACCGCGCCGCTTCTTTGTAAATACATTATTCGATGTCTTTAATATTTCCTATAGTTCATCTAAACGCATCGAAAAGATTTAACATAGTTTTCTTAGTGAGTTGTCTGAATCATTCCTGACTATTATTAGTTTTTCATCATAAATACTTTTATCTTTAGTGTGACATGAATCGAACAAATGTTTAATTTTTCTTTACACAAAAAAGAATTAAATAGCGATCAGGTAAGAAGATCTTAAAAAATTGATATTCATATCCAGAAAACTCATATCAGAAAACTTATTGTGTCATATGTTCGTTTATTAATTTGTTAGAATATTTGTAACTGTTGATCGATTAAAGTATCAAAAGCATATGGACAAATACTTCTTTAGGGGTCGATTCGGTTTTTGTTTCCAGAAAATGAACAAAAACAAAAAACTCCGGCAGATGTTACCAAAAGGCAGCCTTTCTAAGGTATAAAGTATTTCCCCTTTTCTTTCATTAGAAAGCATGACCCGATTCGTCTCTATAAATAGTAACAATTCAGCATTAAAATAATATAAATAATATTGAATTGTATAAATTAATTACATGTTTTTAATCAATCTAGGCATTAAAATGTCAATCAAATGATAATATTCCTATAACTATGTTTTTTTTACAAATATAATATCTATCATGATTAGGTTAAATAATAATAGCCTTACATTCAGTGTTTCAATAAAATTTCATACGATTATGTTTCCAATATATAAAATTTCCATGCAAAATATAGGTTTGACGAAGTTATCAAAGTGTAATAGAATGAATCCAGTTTTAAATTATCCGAAAAAAAATAAGAAAGGAAGACTAATATAAAAAAACTCTATAATTCACGATGGTCTTTAAAATAATTTACAGGTTTTCGACGATGTTGCCGTCGAGTTGACAATGGCATTGCTTCAATATTTCAATGGTACTCCAGCAGAAGAGCAATTGTACGCATGTATGAAGTCATTAGCGCGTTTCACGCAGATTAGCGGCCAGGAAGTACCTCAACTCATACAGATGATCGGACCTGAGCCTTCGAAATTCCGTGGCTCATCCCAGAGAATTGATGAACTCATCGAGGAGATCAACAAGAAACTCCGCGTTCACTAGTCTTCTCTGTTCTATTTCCTCATTTTTTATTTATAGAGTGAGTCTGCGCGATAGTTTACTTAACTGGGCTACTATTGAGATTTGTGATCTCCAATGATATTGTTTACAGGTCCAAAATTACATCTTTTCAATGGAAAAGATACTTTGAAAGAAAATTTATTGCATAAATTTTATTGGCCCAGTTATTACGTTTCGTGTAATTAAAATAATGAACATCAATTTCATAACAGCAAACTTGTGACGTACTCATTATTTAATCGTTAAAATACATGGTTATATATGAAAATATACGATCAGATTATTGTACAGCAACGGCTTTTAATTTATATTATTTCACTTAAAATTTGTCACAAATTTTCACTTCATTTTCTCTCATCACTTTGCTTGCTTTTATTTTTCAACATTATTTAACGATATTCACATGTTTCTAGTTTGCATTTTACGAAGCGTCAATGATAGTAAATTATAGATAAATTAATCGCACGTTGGTTAACGTGCTAATTGCCTGATTAACTTTTATAATTGAATGCAAGTTTATAATATTTAGATTTATCCAAATACAATACTTTAGTCGCTATTTGTCAATGGAAAATAATAGTTATAAGAATATACAACGAGCTTAATTACTGTGCAATAATCACCCTTCAACTACTTAATGCACCAATTGTCAAAATAAATACATAGACTGAAGGGGAAAACTCAATCGTAAAATAACATTTTTTGTACTGGTTTTATGTTGTATAACTGTCACTATTGTATTTTTTTGTTTTTTTTTGTATGGTAAAAATTTTACATGAATAACAATTTCTTGGATTTTATGATCAAAGCTTACTTTCTGAAAAGTATAATGAAGATTTAACTTAAATATTTACAATTTGTGTAGTTTACGATGCACTTATATTACAAGTTCAAATTTGACTTAGAAGATATTTAAATTGTATAAAGTATATTATATATACATCTTTTAAGAATAATTCATGTGTGTTAGTTTATCAGCGTTTAAGATTTTATGACAGTCTAATAATGAATATTAATAAAAAAATTATAAAAGATCTACATTGCTTAGTCATTTAAAAAATCCATGTTCGTTGTGTTCGTGGTCTCCTATACGCCAAAATAATATGAGAAGCTTGTATAGTAATTATTATAGTAATTTCGAATTTTTAAGTGACATACAAAACTAAGCGGTTCTATCAAATAACCCATCTCAATAACGCGTGTTAAGTTTTAAATTTGGATAATTGATACCGACATAAGCGTTCTATATGTGCCTTTATATTTGATTGCTAAAGTTAGTCGAGTACGTGTAATTTTATTGGTTATAGCACCACATTACGTATGTCAATACTTCACAAATGAAAGAAAGGAAGCTTTACGGGCACGGAATAAACTGATAAGAGATGAAGAAGATAGCAGATTGCTAAATGGAGTAGGAAAATTCATGTCTCGTACGTTGTGCGTGGGGCTTAGGTAGAGGAGTCTTCTGGCCGACGGGACATCGAAACGATGAGCGTCGAAGCTGCGTGATAAGCTAGTGAGTTGCACATGCCCGTCGAAGCGTCGTAAAGTTTAATTTTCCTTTTTCATTTTATTTTCGTCAGTGCAATTTATATCCAAATTATAAAAAAAAAATTTTTTTTTCATGCATATTAAAAGGATACGTCGTTTTTTGTTTAAAGAACATTTAAAATTATGAATGAGTATGCGGTTAAATAAAAATTCTTGAATTATACTCTCTCTCTCTCTCTCTCTCTCTCTCTCTCTCTCTCTCTCTCTCTCTCTCTCTCTCTTTCTCTCGTTAATAATTTTACATAAACATTTTTACTTTAGCATTAAGTCTTACGTGTACTTATATGAAGATACCAATAACATATATCTGTCATGATTGCACTTCAAATAATTCATTGCAATATCATGAATTTAAAAATGTTGTCGTGGTGTCTTCCCACAGTGACAGAAAAAGAGGCAAATGTAGATGAGGAGATCTGCGTCAAGAATACAATGAAGAGACGCCGAATAAAGTGCAGTAAATATGTACCAATATGTAAATGGCTGCCCAAGTACAACCAGTACCAAGCAGTCGGGGACTTCATCGCTGGTATTACCCTTGGACTAACTATGATACCTCAAAGTATCGCTTATGCAGCTCTTGCTGGTCTATCTGCTCAGGTAAAATTAAAAGTTGTATTCAAAGCAATTACGACACATGTTGCTTAAATAATAGATATCGATAACAAAACACATGTTTACGAATACTTTGTTTTTATCATTGTTTACAGTATGGATTATACTCATCGTTTCTTGGCGGGTTCTTGTATGCAATTTTTGGTTCGGTCAAGGAGATTTCAATCGGCGCAACTTCTCTCATGGCTCTTCTTACAATCGAATATACTAAGGGCATGAATATTGACTTCGTCATTCTTCTTACATTCCTTTCCGGTTGTATTGAGTTGATAATGGGAATGTTGGATTTAGGTAACTGTTTTAATTATACATAATTTCTAAAAATTAATCAACTATTTAATACTTCTGATTAACATTGCGAATCACAATAGAAAACAATACCTATAGAAAAGTCATAAATAAAAATGTGAAGTAAGCTTTGGAAACTGTCGGAATAGCAGTTTTCTCTGATTCGAAGCTTATTAAACAAATAAAGAAAAATTTACTTAAAGAAATTAAATGCGTCTATGGACATTTAATAATTTCTTTCAGCAATTCTACACAGATAAAAAAATTGTATAATTAATATTGACGTACGTTTACAGCGTCAGTGATATATTCACCTTGGAACTTTACAACCAAAATTAGCTTATTTTCTTTAATCTTAAATAATTATATATAGGTTTTCTTGTGGACTTTATATCGCTACCGGTCACTTCAGGATTCACATCAGCGACGTCCGTCATAATAGTGGTCTCGCAGTTGAAAGGTCTGTTCGGATTAAAATTCGAGTCAGAAACTTTGATCGACTCGCTGATAAAGATCTGGGAAAATTACAAAGATATCAAGCTTGGTGACACTCTATTAGGAATCTCAAGTATCGTCATCCTACTGTCCCTCAGAGTAAGCTTAAGCTGCCGAATAATTTGTATCAGAATTGAGCAACGCAGTTGAAAAGAAATTGATCTGATCCTCAGGCTTTGAAGGACGTTAAGCTATCTCAGGATAATCGCTATACTACGATAATGACAAAGGCACTTTGGTTTATTTCCGTCGGACGAAACGCACTGGTCGTCTTAACTTGTTCTGTCGTTAGCTTCTATATGCACCGAGCTGACTTCAAACCGTTCAAGCTCTCAGGTCAGTGTCGAGAAAATCACCCCCCCCCCCCCCCCCACCTCTCTTTCTCTTTCGCTCTCTCTATATACGCGTTATGTTCGCTCAGTTGCGAGCGAGCTCGATACCCACCTCGATTGACTTGACCTCACGACGCCCATGTCTGACATTCATCCGAGCGGCTGCGACAATTTCGGTGATGCTCGGTAGTTACACAAAATCTGAACGCTTGTTATATAATTCTCTATTCTGTGATTACGAAGGAAAGTTCTTTACGAGAATGTAATCTTTCAGCGCTCGTAAGAATTTTGTCAATGTTTGACTTAAATGCAAATAACATCGTTTCGAGTAGTTTCACCGAGCACTTTGTCAATACTTAGTTTGACTTGCGCGATAAAGCGAATTACTCATTGTATTATAACACATTTTTTCCATTAAAATTCAAGTTCGTGCTTATTTGTGGATCGTCTTAATGTTGCAGAATCTCTACCGAGAGTACTATCTTGCGAGATATATTTCTAGTTGTCGCAACAACTTTGCTTAGCTAATATAACAACGCATCGTAAATTTTAGTGATAATGGTATGGAAGTCGGAGGTCTAATGCCAGAAGAATATTTTAACTGCATTTTACTTTGTAGCCAAAGTAGAATTTAAGATAAAATTTTCCCCCATTGAATAAGCAAATTATATGATAATAATAGACGAAAACGTTTATATATTTTAAATATCATGATTTATGTGCTTCAGGTCAGGTGAAATCTGGACTTCCGAGTTTCAATATCCCAAGGTTCAGTACCGTAGCTAAAAATCAAACCTATGGCTTCCTCGACATGTGCTCCTACTTAGGTTCTGGTATAATCGTTGTGCCTCTCGTATCGGTCCTCGCTAATGTTGCCATTGCAAAAGTGTTTGGTAAGATTTCGTCAGGCCTCCTTTATTTGCAACAAATCTGAATTTGATTTTCTTTTCCTAATTCTAGTTAATTTTTTTAGCAAGCGGCGCAGCTGTCAACGCCTCCCAAGAGATGCGCACCCTAGGCTTGTGCAACTTGGTGGGTAGCTGCGCGAGTTCCATGCCCACTTGTGGAGCCTTCACGCGTAGTGCTGTCAGCCACGCTAGTGGTATTCAAACTCCGTTTGCTGGCATTTATTCAGGTCGCAATCGATTTAACTGCAACAATTTTTTGTTTTGAGTTTTCAAAGTAATTAGCCAATTTTGAAGTTTATTTTTTAATAGGTTTGATGACAATATTCGCATTGAGCTTTCTGACACCGTACTTCTACTACATTCCAAAAGCAGTTTTATCAGCCGTACTTATCAGTGCTGTAGGTTTCCTCATCGATTGGAAAATTGTTTACAACCTATGGCGCGGCAGCAGTAAGTATTACCAAGTTCTGATTTTCATCCTAACTCTGAAAGAAATTTAATAATATGTTGATAGTTTTACAATTGACGTTAAGCGATCCCAATTTTTATCTGGTAACCAAAATATATGTTCTTCTTTTTTCATGTAAAAAAATATAATAATTGTATTCAGAAAAGGATGCGGTAGCAACGATTGGAACGTTTACTGTTTGCGTGCTGTTCAATGTGGAAACAGGTCTGCTTCTCGGCATCATCTTCAACATCATCTATCTGCTGTATCTGTCAGCTCGACCAGCAATCAAAGTCACCGAGTGCATGGTAAGAAGAGCATGCTGACTTATTATCACGGCCGCGTACACAAACTTTCTGATTTATATATATGCCGAGCTGAGGAGTTTACCTTACACGCCGGTTTCAGACCAATTTGGAGCATAAATATTTGCTGATCCAACCAGATGTAGGTCTTTTCTTCCCGGCAGTCGACTTCTTGGTCAACAAAATTTCCGAAGTCGCGGACGAGCGAGCCGATGATGGCAAAGTTCCTCTGGTACTTGATTGTCAGCGATTCCGTGGTATTGATTACACAGCCGTCAAGGTACACTTTGTTTATTTTTCCAATATTCACTGAATTTTTCATTGATGTACTAAGCAAAAGTATTGTACAGGGGCTGGAAAAATTGGCGAAGGACTTTCGGGATAAAGAACAAAAGTTATGGTTTTTGAATCTTAATGACAAGGTTGCGAAATCAATCAAAAAGTTAGGAGACTTAAATAACTTGAAGATACTTAAAAATGAAGCCGATATCGTAGCGGTACTCTGTGGATTAGGTATATTTTACTACCTACTATTTTACTGCCGCAGATACACTTACATGATTGATTATAATGATTACAGAGATGGACGATGATGTTCAAGTTCAATACATAAACGAATACAATGGAAAAAATATTTCTATGAGTAATATGATAGCCTCGACATCCCTAGAGGCGGAATCTCTCATTGTCAAAGAAAACAAGGTCGATTCCGAGGCGAAGATCCACGTTAACTAGATAAGTTAAGTTATTGCACGATCAGTAATGAATCAATTTAGATTAAAATATAAACTGATTGAATGTTTTTATTAAAATTTTTATACTTTACAAATAAATTCTGATATTCTTTAAAAAAGTCAGGGCTTTATTATTCTACAAGTTTATATATCATTACATGATTACTTCGAATTTTCACTTCGAAGAAATACTGCCTCGTTTGTTTTTAATATTATTGAAGATTTTATTAAAATATTGTTGATATATTACAGTGTAGAAGATTTGATGTCTGCCTTGCAGAAGTAGTTGTGCAAATATTGGATGGCTGTGACTTTTTAACCTATACTTCAAAAATATGTGAAAAAATCTTTGAGAATCAGTTCGAACAAGTACATTTAATATCAGATTACAAAATAGACATACCAGGAAATTATCCTAGGTATACCTCATCGATTTTCTTCATTCAATAAAATTTAATAATTAAGTTTTATATAAAATTTTTTGATATTTTACATTGAGCTGTGATATACCTCACATGCATCATATCATGTAATCATAACAACGTTTAATGACAACTACTTTAATGACTTATGAAAATAATAAACAATATAGTGAAACGATATTATATCTTATTATGCTAATTATATGCATGATACTTATGATATATAGCTTATTACTTATAATGTATAGCTCTGTATTCGTGGAAGGCACATAAATATTTTTCGGGTTCAGTTAATTGACATCTATATATTGCTATAATAATATTAATCAAATACCCTTCGCTATTAGGATTGAACATACTGATGCGTGGTGTAATTTGTTGGAAATTGATGTTAATTAGGATCCACAAGAATTTCATTACGTCTACAAAAATATCCTTTTCCAAAGTATCACTCTTTGTGACTTTTAGCGCAATATTCATGGAAATGACGACTAGTTTATAAAATATAATATCTTTTTTCGCGAAAATTTGTATATCATTTAGTAGACCACTTAAATATTTTGTTAAATCAGTCATATTGCAATCCAAGGAGACTGGACATTTGTATAAGAACTCACTCAATTCTGTTTTACATAGTTCGATCATTTCTATGGACAATGGTTTTTCTACGTTTATCATGGAGCCACTCGATTTCAACGCTTCTCGTATAAGTATTTTTGATATGTCACGTGATAAACCCATAATTTCTAAAGGATCTACTATAATCATGTCTTCATATATTAGTTGTGAATCGTTATTCTTAGACTTGGAATTAGCACCCTCCATTTCCTTGGCAAATTTGCTTGAATCTGACTTCCAGTTATGAAAAATATTGATCCATTCGTCCGCACGGATTCTAATATACATGCAAGTCTCTCGTACAACTTTCATGAACAAATTTTGGCACTGCTCCAAGTGTATAGAAGCATGCGGAAAAGAAAGAGTAAAGTTGATTTTTATCAGATCCCAAACGAAATTCGTAATATCTTCATTCAAATCTTCTCGTGTGTAAGACTTAGTTCCTATTTTCTTGATAATAGATTTAATCGTGTTTTGAATCATTTTGTTAATTTCTGAATTCTTTGACATATTTTGTATATAGTTCTTGAAATTAACGTTGTTTGGTATAGGTTCGTTTTGGGGCACTAATCTTTCAACACTAAAATCGCGAAGGGAAGTCACTCCAGATATCAGTGGCTTTGCCAATACAAATGAATTATTAGAAGTTGAAGGCTTGCTTGTATTTTGATCCCCTTTTGTTGCTTGATTTATCAAACTTACAATATTCTCCTGGGACATTGAAGTAAGGGTGGAAGGACTCACCAAAGATACACCATTTATTTGGATCTGGCCATCAGTAAATGACAATTGTGTGTTGGTAGAAGCAAAGAGCTTATGATTTTGAACCATAGTTGCAAAAAATTCATCTTTATTGCTGATTTTTGTTAAGGATCTGATTATTTGTTCATTTCTAGAAACTTCATCGGATATATTGGTTCCTGTATTTCTCATCAAACGACGGAATTCTTTTCTGTGTCTGTCACTACGAAGACTTTTTTCATAATTCTTCAAAATTTGATTTTGGTCTGATTTAATAATATCTGATGCAAATCTCATATTTACAACAGAGTTGCAAATAAATAAAATATGAGCAGTCAAAAAGAACACATCTTTGGTGGATATTTCTCTGTTTTGTTTATACTGTTGAACTAGATGCATAAAGGTATATCCTGCACCAATGGAATTTACAAAAAGATTGCTGATTATAATTGCATCATGGGTGATTTGAGCACCTTTACTAATAGAAGTTCCAGTATGTATTGCTTTAGAAAGCAGAGTAGATCCACTGCTAGCAGCTATGCCCAGAGTATTACCTACAACTCTAAGCCAAACTGGCATTGCTTGCTTATTAGTAATACTGATAGACTGTCCATGATTACTTCTATCTACTAATTCTTTTACTGCTCTACTACCTCCCCATAATCCTGATAGTGTTCCTCCAACACAGCCTAAAAATACAGTTTGAATATTTTTATATACATGTCTCAGTACACAGATAATATAAAATAATATAAAAATTACCTGCTACAGCAATTGGTGTCGTTATAGGGTTGACTGTAGCAGCAACTGCAATTCCAACGCTTCCAATGTTGACAAGAGTACTTGCATGGTCAATAGCATTTATTATTTGGTTGCTTTTATTATTATTATGTAATTCAACCCATACAGGAGATGACGTTTCCAACCATGTCTCTTTTAAATTTCCTTGATAAAATCCATCCTTCGGAACTATCATCATATTAGTTGGCATATTATTGTTGTACAAAAATTTTTTCCAACTTTTATAAAATCGTGCCTCAGTGTCAACATACCAATTTTCATAAGTAAGTTTATCATTTTTCTTTATACATTTTTGTACTTTAAAAATTGGATGGATAAATATATGTTCATTCAATTTGGAGTCATCACAATCATTCAATGATGTTTCATCATAAATACAAATGTACAATACAGTACATAGCACCTCTTTTTCATTAGTTAATTGTGTGCCATGCATAACAATTTGATCATAAATTGACTCTATTACAGTCATAGCTTGTTTTTCATAAGTATAAGCATCATTTTCAGGATATTTACAGTCTTCATCAATTTTTGGTGGACCATACAAAGCATAACCGATGTATTTTTTTAGATATACATGCTGATCAAGATCATATCTGTTCCAATCACTGCTAAGTTCATAAAAATTTTGTTGATATGTTACTGCTAACCAATAGATAGTTGCCTGAAAATGTTTTTAAATAATATTTAAAAATACCATACAGTAAATGCACAGGCGTACATAGGATAGAAAATGAAAACAAGATTTAAAATGTATTGTACAATGTTATGCTGTGCATAAAATGTATATGAATTTTCACATTCATAAAATGAAATATCTACTGTCAATCAATAAAATAGTCTCACCTTGAGATCATCAATTTTAGTTCTCTCCATCATGTAAACATTAATGAGTTGTTCAACTGCTGATCAAGTACAAAGTAAAGTGACTAAAACAATTTTGAGATTTTTAAAGCCCAACATTTATCTGTCTTTTCACAGAAGTTTAATAATAAGAAACTAGCTGGAAAATAGCAGGCAATAAACGAGGCTTGACAATGCACGAAAATATCGTTTGATGTTTTAAAATCACTGCAGGCAAAGATAAACCTCTTTCTGCTTTAATTTGGTGTGGTTTTTGATCATTCACAGCACAATTCTGCGCAATTGCGTAAATAATCTACTATTTGTAGAGAGCGCGTTTGATTTGTTTGAAGAATCCACTGCTCTTATACACTGTGTTCCGTTGTCACATGATTTATTGGTGTGCGGTGTGATAGAGTGAGTGTTGGGCGGCGCCACTTTCGCGCAGAGCCCCCCGCGTTTTTCTTCGACAAGAAAAAACTTGACTTTGAGACAGTACAGATCGATCTGTGATCTAGCGCTTATCGCAAGTAAAAAAAAAGGGGTCATATCGTATTGATTTATCAGCAAATCAATACATTATCTATCTTATAGGTGTCTGCATCGTATTCACAGACAAAACTAACTTTGGTCTCCTCATCGCCAAAAAATAAATCATAAATCTAATTTCTTTGTGCGACTCGTCAGTGTGCAAGGTATGTGTGCAGTGGCGAGGTTTCGATACGTTGTTTAGTGAATTATCGTTTTGTAAGTGCGTGATCCTTTGTGCTGCGTCAATTCTTGTATCGTTTAATAAATGGGTTTTTTATGCCGGTCATGGCTTTTTTTCCATAAGTGTTAGTCGATTTATTTTCTTTGCAAACTTAAATCAAAAAATCAAACAGATCACAATAAAATCAAAATAATTATAAAATAAAAACAAACCAAATAAATCAATAATTCAGTAATTAATATTGCTGACATACCATATAAGGTATGTTAGACTGATTCGAATCAAAACACACTGCGCATTTCATTCAGGTCCGTTAATCTTCACTCCCATTCCTCAAAAGATCTGTTTACAAGTCTACTTATGTTAAACGATTGATCAACTAATTTTATAGCCCTGCGGGCCATAAATCTGCACCTATGGCCCACTTTTTCGGGCGATAAGTACAACATAAGGGCCCGGTACATTGACGGTCTTACACTTACGGCCCGATAGAATGACGGTCTTTTTTTCAATCACGAACGCGCAACCGTATCGATAGTTTTAGGTTAGTTTATAACAGCTTATGTATATTATATTGACTAATAAAATTTTTCAAGCAAAATTCATTCGTTTCAAGGTAATAACAAATTTTGAATTTAAATAACAGCAGTGTCGTATAATTCTAATTTTTAATAATATTGAAATATTTATAATTATTAAACAATTAAAAAAAAATTTTTTAGTAGTTTGAAATAATTTGAAATAATAAATTTACAATCTCAAAAACCTATTGCATTAAAGTTTTCATTTTGTGATATTAAAAAATAAAGCTTATCTTTCAAAATTTACTTTTATTAAACATGCCTTTAACATGCAAAGATATACAACTATAAAACTTACAAAACTTATACAAAAATATAAAACTTTTATCTAAAAACAATATAGATATATCAAATAAATCTTCATATATGCTATTTCATAAAGACATCTACAAGTTTTTAAAAATCTTATTGAAATCATAAAACTACTTTAAAATATCAAATTTGTGAAAATTTGATATTATCAAAAATTGAAGAGCGAAGAACTTGAAACTACTGCTTGGAAGAGTGAAGATATAAGTCATGTATATGTATCTATATAAACATGAACACAGATGGCGCCAGGAGAGCGTGTTTTCATGGATCTAACCGCAACCACGTTTTTTCATGATTTTTCTTTTAATTTTATTTTTGACTCAGGGGGGGCCGCCCCCCCCCCCTCCCCTTCCCTCCTGCTCACCAACGCACCCCTGCACCCCACATGGATGGCGGATTTATGTCCGTCGGGGCTATAAAATAGTGAACGATACTCGGCCGCTAAGTGACATTTAAAGGCTGACGCTCGGGCCCAAACTCGCCGGGCTATTAAGTGTCACTTATCGCCCTTGTATCGTTAATTACTATTTATATCAATCTACGAAAATGCCAAATCTTAGAAGCTCTGCGTAACCGGATACATTTATATCGATAGCACCACTGGAAAATGTCGCGTTTTAGTCGTGATATGATTGGCTGAGAGATGGTTACGTGGTATGACGTATCGTTTCGTTTCGTTTCGTTATGGCCGTGCGAGGACTCCGATGCGCCACAATTCAAATTAGAGAAATAAAATTTGAAATTTAAAAGAGTTTTAAAGTTTTTCTTGGTAAGCAGGGTGTATAAAAAGGAGTTGAGTGGGTGTAGGAATTATTTTGTGAAGTATATGTGGGAAAGTGAGTATAATTATGATTGATTTTAGTTGTCGGTAATATAGGTGTTTTGATTTTGTGATAATATGGTATTGGCGAAAGTAGAATTATATTGAAAAGTTGCAGAAAAATGGAATAAAATAAAGGGAAATACATATATATCTTTTGTACGTTGTAAATTAAGACGTATGCGAGCAACGGAAACTAATTATCAGAATATTAAACCTGGAAGAATATTTACGGATGTTTTCATAGAGGCAATAAAAAGTACACGATGTTAAATGTATTTTCGACACTCCGTGCGGAAAGTGCGTTTTTCCCGCACGCTCGGCAAAAAGCGTGCGTTGAAAATCGCACTTTCCACACGACGTCTCAAAAAATACGGTACGGCACATGTTTGGGAAAGAGTTTCTCGTCTCGTGTACCTTTCCACCCTCGCTTCGCTCGGGCATAAACGCTACACGAGACTAGAATCTACTTTCCCACACTTGTATTGTAATGTACTATTCTCACACTAATAAATGCATCCATTTCATAATAAAATTATCGTTATAAATTATATTTCATAATAAAAATATCATAATATTATTATAACAAGTTGAACATAAAAATCGTTAAAAAGTTATATTTTTTATTTTATCTATTGTAATCCATTTTATTTATAACATACACAATTTTAACTTGTGTCGCATAATGGAGTAATATAGATCATTAATGTAATTATCTCTTGAATATTTATTAAGTTTTTTAACTTATTTAGAAAAAATGGTTTAAAAACTTTCGGATATTTTCATTAATTGTGCTAAAATTATGTCTCTGATCAAAAAACATGCGAGAAGTTTCAGGGAGTTGCAAATTTTTCCTATCATCCTGTTATTTTCTTTATTCATTCACTTGAAAATATTATCTAATTTTCTTTCCTAGGTAAATTTTTTGGCTTCTGAAAGTGGAAACTCTTGGGGAAAACCGGGTAACAGGATGTAGATAAAATTCCGCAGCCTCCTTGCTCTATATCCAAACCTACACAAAAAAAACTTTACGACTTTTCGGAGGAAAATCGGAACGTGCGCGACAAAAGGAGCATCTGTTTCGATTTTGAATTCTTAGCCTTTCTTTATTTCAGTTAGAAATGCTCTCCTTATTTTCACTTCCAAATTAAAACCTAAGTTGCACGTTAAACACACAAAAAAAAAACATTTTCGCTTAATTAAACGGTCCGACGTTACATATGCATAAATTATGAAATTAAAAGAAATTTGTGAAAAAATATAGTCAGGCACATGTGAAAAAGGGAAGACAAAATTGCGCACGGCTTACATAATGTAAATATAAGTACCCGAAAAGCTGCACTTTTATTGAGTTAGAAAATATTAATGATTCTGAAATCAAAGTGTAATTAAATATTTATTTGTTAATTAATTAAAGTAGACGGATGTCAGTAGATTTTTTCTATGGATTGTATATGTGAAATATTTAATTTACCCATCTAAGTTTTAATTTTCTTGAAACATTGAACTAAATAATAAAATAAATAAACGATTAGCACGCAAAGTGTGCTTGATGAAACTAGTGCATATAAATAATTGAATAAAATTATTAATAGTTTTATTTAGAACGAATATGATGTTTTTATACTACATAGTATGCATGTACTATAAACTATTAAATATATTAAATAATATAACGTGAAAATTTTGAAAAACTTATAATTGATGTAAAATATTGTGCAAAGTTCATTAATGTAACTACTGTATCATACTGTACTGTTTGCTTCCCATATAACTGACCGTCTTCTACCTCGGTCCTTATGCACATTAGGTGCAAAAAATGATTAAATATTTCAGTCGGTAAATAACGACTGACAATTTAATGACGCTACTGAAACTTTTAGATTATAATTTTCTGAATATATACCATATATGTTATTTTCGGATAATTTCTATTACTCTTGAAAATTTGGAAAAAAAACTATAGAAGAAAATAGTTAAATTAGATTGAAAAATATTATATTTGAAAAAGAGTAATAAAGATAATATAAGTTCATTTGGTTTCTCTAATTAAATAATAGCACAATTCCTTTTTTCTGAATAGATTTAACTTTTTGAAAAATTATAGAAATAATTGAAAAAATATAAAGTTTTTAAAAAACAGGTATTTTTTTAATCGTTAACATAATATGATAATTTAAATAACCCACATAAAACTAATATGTCTACATCCGTGTAATTTAAAATTGATTTCCCTACTTTCAATAGTTAAGAAACAATGAATTCATAATATCAAATTATATATCTTCGCTCTGGCTATCGAATTGACAATTATTTCTAACTGTTTAAATGGTAGATTGTCATATGATTAAAGTAACATGAAAAAAAAATAATATGATCAATTTAAAACTAAAGCTGATAATAAGAGTATGTTATGGTTTTGATTTATTTTACGATTTTTATGTGCGTATAACAATACCAACAATTTTTTTCACTAGAGATTTATAATTACGTGAATAGAATAAGAGATACTCATATACCAATCTAGAATTACAACAATAATTAGAGTAAAAATCTATGGTTTCATTTAAAAAAATTCATCAGTGGATAATTCAACGAAAATGTTACTGGTGGAACAGAAATCGCAAGTGAATTACTATCCATGTCGCTTCAATTTCCGCAACAGCAAGGTCACAGACGGCTTTAATGAACCATGACAGAAAGTCTTCGCGAGTGGATATTCGAAATATACAACACATTTATATACCTATGTATAATGTCACAAATGGGAAGAAAGGAAAGCCTGAGGACAATGCGGGGAGGTTGGTGAAAGGACCGCATCTCAGGAACAAGTGGATCAAGGACTTGAGGCTCAAGGGTTGTCACGTTCCCATTCAGACTCTATAAGTGCGAATTGACCAAAAAATTATTTTTTTTTCATATCTGTTAAATAGATATTACAGCTAAAGCCCTCACTCTTGTCTAGAGTGGGCAAATATGTGAAAAGATATTTATCAAGAAATATATTATTTTTATCAAGAAATATTTATGGCATAATTGCAAATCCTGCACTAACGTGTGCAAAGCTCTAAGAACTCCGGAAGTTCTATAATTTTAACCGATAAATTTTAATTAAAATTTCACTTAGTTTTTTGTATATCAACTATTGATCTCTCGTTTAATTAGCATTACCCATGAATAATACGTACAACAAACACAAGGAGAAAAGGAAAAAGGGGGTTGAGATAAGTGAATCACAAATAAGACACAGATTTTTTGATTGCTATTAATGTATACTACGTTTTTTACATCTAAATATAACAGTCAGTTCGATGTGGATAAACAGCATGCGAAGTATGTATATTACAAAATAAATAAGAAGTCGCAGAGTCAAAGTAATGTAATTCTGAAAAAAAAAAATATATAATGTAGACCGAAGAACCTGTACAAGTTCGAGATGGTTTAGTGGTAGTAAGCGGAAGAGTAGGCAAGAGGAGCGGCTTTATAAGCAAGCGCTGGAGCGGCGGCGTAGGTCTTGACTAAAGCTGGGGCAGCAGCATATGTCGCGTATGCTGGGGCTACGGTCTTGACCACTGGGGTGGCGACAGCTTTAACGACTGGCTCCTTGTGAACGACTGCGTTGAATCCGTTGACCTGTTGCGTGGGTATTTTCTTCGTTATTATCGTGCGATTCTTTGTTTCAATATTAGCATGAAAAATATTCAGATATTCACCGGATCAGCAGTGTACTCAACAGTGCGCTTGGTGCCATCAGCATCAAGGAGTGAGTAGCTACCCTGAACGACATCACCGTCACGAGACTCGTGTTGGGTCTTGACATCACCGGTCAAGGAGTCATGAACTGTAGAATGAAATTACGTTGTATGAATGATTACCAAATAATTAGTATCGAATTTAATAGTAATCAACGAGATTGTACCATCGTAGGAGTAGCTGTACTGTGGGTGAGGGTCATACTCGGTGTCGACAGCCTTGGTGATAACGGTCTTGGCAACTGGAGCGGCGACAACGGCAGGCGCAGCATATGCTACAGGTGTGGCAGCATACGATTTATAGGCAACTGGAGCCGCGGCGTAGGATTTGTAGGCGACTGGAGCTGCGGCGTAAGCCACTGGAGCGGCGTGGTAGGACTGTGCCGTGTAGGCGATTGGACCGGAGGCCAAGATACCAGCATGGACGTATGCTACCATGGCGAAGCAAACAATCAACTGCAAAAACAAAATTGTTCTATTTCATTAGAAGTTTCAATGATTAATAGTCTTCGATGCTTAAGCAAACAAATTCCTTTCAGTAATTATCGAATTCAATTTTTTGAACAAGTTTGTAACCTGAAATTCAACGAATTTATAAAAATGTTGAAATTGTTTTAACAATGACTGGCGATTTATGCGATTTGTAATAGTATGCAACAATTGAAATAAATGCTTGACTTCAAATTTTGATTTTTGCATTAGATAAATAAAAGAAATATGAGGAAAATCTTGAAACAGTCTTAATATTGTCACTAAAAGCCGAAAACGATACAGCACTAAATTTCATGCGGTGCGAATACTTCCGTCGAATTGAACCACTGCTTTCACTTTCTTTTTTTTCGCAAGCTCTCACTAATCGCAACTAGCACCGCAAGACAAATATCTACCTTGAATGCCATTGTTGAATAAGTGCGAGTGAACTGTTGCTGGTACTACAGCTGACGATGGGATGCGAATGATGCCAAAGCTAGCAGTTTTGGACTCTTTTATAGTGGTCCCCCGAAAAATCGGTCTCATAGCGCTCAACAGCGGACGCTCGAACGGTAGCGGGGCGACGCGCGAAAATTGGGCAAGAAATTGGATCGCTCCCGCCCGCTCGAGCGCTCGTGGACCTATCCGAGCATGTGCAAGCACCTCTGCGTCCTTGCCGTTGTGTATGCGTGTCTTATAAATGTTGCGTCATTTCCCCGCGGCGAGTGCTCGACATTTTTTTCGTTTTCGTCTTGTCTTCTCGGCTTTTTTCTCTCTCTCTCTCTCTCTTTCTCCCTCTCTCTTTCTCAGCGGTCAATCGATCGAAACATGTATTGCTTGATTGATAGGCTCGACTAATGCGTATTCACGAGTCCGCGCTGCTCATTGTGCGGGGGCCGACGTATAATGCTTACTTGAGAAAACGTTTCCGTCGTGTGCTTGGCCTGATGAAATTTTGGCCAGTTACTTTATGATAATGCTTTTATACTCGCGCGAATTGCATCAGGCAAGGGCGTGTGTATACCGTACCCTATTAAGTCCAAGTGCTTGCAGTTTCGAAAGCGCTTGGAATTCCTGGCTATTGTAAATAAGCCAGTGAGATTGTCTGCAAGAAATTCCTGTATTATAGCCATCAAAAGAACTGGTGCGGGTCAATATTTTACTCAACAGTTCTTATAGTCTAGATCTATAGAGAATATATCCAGTGTTCATCTTTTTACCGAATTGAAGAAATAACACAAAATTTCTCTTGATGTAACATTTTGCCAATGTTTTATGAGCAAAAGGACTGTATGATTGACTGAATAATTGCAACTTGTAAACTGGAAGAAACTTTAACAAGAGCTTTGAAGGACAATTTCGAAATTGGTCAATAAAATTTTAATTTATTAGAACCTCGGCTGGACACTGCAGATCGCAGTGAAGCCCAGTTGTCGAAATATGCTTAAGGTCAATTTTGAATTTGACTAATGTTTTATAATACTAATGTTCTAAATCGTATCCCAGATGCATTATAATTTGATGCTTAACTTCTGAAGTGCCTGAGGCATTAATTTAGGCCACCCCTTATTTCAAAGCCAGAACTTTCGTATGAAAGTTAATTTACACCTGTTTCATTAATTTTTTTATTGGGCAGCTTATATATCAAAGAAAAGCTCTAGGTCATTTAACCCTTATATTTTTGAATTTGGTGTATTATATTAAACACTTTACGACTTCCAGTGGTTAGCCAAGAAAATTTGTAGTACATGCAAATACTATATCAAGTCATAAGATCGTGAAGATTCTTGAGTATCTTTTTAAAGAAATTTTTCTCAACGATGAAAAGACGCCAAGTTGAATGTGCTGTTGAGTTCAGATGCGCCTCGATCTTTACGTTGAAACTTGATATTCACAAGCCTGTCGTCTCATTAGTGTCGATCGTGAAATTATTCTGTACCCGTATGTGCAAACGCAATGTTTTCCAATTCTTAATAAATTGAGATCCCGATTTCAAAGATCCCAAGTAACGCATGCTTTATTGCCGTAGCTATGCAATACTGATATAAATATTTTATTTTAATAAACGTGATTCTGACAATACTGTAGTAATGTTGGTTAACCTTGCGGTTGTCACGTGTCCAATGTGTGAGAAAACTTGCTGCTTTTCACTCTTTTCTGAGCTGGTTTTTTACGGATCATGTAAGTTTTAATTTGTTATTAATTTTAATATAAAGCGTAATTATAGAAAATTCAGTCGATGTGCTGAAAATGATAACTTTTGCTGTATAAAAATGTGTTTATGTTTCTGTATTCACATCGGTATTATTTTGCACCACCTGTAAATTCTTTCTTATGTGCTAATGTAATATAATATTACCCTATTGAGAAAGATATAACTGAAGTGCACATATTATATGTGAATTTCTTTTCAGTAATAAGATTGTTTTAAAACGCTTAGAGTAATTGTAAATTATAATAAAGATGTTTTAAATAATATTACTTCTTATATTGTAAATTCTAATTTAATGCAGATAATGACAGCATGTAAATTAATTTTACTGGTCGACGTAATGAACTTATTCGAAAAAAATGTAGTTCTAGCAAGATTGCATTTCCGATGTATTTTGATCTACGAGTAAAACAACAAATACTTCTGAAAGTGTAAATTTTTATAGGTACAAATTTTTGCGAGACTGACCGGATTTATTTTTTGTACATTGTCAAATAGATGCTAATCTCGCAAGAATATTTTTAAACGATTATCAGTTGTGAATCAAATATTTTTACGATATAAAAAAATTTATGAATGGGGATAAATATGGTTTGACATAAATTAACTAAAGAAGAATATAATATAATGTACAAATAAATTGTTTTGGATGCCTGAACATATATAATATTATCTTTAAATATTTGTGAGAAATAACAATAAAAAAAGAAAAATTATAAATTTTGAAAATAATATGGTAAAAAATCAGTATTATCGGCAAAAGCCAAGGCTTCTCATATCATAAGAAAGTCATATTAAATTTTTTTGGTGACAGATGGAGTTACATAAATAAAATTATAAATAATCTAATACTGCAAAGTCTGTAAAAAATAATTAATACTCATTATTTTTGCTCTTAATGCCGCAATTTCGACTTCTTCGTAATGCTTTGGTCATGAGCCAAAATATTTATTCTCAAAAACTTCTTTATAATTGTTCATCGGCAAAAAGTATGCACATCTGTAACACCCTGATAAAGTGAATACATATCACTGTTGTTGGCGTTGTGACTTGAACATCGGGCTCAATCAACAGCAGACTCACGTTTCAAAAAGATACTCTCCTTTTTTTTTGGCTGAATTCAATTCCTTTAATTACCGCCACCGCAACATCACAGCGATTTTTTTTTCTTATGGGATCGACAAGGTCGTCGAGCTGCCTACAGTGAACTTCCTTCACCCGTCTCAAGTTCAAGTCCCGCGCGCGTTGTAGTTATATAACCTAATATTATCTAACGTTGCTTTCTATTCGTAATGGATGATTTACGAAAGAAGCAGTGAGGCGAGCCCACGCTCAAGGCAATTAAGAGAGTATTTCATTATCGACTTTTACCCGAGGCGGCGACGGCAAACGTAAAAAATAGCTGGCGCGGGTCCCGGAACTCTCATGGTCGCGACTTTGAAAGTAAGACCGGCAACATTATTCTGGCCAGTGAACGCCAAGGTTAAAGAAATTCTCCTACGCCCTTTACTTGTTTTCGCATGTCTGGACGTGGCTTGCACCTGCGCTCTCGGAGATGATTATTCTACTGAAGCCTCTGCGGCTCATTCGGTTTTTCCAACGAGAATGGAGCATTGTTGTTTTGAAAGCTCTTGGGTATCTTACATTTCTTTATGAAGAAGTGTAGGTTCTAAATTGAGGTAGATAAATTTTGAGTGCACTTCGTCGTTGCTTTTTTCAAGTCGGTTTTTATGCAAAAAGGGTTACAGCGAAAAAGGGCTATACAGCTCGTGCCATTTTTTAAAACAGTAAATTGATTGGTTAATTATCATCAACAATACTTATGACAAATAAATATATAGAAATTATTTTGGTTTTTATTATTTCTATCTTCCAAAATCGAGCCTCGATCCAAAACGTCGTTAAAGTGCAAACACAACCAACTGTTTAATATAATTATTATTTATAAAATAATGATCGATCAGTTTTACGTTGCAAAGTCATAAAAAGTGTGTTAGAATCTCCATAGTATTTTTGCTTTATAAAAGATTTGATTATTTTGTTATGTTGCTGTCTAGTTGTTCGTGTGTATATTTACATTTTCCTCTACAATTAGAAAATTTGTTGAAACGAAAGATCAATCTCGATAATTCTGATATTCGAACTCTTGTTATTCAATACAGAAGCTAAATTTTAAACTTAAATAATAAGTAAAAACGACAGTATCAAGTGAAATTCGCATCGCTAATTTTTGTTGTAAGTGCTCGATAAGTGAAAGGATGCTCAGCGAATACATCTTACATTACATTATATGCTCTTTAGGCATGCATACGCGAAATGAAAAAACTGCACGCTGAATTAATGCTTTCGGAGGATAAGTAATATATTACGTTGTCGCTCGACACGTCTCGGAATCCGTGAAAGCAGCTGAATATTTATTTTTCTGGCTTACATACCTGCGAACGATCATTAGGCCTGACGTAATCCGTTATGTTTTTGTAGGCGTGAGAAAGAGCTGACGACTAATCGGAGAAAGATATATCTTTCTCTAGATGCAGAAAAAAATCAAAGCGAAGGTTGTTTGAAGGACGAGGCAGTGTTACTATGTCAGCATTCTCTTTGTGTATCGTAATTTTGATGCTAATATCGCACACTAAAATCTACGTGGACGTCTAGAGTGTGTCTTTTCGTTTCGAAATCATTTTATACAGATTGATATCTAACGCTCCACATCAAAATCAAGTCTATCAATATCTTAAGTACTTGAAAATGTGCTTATTAAAATGTTAGTCCAGTCGTATTTTTAAACTAGAGATGTGATCATGTTGATCGACCCTACTCGACGTGTCAGCAACAATTCTTATATTTCTGATAACTCGAAATTAATTTGATTCCGGTTTCTTTGTAAGTGAGCCAAGTCGACACTTTGCATATTATGTTATTTATTGCACTGCTGGGTAAAGAAAAGCGCAAAATTGCCGAAGAGCTTATTAGCTTCGAGAGATGAGATAGCTGTTTTGGTCTCTAAAAAATGATAGTTGTTGGATGTTCCCGGGTACTTGGCTGGTGCATAAGTCAAAGAGGCCATCGTTGGCGAGGCGCGTGCATCAGCGTGCAAAGTGGCAAACAAAGGAAAACAAGAGCGGTAAGGTCGTTCAAGTACGCTGCAGCGTCGTTGTCTTTTTCGCGGCGGACACCTTTCCCCTGGCGAAGGTAAGCCGAGCACTCCCGGAGCTGCTGCGGCTACGACTGCGGGGCGGGGCGAGCCGTCTCGTGGCACATCCGGCCAAGTTCAAGAGCGACCCTACGCATCCAACGAGCTTTTGCACGTTTCTGCATGCACGCAGCAGAATTCGAGTGGGGCTGTTTCGGCATCCGTCTTCGGGTATATAAGTTCCACGACGCAGTTGACCAGGCATCATTGTTCACTAGTTGATCACGCCGATCTTCTGCTAACCGCAATGGCTTTCAAGGTGTGTACTTCACGGGGCTGAAAGAGTAACCGTTAACTTCCTTCGTAGTTACAACTGCTTATCCATTCGCGCTTCTATTCCGATCGATTATTTGCTGGCGAAGACGTTCATACCTGTTCGTCCGATTTTTACTTTTCTCTAGTTTTCATTTCTCTTTTCTTGTATAGCCGAATTCATCGGTCGCGAACATGCAGTACGTCATTTTTTGACCTTTTCTATCGCGTTTTCACCGAAATTTCTCAACTGATAGAAACTAGGTCATTTTTAATTTTGTCTTATTTTTTAATACATTTTTATAAGTGCACGTGATTCTTGCATCAGCCAGTCGAAAGAGAATGCGGCATTCGAACTTGACACTGAAGTCGCTTTTGAAAACGTTTATTTGCAAGGTTTCGCGCCAATTACGTCTTCCAGCTTATACATTCACCGGATCTGATGATAAAACGAAAAATTTTTGTTGTAGTTCGTCGTCTTAGCTGCCCTCGTGGCCTGCGCCCAAGGTGGAGCCCTTCTGCCAGCCCCCGCGGCGATCGCCACTCCTTTCTTGGCTGCCCCCGTTGCCAGACAGGTCCTAACTAAGGTGTCGGACGCGGAGTTCGACCCCAACCCACAGTACAGCTACACCTACAATGGTAACGTTCGATAATTAGTATCACGAGCTATCCGATTCTGGAAATTTCATTCTCTGTTGTACTTGACAGTGGCGGACTCGATCACCGGCGACTTTAAACATCAGGCCGAGACTCGCGATGGTGACGTTGTCCGTGGCAGCTACTCCCTCCTCGAATCTGACGGCACCAGGCGAGTGGTAGACTACGCCGCCGACGCTCTTAACGGTTTCAATGCCGTTGTGCGCAAGGAACCAGCTGCAGTGGCCATCCCAGCCCCAGCCGCCATCTCCGCAGCCATCCCCGCAGCTATCCCGGCACCAACCCCCATCGCTGTTAAGGCCGCTCTCCCAGCCTTCCCGGCACCCATTGCCAGGTTCGCTGCTCCTCTGCCAGCTGCTCTGCCCGTGGCTGCCCCGGCTCTTCCCTACGCTGCTGCGGCTCCCCTGCCACTGGCTGCTGCCCCTGCCTTCCCGGCTTTCACCAGCTACGCCGCTCCGGGCATCTTCCGCTCCGGACCCATCATCAAGTCTTTCTACTAAAAACTGACCATCTAGATCGTTTTTTGGCTACATGAATACCTGGCGACAAACGGTACCTTCGATTTGTACTTCGGCTCCACATTATTTATTAAAATATATAAATCTTTGACCACAAAACCATCAAGAGTCAATAAAATCTATTACCAAACCTAAAGTTTGGGTTCTTCTTACAATTTTTCCTTTCAAAGATACTTTACAATTAACAGTTTAAACGTCATTTTTTTCTATTCGGTCTCAAACATATATGCGGTTTTAATGCTATTTGCGTAGAAAAAATTTTTATGCAATCACATTTTTTAAATGGAATAAATGGATAAAATCCACAGATAAAATACTCGCTTACAAGCACAGATGCAACACGCTAAAATTCTTACATGAAAGCGTGCTAAAGAAAGAAATGAAAAAAAATACACAGATAAGTAAAAATATCAATATTTTATCGAATGTATTTATTATTTTCATAAATCTTTGTCAAGTTAACGAGTTACCACAAGAATATTCATTATTTTGAATAGCCTGTCTTATGCTTATTATAATCATTCATAACATTTCGTTTATGTTTTCTCGATAATTTGTGAGTTCACCACCTGCACTCTCGAAACAGGTATCTCGCGGAATATAAATCAGCGTACCCCTCAACTCATAAATCAAACTCCTGATAACTTGTCCTTGGATGTCGATTTATAAAATTGCGCTGGCACGATGCCATTCTTGTCTTTTCCCGCGTAACGTAATGCCGACCACGCCTGCGTTTACCTTGATGATGCCCTCTCGAGGAGAAAATAAAAAACTGTGCCTTTCTCCGCTCAACTCCCTTCGCCGTTGCAGTATCTCTTATTGCCACTTACGCGAGGAAGCCGCAAGGATGTTCCGCGACCAGCGTACAGCTGATATTTCAGGTAAAGATTGAAGTTTATTCCAACTTTTGTTGGTAAAATTGCATTTGGTCTACGTGCAAATTGACATATACTCACGTGTATTCTTATTTTGAGTGTCGTAAAAAATTAAAAAATAGTACAGGGCTATCTGATTTTTGCTCTTACTTTATGATTGCAAAATAAAGAGAAATGGCAAACTCATGAGCAACTTTGTCGACTTATTAAAATTTTCATAATTTCGAACAAAGTCGTGACTCTCCTATCAATGTATATGTTGGTTCAAGATACTAAGTTATTTTTATGGCATGAAGATACTTAAGAAAAATGATTGCACAAACAGAATCTTAAAATTCTTTACTTACAAATTAAGCTTTGTAACTCGTGACAAACGAGTTTCTCGATAATTTTCTTTATTACTCTTTTAATTCAAGCTTTCTCGTACACGGTGCCGGTGTATAGTAGATAACTACGCTAATGATCACAGAAACTAATTGTATCATTACTTATTTGGTTCAAGGTTGATCTGAAAATGGAAAATAATAAAACCGTTAATTACTTATATAACGTCATCGAAATTGTAACTAATCGTAATCCATCGTTTTGTGTTATTGTTATAATGTATCAATGTTAGCATGTGAGATATAAAAATTTTTCATAGGAGCCAGCTTAGCATAGCTATAGCCAATAATGATCGAAGTATGGTTGTCAAAATTACATTTATAGAATTGTGATTGAATAATCTGCTTATATGTTAAAAATAATATTACATTTTAATACAACAAATTTATGGAAACTGTATGCTATTGGAAAATTGCTTCACTTTACCTAGACATCCGCATATTCAAGACGAGTGATATCGCTACCGAATGTGTAATGCCGGTGAAGGCGTCAATGAGTCACAAAAACATGTTCAATCCAAGCAACGTAATTTCCATTATTCAAAAGGTTCACTGAAGAACAATTGATTAGTATAAGTTGCGCTTTTTCGTTTTTGTAACGACTTTGTCGATTTCTATTTTGTTCTATTATCTTTTGAGAGTAGAGCAACATTGTTTTGTAATCCCACATTTTGAACGTTAGGGTCAAATGAATTCATTTTCAATGTGTAGATCGTTTTCGATCTTTTTTACTTTATTAAATTGTATTATGACTGTGTCGTAAAGTGAATAATCATTTAATTTGACTCATTTTTAAATTGCATGGATTGAAGACATAATATAATATTTCTCTCAATGAGGCATGTTAATAAATGATTAAAACTCTTGATAGAAACTACTTATAATTAAAAGTAAAAATATAAAGTTTATATTTTTATAACTATAATTCATTCATTATTAAGGTTCTTATTACAAACTATTTTACCTAGTAGATTACATATTTTTTTCATATACGATTTGATGAACTCGATGTGCAAGATGCTGTGCATTAATTGTCATCTGGAAAATTTTTGTCGATTTAGTTACGTAATAATTTCGGTTTTATGACTGCGCAATTCTTTGTTTCGTTTTTTAGAAACTTTTCATCACCTCCTTAGCAGAAAAATTGCCTTTCTTTTTTTGATAATACCTTTTATTTTTTCAAAATCGTTTTATTATTAATAATTATTCTATTTCAAAATAGCTTATTACTTAAAAATAACACACAATTAAATAAGTGTAAATAGAGAAACTAGTAATAAGTATGTTACAAGAAAAATTTTAAGTAATTTATATATGTATTTTATATATTTTGGTTTGTAGAGCATATCAGTCATATTCATTCGTTTCGATGAAAATCTAAGATTTCAAATATTCAGTTCAATACTGCTGGACATTGAAAATTAAACATATTTCGTTGTCATAACATTATGAAGGACAAGTTCGTTCTATTTTTATTGCAACGCAGATAGTATATTCCCAACCGCACATGATTACTTGATCTCATGTATATCGAGCATTCAAGAATGGTCGTGCACCTGGAATTCGGGACACAATATTGGGGTACCAAAAAGTAGAACATGATATAATTTGCACAACCAACAGCACTTCCTATAGTACACATTTTTTAAGGCATGACCGCAAGTGGTTAGCCCACGTATTGCACAGTGGATCAGCATTTCGGTGAAAGTCATTTTGGCATTTTATCTCGCACAACTGGGCCTCCTCCTTTTCCTGAAAGTGCCATTCTCTGCATTGACTTGCAGTTTCGACAGTTATGTAACTTGATGTCGGGCCCCCCGATCAGGTGCAACAGCCGACAAATTCGTCTCATTACGTATTAAGGTGCATATATTTTTGGGAATTTCAGCCCCGTATAAATACGCGGTGGACCGGCCTTCAAAGTGCACAGTGATCTCCCGAATTTCATGAGAGAAACAACGATTGTAACAAAATTTTATTGTGGCGGAGGCGTTCTAATAAAGTTACAAATTATCAAAGTGCATAACGTTATCTAGTCTGCGAATATGTTTAAGGTGAGAATGTGTGATATATGCCACAGTAAAAAAAGTATTTGATCGTCATTAAAAATAGTAATAGAACGAAAACTTTTTGAAACAATTTTTAATAATAATTTTCGCTTTCAGTTTGTTTTTCTTACCAGCTTGTTGACATTAGTCAACGCTGGTCTTATTAGCAACCAAAACGATCATGAAGATCACTTTGATCATCAGCCCAAATACAAGTTTCACTACAAAGTAGAAGACCATCATACCGGCGATATTAAATCCCAGGAAGAATTTCGCAATGGTGATCATGTTAAGGGTACTTATTCTCTTGTAGAACCCGATGGTTCTAAGCGCACAGTTGAATACGGCGCTGATAAACACAGTGGTTTTCATGCTATTATAAATAAGGAATATAGTCATCTTGAGTCCAATCATCATGAAACTTCAAGCCGTCATCATTTATTATCGAACCATCATGAAGCTTTAAGTCTCAATCAGTTATCAAACCATCAAAAAGCTTCGAGTCATCAGGAAGACACAAATTATTTGCAGATTAATCACAACGCAATTTTCCAGCAAAAACCAATCATACAGCACGCTCAAATTCACCAAGAAGTGCCAAAGATTCTAACTACTCATGGTCTTCGTCATTTTGCCAGCGGCGATGAACAATTACAAAAGAATGTTGAATTATCATCTCACGACTTTGGCAAGCATAGTTTGTCATCATCATATTTAGAACAAGGACATTCTGGGCTTCAAAATCTTATAGAAATCAAACAACAACATAGTCTTGGTCATTCTAAAATAAACATTGAGCAGTATCAGGGCTTGCAAGAATACGGGCACCATGAAGGTAAATCCCATAGATCAGAAATTAAGATTGAGCACGACCACCCTATTAAACATAATAAACCTTATTTTGAAAATCAAGAATCTCACCGCGGACACTCACAAATCAAGTTCGAACAATACCATGAACCAATACAGCACCACGAGATCAAAGTTAATCAACGTAAACCTCTTAAGATTGAGAGCCAACATTATGGGTCACTTGGACATGATCGCTCTGAACTAAACTTCGATCAATATCACAGCTCGCAACATGGACACTATGGAGGTGAGATTCATACATCTGAACAATTGGAACATCGGCAAATTGAACACGGAATCGAATATCAAGGACTCGAGCAGCAACATCAAATTAAACTTAAACACCAACCAATTCAGCATCAAGAAATCAAATTGGAACATCACCAGCCTCTTAAAATTGGGAGTGATAATCATAAACATAGTCACTCGGAAATAAACTTCGAACAATATCATGGATCACAGGAACACGACAGAGACGAGATCCACAAATCGGCCATTAAAATTGAGCATGTTCTGCCTATCAAACACGAGGAACATAGTTATGAACATCAAGAACTCCATCACGGACAACGAGAGGTAAAAATAGAACCTTATCACAAACCAATCCACCAATACAAGCATAATTTAGAATATCTCCAACCAATCCAGTATCAGGGAATTACACAAGTACCAATCCATCATCAAAAAATTAGCCATCTTGAACCAATTCACCATGAAATAAGAATTGAAAATCACGACTCCTCTAAAATTGGGAACCATCATCATCATCATGAGCAACAAGGCCACGGTCACTCCGAAATAGGCATTGTGCAACACCATAGATGGGGACATAGTCATGGTGATGGACAGACTGATGGTGAAATCCAAAAATCTCAAATTAGAATTGAGCACATTCAGCCCATTAAACATCATGAAGAGCACCATCATGAAAATCACAATGTTGGACACTCAGAAATCAATTTTGAACTACACAATGAACCTTTATTGGAGCACCATAAGATTGAACACAAAAATGCAGGAGCTGACCTCGACATTGAAAAGCACCAAATAATTAAGCAAAATCAAGATATCGAACAAGCCATTCAACATCATAATTTTCAGCAGAATTCAAATGAAGGTTACAAATATGAAAAGCCGGCTATTAAGTTCGAATATCCCACCCATCAAGATTCAAACGAGGGTTATAAATACGAGAAGCCAGTTATTAAGTTTGAATTTCCATAAAAGAAAAATTTTAATTAAACATTTTTATTTCCATACACATCATAAATAATAATTTTTTTCAAAAAATCATATTCTCATAGAATGAAAACCCAATAATATTCTTGATAATCAGTTCTCGATTACAAAATTGTTACATTTCTCAACTTCACTTATATTATTATACATTAATTCATGTGCATTTCATCTACTCTTCATTATAAAAATTCCAAGCAAAGAGTAAAATAATATTTTCTAGAAAGTTTATTACGGTTTTTCTGTAAGTTAATTCTTTTAGTATTATATAACATACTTTGCTTATGTAAGACAAATTTTTCTACTGCATTCAATAGCAATTCACCAGAGAAAATGTAAATACTAAATATTATCCTTAAAATTTTAACTACTTGAATAATATGCCAAAGCAAACTAAACTAATTTCATTCACAACTAAATTCCAATATTTAATAGATGCAAGATATTAGATTCCGTTATTGATTTATTGTTACATTGATTTTTATGTCGCAATGTAAAAATTTGTTCTGAAAATCCTATATTTAAAATTTTTTATTCGAGTAGCTTACAATAAACGCAAATTTATTTGACCATACTATGTAATTAGAAAATAAAATTTTCGACCGCTCAGAGAGCTGGACGAATATAAGAAAATAATAACGTACATACGAAAACCGTAGCAGTTGTGAGATTCTGAGAGAAAAGCATGTTTTACGAAAACGAAAATGAGAGTAAGAAATGACGTAGTAGCCATCATTGCCGATCGGTTTTGTTTGTTTATTTTCGGTATTCGCAGTGCGTTCTTAGATAGAAATATGTTAATTTGTAAGATGTATTTTTTAATATGCATTGATTCATCAGAAAAAATAATGGGCAACAGGTTTGATATACCTTGTTTCACCCATTGAAAAAAAGAGGCTATACATAATAAAATTATTAAAGTAAAAAAAAATTGTGTAACTAACTTCCTTTCTTTCTTTTTCCTTTCCCCTTAAAGATATAAACACTTATTATGTAGTTAATAAATATTTTTTGTCTTGTAATGATTGTTTTTTTGTATGCTAAAGTACATAGAAAACGAAATACGAGTTTTCGGTGAAAACGATTCAACTTTTCAACTGCTGTATGACATATAAAGTGAAATCACGAAAAAGTTTTACAACTGCATAACAAAAATAAAAAAATAGTACTTTAGTAAAGTTTCATTGTATTCTATATTTTATATAATATAAATCAAATCATTTCGCATATCGTGGTGATTTATGAAGAAATTAAAAATAAACTGTACAACTAAACATAAAACAACTATATCGACTTTTAACTGGCAAATAGAGATATATTTTATCCAAACCACTCCATAACCCTTTTTAATGAACTATAGTGGATTTGACTAATAAAATCGCAGATTATTTTTCACTATCATTTTAGAAGATGCATTACGGCCGTTATAAAAGGAATTTATTTTTCACCAATTAAAAAAATTGAAGTACACATATATACTCAAAAAATAAACACAAGATTTTTGGGTATCAACGGGCTATAGCTAAGGGTTAAATGCAAAATATACTATTAAAAAAGCAGATTAAGTGTCAGTGAAAATATTTGAAATCCAAAAATAATTTCATATCGTAAAGTTGTATTTGTTACAGAAAAGATAGGAACAGATACAGATGATTTCATAAAATGTATTTTTGCATTCGATGATGTATATATAGTAGTTCGTTATACTACCCTTTGGACTAGTTTCATATCAGAAAAAATGTAATACTTCAATATCTTCAATATAAAATCTCTAGCAATATTATAAAATTTAAATAATTTTATTCAGATCCCTATTTAATAATACTTGCTTTTACGGTCTGCAATCAATTGTTAAAACAAAAATTGTGATGAACTCATTAAAAATTTGCAACGATAAAAAAGCAATACAGTATTTATAAAGTATTTATGCATATTAATTAGAAATAGTTAATCTTTTAGAAATGATATTTTTAATACTTCTTAAAGAATCGCGAAATGTGTAATTTATTTTGAAAAAATATACGTACATTTTCTACAATACGCTAAGGTGTTTAAAGTAAAGATGAGAATTAAAAAAATAATATTATTTTAATAAAGATATATCATTTTTTTATTATGTTTAAAGTTTCAATTGCAATAGCATTATACAATTAACTAACACACATTTATCAGCATGATTGGTATATTATTTACAGTAAATCGTACCAATCAATTATTTGCTAAATTCACAAATGCTTATCAAGAAGAGTTGATGGATTTTCTTGCAGTCTTTTAATAGTAAGATTGGCCGTGACGATTGTTTAATTGGTGGTGCAAGATAGAATCTGGCTGATTGTTAGAGATCAGAGCTGGCTGGTGAGCGTGTTCACGTTGAACAATAGCGTTGAAACCAGAGTGCTTGTCAGCGGTGTACTTAACGGTTCGCCTGGTACCATCGGCTTCGATCAAGGAATAACTGCCCTCAACGCGGTCTCCGTCGCGGGTCTCGTGCTGCGATTTGATATCACCAGTGTGATGGTCATGCACATCGTAGGAGAAGTGGTAGCGAGGATGAGCGTCGTGGTGATAATCCTCTTCGTGATTGCCGATGTTATGGATTCCTAGGGGTGCCTTTTGCAAATAGTAGGGCAGCGGTACTTGGTGCGATTGGTAATTCAAAGGTAAATGAAGAGCAGTAACAGAGGCAACCACAAAGGTCGAAAGAACGATGAGCTGTAATAATGGTAATTTATTAAAATTTCTTGGAAAAGACTTTTTTAATTATTATTGCTCAATGAATTTTATTTTAAGCTAACTTTATGGAAAAAAGGATTCAAAAGAAAGTTGCTAATTGTGATTGTTAAAATATAGAGAGCTCACTTTGAAAGCCATGTCTGCTGTTTGTGTTTGAAGTTGATTGTGCTGTGTTGACTGTTTGTGTCCAGTGAGAGACTGATGCAGTTTCGGAGGTAACTTAGACTTTATATACCAACGCTGCAGGTCGCCTGCTGCACGTGCAGGTACACACCCGAAATTATTTCGTAAGTGGACCAAGCGCCACTACCGTCGACCCGCGTAATCCAAGAACGGGAACAAACAAGAAAAAGGAAAAGACTGCGGAACAAAACAAAAAGCCCTTCTGAATGTAACCTGCAGCATATAGCAACAGGCAGTATGGGATATAATCTCTGCTTTCTATTTTATTGCATACAAAAATTTGGTTTGTTAGGCAACAATGTTGAGAAATAATTAATCAGTCGTTTGGATGTAAGTATTCACATATATTTGTGAAAATAGGCTTTCATTGAGATAATCAAGAAATTTTAATTATAAATAGTAGCACACTTAAATAGTATTTATGGGGATAAATTTTACAAATTTTCAATAAATAAGAATAGCATCAAATATCACATGTAATTATATGCTTTTTTTAGAAAAAGCAAATAGTGATGTTGCATGCATAAGATTCAATTCTTAACTAGAATTTCATTGCATTGAATATTTTTCAAGAATCCATAAAACATAAAATTAAGCAATATTTGTCAATAAGTTAAACTATTATTTTATAGAAGTTAATTAAATATATTTGTAAAAATTGTTTATATAACTTATTGCGTTATAAATATAAACCACACTAAACAAATAATATATTTATCCTTTGATGAAATTTACATGTATTTTTGTATCATGTGTAGATATGTAAATTTCACATGTATACAAGATACCTGGATTGATATTAAACTTGGGCAACATTCGTATTATAATGGCGCAGATCAATAAAGTTTGATAACTACCTTGGCTAACACACCAAGTCAAATAAAAAAAATAACATGACGACAAGAACTTGTGCTTTTCTAGAATATTCTAGTTTTTTAGTTACCGTATATACAACACCTTAGTTGTATTTAATTAGATATTCCTTAGTGTCAGCAAAATTTAAAGTGAAAATACAAGTCAATACATATGCATACATACATACACATGACAGTCCAATTTGCTTCATAGGGCTTTCAAATTTATGTGTTTTCAATATTAGTAATAAGATAAATATTTTTCTTTTAGTCATTAATTTTTTTGACAATATTTTTAGGAAATGGTAGGTTTAGTTTATAAAATGTTAATAATTTTTTAGTTATATAATGATAAAGGAGCGTAGCAAGATGAAACTTGAAATTTTGAAAGATATACATTTTATTTTGATGAAAAATAAAGTTTTGATGCTCATTCAATATTGATTACATTACGAGTATAAAAAATAAATGGCAAATATATCGATAATCTCTCACGTAGTCGTCATTCATACACATATTTTTTTATAATTTCATTCGTCAAAAGTTGTCGTAAATGAAAATGAATCCCCGACCTACGTTTAGTGATAGGAAGTGTAAGCGAGGGATGCGTGTTGCGACAGGTAGGCGTGAGGCGCAGCGACAGTCTTGTAAGCGAGAGCCGGGGCAGTGTGGTACGCTACAGCGGGGGTTTGGTGGACGGTAACAGGTGCAATGTGAGCGACGTGAGCGATGTTATGAGTGGGCTCTTTGTGCACGACGGCATTGAAACCATTGTGAGGGTCAGCAGTGTATTTGACAGTGCGCTTGGTGCCGTCAGGGTCGACGAGGGAGTAGCTGCCGTGGACAACATCACCATCACGTTCTTCATGCTGGCTCTTCACGTCGCCAGTGTGAGAATCATGCACTATGACATAAAAAAATAATTTGTCCAGAAGAGTCGGATAAAAAAAATTCAGCGTAATTTTTAATTTGTACCATCATAGGCAAAAGAATATTGGGGGTGTGGGTCGTACTCGGCGTCTACCAACTTGGTGTGCACGGTCAAAGGTGCATGGTAAGCTGCTGGCAAGAGACCAGCATTCACTGCTGTGGTTACCATGGCCGAAAGGATGATGAACTATTTAAATAAAGTGTCGTTAATTTGAAACGTGCGAATAGCAAAAGCGCTCTCCAATATTTTAGTTTCTATGTGCTCAAGCAACGGAAACAGAAATGTGAAATTTTTTTTAAGTGACCTAATTTTAACGAATATAAAAGTTGACACCTGTTTCGAGAAACAACATTTTTGAAATAAGTAACTGGTACAGTATAACTGGTTCTTTCTCAAAGTCGTTACCGAAATTTCTTTATTTTCGAGTCACATAATCGAAATCCTATTTTTTGAATTTAATAATACATTTGGTATATATATAACATTATCAAAACGAAAAGAAAATTAATGTATGTACATTACTATAATATGATTAAAATGAATGAATGATCACTAGAAGTCACTAATAACAATAAAAACTAATGATAATCTAGTTATCAATATTTAACTGAATTTTGAAAAGAAATCTAGCCTATTGTCTAAAAAATAAACCAAAAACATACAAAATAGTGAACGTCTTTGATTGATGCTATTTGCTCACTCATTATCACCAGGATAGCACTACGTAACATTACACGGAACTGATGCACTGAATAATTCGTCTAGGACACTCACCTTAAAAGTCATGTTCGTGCCGAGAGAAGCTTTAGTGTCCGAATGGAGACTGATGTTGTGGCCCGGGAAACTTAGAGCTTATATAGTGGGCATGCGAGGCGCCGAAATAACATTGTTTCGCAAGCTTTTGGAAGCCTGGAACGAGAGAAGCAGGAAAAGCCTACCTGTCTGCCTGTTTGTCTGCCTTCTTCTTCGTTTATTCACGGGATGCCGTGTAGGCACAGAGACCGGTCCACAATTGCTCGATACAATCGTCGCTTGCTCGCGCACACGATTGGGTAAGCACGGACGCGCTTTATGCGTGTACAGCTTCATCATCCTTGTCATATGCTTGCGATGCCAATCATTTGCACATTCATCATCGTCGAATCGAACGCGCCCGTGAGCAATTTTCATTGCAGCACGCGCTGTCGCACAATCGTCGATTACGCGTGGCTTGCTTTCATTCGGACCACAGAAAAACGTTTGTTTTCCTCAAGGATGCCAGCGGTTCATTATTTTTTTTTCTTAGTTTCGTCGTTGCCGCGATAGTAGTAATAACAGTGCCTCGTCTGCGTAGTTTCAGTTATGGTTCACAAAGATCGAAAGATTTATTATTTTAAAATAAACTGCGGTATTTCCGATCTCCAATGTTACAGAAGTTGAGCATTTTAGAAAGTGACACGGTTCTCTGTTTTTCGTCTCAACAATCACATTACTTGTAGAATAACTTTTCATACAAGATAAAATAAATTTATCCACTTCGGAAGATTCAAAAATATATTTCAGGCTTCGATTTTATGCGATGATTAATTTGAGCAATAATTATAGTACCGACAATTACGGTTGTTTATTTCATTGACATCAATATAAATAAAGGACCAAGCAGAGAGTTATAACAATTAATTTCTCATAAGGCGCTGAAATATTGAAGTATGTGTAAGTGCAGAAAGTAGCTATACATCTCGATCGAGCCTTCTTTACGCAACTGTTGACCCTGCCAAAGTATCGCGTAAATTATGAACTGAGCGCATAATAATTCATATCACAAATGATTAAGAGAAATTTCTTTCCATTATAAATTATCATAAGAGAATCATATGTAACCGAACGGTAGACACGATTCGCGTGATTTACATGTCGGTCTAATCGCAGGCATGACTACTTGCTAATCGCTTAGATTAGCATTAGCAGTAGTACGTGCTCGTTTCGATCAGCCGCTGCGGGTTTTGCAATTCTGTTAGACTCGTAATTCACATGAATATCGCACGCATGTTGGAGAAGACAATTGCTTGTTTTTTAACCTTTCCGTCAATCATTTTAACTGCGTTCGAGATTATTGCTAAAGGTCAGCTATAAAATAAAATATATCGACCGAATTCATTAAAGCGAAAGTTTATGAGAAAATATCAGTTACCCCATGTTAATCGATGCGAATGCACAATCAAACAAAGAACAATATTTAATTGTCTTGAAAATGATAAGGCAGAGCTGCGTTCGGTGATTGATTTAGTAAGGCATGGTTACGAAAATCCGTGCTACCGTACCCGCGCGCGCGACATACATATGTATTACACGCATTTTCTCAGTAGAGATTTGGCGGGGCGACGCTTGGTTTTGCTCATTTATCTTTTTCGCCATTCGCGTCAAATGTATTCACCAACCATCAATCTGTGTCCCTTATTAAATTGTAGTTTTGTGCAGTATAAGGAACTGTTGTTACGTTGATTGATGATTATCACCTCGCGAAGGTCCTTTGTTCGCTTGTTAGATAAAATTCAATTTGGAGCAACGTAGTTTTCGTTCGGAATAATCGACGTCTAGTTGGGTTATAATTTTTTTCTTTCTTGGTAATTTGAATTTGTTAATTTTAGTATCAAGGCACAGCTTCTGTCAGAAAAAACAACCTGATGATTGATATCTCACTAAAGGAATGTAACTGCCGCGGCATTGTACAAACGTTTCATAATGAAGTTTGTCTTGATACCACTCGTTCTTTATGGTTGATCAATACGTTTGGCTTGACACGTCATACACGTGCCATTCTATAATATATCGCTCCATCTACAACACCGTTGTGGGGCAGTGAACTGGTAAAAATTTGAAAAAAGTTATCAATTATGCAAATGCCGAAACAAAGAGAAGAGAGAGCAAAAAATCGTATTCTTTATGACCGATAATGTTCTGAGATATTAGCAATTCACAGCTGAGCTGGACGAACGAAAATCGACATTAATCGGTAATTTTAGTGTTGCACATCTGCCCGTGCGGTTCTCATTAGGAAAGCATACGGCGTAGCCGAAGGTCGCGCGCGATTACGCGTGCACGCATTGTATCTCACTGAACTTTCGTCAGTTGTGCGTTGCCGAGCGCCGAGCATATAACGGTCTTGCGCAACGGCCGAGATCCGTCGATATGGCTTGTAGACTCGCGCGTGCACACGCATACGCGTAGGCTCGCGGTCCCATCTGACATTGGAGCAAAAACTGCCGGTTATTTGAAGATTTCGCAGTGTGCAAAGCACCTGTGTCGAACGCTTTTGCAGTAAGTGGATTTCTAGGTCGCTGCTACGAGATGAACGCTAACAATTGCTTGACAAGAATAACAAGCACTGTTTTATTTTTTGCTGAAGATAGAAGCTGTCGTCTGTATAAAGAACAATTAAGGCATTACCAGTGAACCGTTACCTCGTGAATTACGATACTTCTAGATATTCAGTATTATATTTAAATAACGAATTTTTTAAATATATAACGTATTTCTTCAATACATTATAAATTGTATCGATTTATCAAATTGTGTTGCTATAGGGTACACGACAATATTGTTATTTATTAATCGAAAAGCATTAAATGATTTAGGATAACGCTGTGTAATTGTCTGCGGAATCACAATTGAATAAACCATTCAATAAGTACAATTTTTTAACCCTTAACTTTTTATCTTTATAAACTAAGACTCTCAACGGAGATATTTGAATGTGAGTTTTCTATGGAAATTTAAGAAATTGAATATTTTTATTATTGAGAAGTATAATAATCGAATTATATTCATTTTATCGGAAAGTGAAATGTGAATTTTTTTGAACCGTTAAAAATAAAAGCAAGTTCACGACTAAAACGATTTTACGTTTACATACAATTTTATATTTACGTAGTCTCACCCCACCGACCATCCGTTGCATGTATCCTCTTGGTGAGAGAAACTTGGGCAACTCATGCTAACTCCCATTAAAATGTCGAGGCGCGCGAGCTACGTACGTATGAGTCTGCATACCAATGTGTAAACCGAAATTGAATTGTCCACGTTGAATTGCACATACGGGATTTTCCACATCTTTAAGATATTCTTTTTCCTTTTTTTTGATGATTGACTTTTTCATAATTATTCATCATAACATCAAAAAAACGCAAATACCAATTTTTTAAAATATGTCAAAGATCCAACTAAAATTCACATATGCTTCTACGATGCAAGGTACTAAAATATGTCTTTGAAATGTAAAAAACTATTTTGAATATTATAATTTTAAATATTCCAAATTGTCATAAATACAGTTTTTCTCCAATTAAAAAAAATTTTTTCAACAACAAAGCCTTCTCATTATTTTATATCTCTATAGATATAGAGATATAAAAACAAATTTATCTGCGGAATAAAGAAGAAGATAACGGAAAGTTAATACGGTTTGAACAAAAAAAAGGTTCACAAAGATTAAAATATTCAATTAAAAAATTGAACACATGGTTTTTTTATCTATTTTGACCATAGAATTTTTATTTCAAGACACATAAACTCAATCACTTTAAAAATTAAGATCGTACATCCTTCAAAATGTTATGAGAGTGTACATTTTTAAATTTGAACATTTTAATAAAATGGAACCGAATTCATGCATAATATTCCACTCTGCTAATGATAAGCTGATGTTCTGGTAATGTTAAACATAAAATTTTGTTAGCGAAATCGATTTAGAATCTGATCACTTTTTACGACGATGTTAGTACGACAAATAAAGAATACACTCGGTGACGCGCATTGACTCGGAGCCAAATTTACATGCTACGTTTAGTGTACGCACCACAGAATTGCAGTCACGTTTCGATTATAAGGTGGATAAGGATCCTTGTCAGCTATACTAATAGTAGTAATTATCTCCAGTAATTACTTTCTCTTGTTATGAAGCATTAGAGCTTATCATAGAAGATTTTTGTTCGAAATTAACTTATCAATAACTTACATGAAAAATGTCGAGTTTTTATGTGCTACGTTACGCTAAAAAATTATTGCGATTTTTCATTGTTTTAAGCTTTGTTCTCGTTGCTAAAATTGGAATTTTTAAATTTTACATAAATTGAATTGAGACTACGCATTGCCTTTTATGTTATATCTCACTGTAATTTTGTCTCGTGTTATTACATCTTACAAATATAGGTTGGAACCTTAATATGCAACACGGAAATTATCTAGTCATATAATATCTTGGAAGTAGAAATAAAAAAAATGACGTAGCCATAAGTGATTATGGTACAGCATGATTCGTAGTCGTGCTAAGGCATTAGAAATGCAAGAGGCGGCACTTTCGTCGACTCCACATACGGTGCCAAGTAGCGCAATAGCGAAAATCGGCCGGGCAACTTGACCTTCTTAAGGTGAGAGTCTGTGGAGCGATTTCTGATCGCAAACTGTCTACCCTTGCATAGGCGCGCAACGCATCATCGATGCGACGACAGTGACGACGACACTGAAGGCGGAGGAGGAGTCACCCATTGTGACATCCTCGCATGATAAAAGCCCAGTAGCGAGTGTTCGGTGTCATCAGTCAGCTCACAGCAGCTCAAGCAACAGTCAAGTGCCTCAGTAGCTCTTTCGAGTCGATCCACAAACGTTATCGCAATGGCTTGCCAGGTACTCGGATAGTTTTTCTCTGATTGACACCGTGCTAACGACTTTTTATTTGCATGTGAATCCAGTGTTTTTTTTTAAATTCTTCTTTTGTAATATTCGACCAAATGGCAGTTCTAGATGGAAGAATCTTTTGCGAGGGCTTGATCTTTATCGTCTATATTGTCTTTTTAGTCTTTGGTTCTCCTCTGCCTCGCCGCTGGCTTCAGCGCCATCCAAGCAGGAGTAATAGCACCAGCTCCCGTAGCAGCGGTCGCGCCGGTGGCTCCCGTTTTGGCCAGAGTTGAAAACGATGCGGTGCCCCAGTACAGCTTCGCCTACGACGTGCAGGACGCACTTACCGGCGACTCCAAGGCCCAGTTCGAGACTCGCAACGGCGACATCGTTCAGGGTAGCTACTCTCTGATTGAAGCCGACGGCACCCGTCGTATCGTCGACTACACGGCCGACCCCATTAACGGTTTCAACGCCGTGGTCCAGCGCGAGCCCGCTGTCGCTGCTGCTGTGGCCCCAGTCGTCGCTAAAACCGTCGTCGAGGCTGCGCCAGCCGTGGTCGAAGCCGCGCCTGCCGTGGTTACCGCTGCTGCACCTCTCGTCGCCAAAGCCGCTGCCCTTGCTCCGGCCTCAGTCGTTACCAGAACCGTGGCTGCCGCGCCAGCCCCAGTCGTTACCAGAACCGTGGCCGCAGCACCAGCCCCAGTTTTCGCCAGGACTGTCGCTGCCGCACCTTTGGCACCAAGACCCGTTTACGGCGCTCCAGTGTTGGCTAGGACTGCTGTCGCCTCCGCGCCTGTTGCTACTGCTGCTGCCGCTGCTCCAGTCTTCTCTAGGACTGCCGTTTCTGCGCCTGTTGCTGCAATCGCTGCTCCTGCCTACCAAACCTACACCTTACCCCGAGCAGTTGCCACGAGACTCGGAGTCCCTGTTCAGTATATTTTATAAATTCTTGAATCAGATCTTTTCCTTTGTTATGATTCGCTTTGACAACGAATCCAATTGTACTGAAAATGGTTTCTCGTTTACTGAGATGACTCTAACGTTTAAGACACTGATTTCATTGACACATTGTAAATAGACTGGCAAGAGTTTTTGTTAATAAAATGAATTAAAATTTTTAATAATAATACTTTCTCGTGTTTACATTTTGGCCAAAGTACCTACATCATTTCCATTGAAATATAATTCTTCAAAGGTGTTACTATTCAATTGATATATTGTAATAAATTTGACGGATAAGTATTCAAATATATATAATAATATAGCCAATTTTTAATCGACCCGGTTCGAGAATAATAACATTGATCTTATTGGTTTAATTGATTCATTGAGATCACTATAGGGATTTTTATTCATATAACATTGATATCAGTCCAAATAGCAATAATTGATTGATAACTAATTAAAGCTCAAAGAAGACCAGCAGATTGAAGACTTAAATTTATGTAATATAATTGATCTTAAAACTTTACAAATGCCATTGATTGATAAATTGCATTTTTAAGTCAACAGTTAATACAGTAACATTACTCTTAAAAGCTTAAAATCAATCTAAGCACCTGTAACTAATAATAAATTTTTAGCGGTATGATGCACATTTTACATTAAAAATATCGATTCAGATTGGAATTTCTTTTATACATATAGAAATAAATGGAAAAAAACAAATAAAAATAGCAGTATTAATCAATCTGTATATTTAAATCAGCCAATTCAGCAAATCTTTCACCTAAGAAAGACAAAATTTAGTCCAATTACGTGGTTTATATTGGAGTATTTGTGCGATATTCGGATTGATTTTTCATTCGAATCACGTTTCGGACTTGACAGTCGAAGAGGAGCGTTTGCTTAATGTAACTGAGTTCGAGGTTACAACGTATTATGTCACTTCAAAAGTATGTGGACCGTAGAAATACTTAGAATTATCGAGAAACTGTCTTCGAAAGCGACTATTTTCATATTTAAAATATGTTACATGACTGTATACTAGAGCTGCGTATAATAGAGCTGGGAAGAAAGTTTTAACGAACTTCTAAAAAGCTTACTCTGCATGACTCAGAAAACACATTGTAATGTTTTTACTCTTATTTTTCATGAAAAAATAAGTTAGTGCATGTTGATTAAATCCTATAAATACTTATTTTCTATGTTATCGTATCGAACAGCGCCATATTTATTTATTTATTATTTATTTAGTGAATTGTCGTATAATGTTTAAATAAAAGTAAATTAATTATATTTATAATGATAATGGCCTTTTGTACAAGAAACGACTTAAGTTTTCTTTGGTCGTATTTTTGGTGTTAATAAATAAAATGTAAATGTGAAAAATTTTTTATAAAAATTTGTAACGTTGATGTAGGATTTGTTTTTGAAAAAATAATGATTATATATATTGAAGAGGCTTACATTTATTATCACTTTGGTTAACAAAAAATATGGTTACTACTATCACTAAAAGAAATGTCATCTTGGGAAACGATATATAACAAGTACTCTTACAATGTACATAACGTAGACGAGATGTCGAGTGCAAAACACTTCGAGTAAAGCATCTAGTAGTATTAAAGCGAAAATCTAAATATCGACTCAGGCGACTGTAGCTGTGTAAGCGAGTCCAGACACGGGCGCGTCGTAGGCTACGGGCGAGGTGTACGTAGCAGTGAACGCCGAAGGGTAGGTGAAGGTGACGCGAGCTGATGGTGTAGCCACGACCCTTTGCTCCACGAGATTGGTCGTGACGGCGGCAGGCAGAGCCAGAGGTGCAGCCACCGCTCTGACGGGCACCTGTCCGACTTGGCTTCTGATCTGCTGGGCTTGCAGCCTGGCGCTTCTAGCCTGCTGTCCAGCAGCTCGGAGTTGTTCGGTTTGCTCTTGCTGATTTCGTTGCGTCTGAACCACACGGGCATCGATCACCTCAACTTCAGAGTCGGGTCCTGAAGTAGGCACTTGCGGTACGACGGGTGACACGGCGGCAGGCGCGACCGGAGCGACACCCACGGGCTCGACAACTGCAGTGACGCCAGAGACGGCTGGTTCTCTGCGAACTACCGCGTTAAAACCATTGACGGGATCGGCAGTGTACTCGACCACTCTCCTGGTACCGTCGGGCTCGATTAACGAGTAGCTACCCTGGACGACGTCGCCCTCGCGAGTTTCGTACTGAGCCTTGGAGTCTCCGGTGATCGAGTCTTGTACATCGCTGTGGAATCGGGGCAAGAGATGTTTTAAAATGTCGGCCGAGCGCATGATATCAAATTAAGGTATGAAGGCTTACTATGCAAAGCTGTAGCGAGGTTGTGTATCTAATTCTTCAAGTTTCGCGGCAACAGGAACAGCGACGCGAGCTGCCACAGGAGTAACCAACGGTTGATTCACTTGAACTACTGCTCCTTTAGCAAGAGTTGCTACTGCCAGAAGGATAATGCACTGTCCGAAAAAAAATTCTCCATCGATTAGATTATTATTTGAAAAATTATTTTACGGTAAATGTTTGAAGTGATCAATATAGTATCAGATATTAAATGAAAGTTTGTCGTTAAAGTTTAACTATCAATAATAATTAGATGTTACAATTTTTGAAGTTTCATTAAAGTCTGGAAATATATTCCTCTGATTTAATCGAAATCAATATCATAAGAATTGGTAATTATTCTTAGACGAGCTTTTAAAAAACAATAAAACGAAGATACTTGAAAAATTATGAGAATATTCATATCTAGATGATATCTAGATTGATTTGGTAGCCAATACCTAGAAGGTAAGAACTGCAAAATAGAAAGTAAGAGAAGCAGTAAATCAGCCAGTCGATATTTGCCAACCTACCTTGCAAGCCATGTTTGTTGGTGAGAGGATCACTGGAGAACTGATGACTCGGGGTAAGATCCTAGCTTCTTTTATACTCGAAATGTGTCTTCGACGCGGTCGCATACACTCAATCCCGAGCATACAAAATCTAGTTGTTGCGCACATACACAGGACATGCGCACAAACGCACGAAGCGATCGCATACAATCGGTGTATGGTTGTGGGGAGCGCCGCTTGATTTCGGGGGCAACCTCCGCTTCAATAGAACTGTAATGTATTGTGCAGGATGCCAATTGCGCGTCGGCGACCCTGACGTATCGCCCGCATGTGAACCCGTAGCTTCGCTATAACACTACCAACGTCGCCTGATACGCGACTCGAAAACCGATATCGATATTGTGATATGTCGCCAGTTGCCGATTACACGTAGGGTGCAATGTGTCAGCCTGTGTGACAGTTTAAAGGATTACTTGTGCTGCTTAAGTAATTTTTCGCAAAGATTTTGTAGGCGCCGTACTTTAAGTATATCATTCAACCAGTGAGAAGATTGATCTGATTATTATCGATTTGTGGAGATCGAATGAGTAGTTATTTGTAAGAAGTAGTTCATGATTATGTTACGCGAATTTCGAATTGACCTATTTATGCTTGTTGGCTAAAAATATTTATTACTGAATGTCATAAATTTTTTCTTAAAATATTGTTATAATTTTTATGTGAACTCTTATAGTTTACTCATTAACGTACACACATCCTGTTTATATAAGTGAAAGTTTAAAAATTATTTGTTAAATCCATAACTATTATTTATTTATTCAACATATTCAAATTTGATAATAACATAACGTTATTAGCTTTAATCTCTACATTTGGTAACATACATGGAGGTATATTCTGAGTCCGTTACATCGCAGGTAGTGTGCTCGAAATATTGATGGGATATCAGGTAGAATATTCCGTATTACAAATAGGATAGTTTTTTTCATTATTTCGAGCAGAATTTTGATTAAAAGAAAAAAATATTGAAATGTTTTTTTTAATCGTGTAAGATATCTTAATTTGGTGATTAATTTTGAAAGATATTCTGATAAGTAAATATTTTCATGATACTTTATGATTATTAATGAAAGCGCGGGGTACACATTTTGCAAAAGAGGTTTTGGTATTTGTTAAATCATTACTATTTGAAAATTTTATAATTAATTTGATCTGCTAAGATAATAAACTCTAATACAATAAAAGCAATGAAAATCATACAATCAGCACTAAAAATCTATTGAAATCTTCCTGAACAATTAGCAAATTAAATCTAAAGCTAGAACTATATAATCATTTACATCTATCAAAACAAGATTATAGCGAGTGAAAGTGATAATAGGCGTTACATCCAAGAGTGTGATTGCAATTAATGACATCGGCATATTGGTAATTCAATGTCATGATTCAAGCCGCGTTGGCTTGCCCAATACATGGACGAAAATGCCCTGCACGATTTTTCGTTAGACTACGTGACACTGTGTGGTAACTTTTGGCAGCGATGTACTCGAGCAGTTATTTAAGAGGCGGCATGCTCGACAACTTACCATTTCTTTGTTTGAATTCATAGCATAAAGACGGTAAATGTCAAATAGGTTGCTTGAAAGTACATAAAAATTATATTTTTTCTGAAGACAAATGTGTAGTTGTACAAGACGTCATCGATCCGCGAAAAAGGAATTACGTTCGATATTTTTGTCACGCAGAAGTGAAAGTTCGATGGATTGCAATTCGTTAACCGCATTTCATTTTGGAGAAGTAGAAGATGCCATGAGCTTTTGCGATATTGAAATACTATTATAGTATGAGTCATTTGTTTATGAAAGCATATTTCGGGATTATGCGATAAAATATTATCATCTTTTTATCATTGAAATATGCAATATCAAATGTTTGAACATGGGCTTAGGATGTAAAGAAAGAAACCAATTGGGAATTTTATATAAAAATTTTAATAATCAAGTAAAAAAGATTACAATTGTCATGGTAGATGAACCGCAATGATCACTGCCATTACCCACAAATCCATACCTACTCTAGGCGCATTACTATACACAATACGTATTATATATTATACACATCTCGCATTTGACTAGGGGACTAGGCCTAAAAATTAAAGAGCTCTGATGCTATTACGGTAATTAGTGCTTAAGTCCTCAGTCAGTGAAAGTGATGCGCAGGCAGGAGATGTGAGTACTTGATGGCTGGTGGCAGTAGAGACGGCGCGCCGACCGGCGCAACCGCAGCTGCTACCGGCGCGAACGGAGTGTGCACCGGGGCAAACGGAGCGCGTATTGGAGCTACTGGTGAAAACGGGGCATGCACTGGAGCCACTGGGGCTGCCACTGGTGCCACTGGAGCCGCTATCGGCGCAACCGGTGCTGCCACTGGAACAGCAGCGGCCACGGCGGGTTCCCTGTGTACGACTGCGTTGAAACCATTGATGGGATCCGCAGTGTACTCGACTATTCTCCTGGTGCCATCGGCTTCGATGAGCGAGTAGCTACCCTGGACAACGTCGCCGTCGCGAGTCTCGTACTGCGCCTTGGAGTCGCCAGTCAACGAGTCCTGTACGTCACTGTTATAACAAAAGATTATTATTGAATGGTTTAGTTCAATTTTAGCCAGTTTAATGCACAAGCTATTATTGATAAGACTTACTAAGCGTAAGTGTACTGTGGATGTGAATTGTACTCTTCCAGTTTAGCCAAAATTGGTGCAGGTCCAAATGCTACAGGAGCTGGCGCAACTGCAGCTACAGGAGCTGGTCCGAAAGCCACCGGTGCCGGTATTACGCTGGCTTGGCTGATCCCCAGGGTGATGGCGAGAACGAAAGTGATCTGCAAATTGTACAAGGTCGATTAAGTGAATTGAGATAATCGAATACATAAAAATCCAATTGATGAACGAGAGTAAACTGAATAACAGTGTGCAATTTCATTGTTGTCTCTAAGCGCGATTATGAGGTGCGTTGTATAATTACCGACTATCGACGTACAGATTTCTCGATATAATCAGGTATTTTCTTTAGTGACTTTAAATTAATTGTCTAGCAACTAGAAGTATATGAACTGAATAGCGCTCTTTACAAGGGCTATTTCGTGTTCGGTAACCCTTTTACTTTATCGTTTGATACTTTGCGGATCGACGAGTTACCCGATCAAAAGGAAATTTCAAATAAGAGCTTCGTGATTGAATGCGAGCTTTTAATGTATTTGGATTTACTATCTGTCACTATGCTGATCGAGCGTGAAGATTTGACAAATACAAATTGCAGACACTATCGATTATTACATATCGATCACATTCCCATTCAAAGGAGTCTGGTGCTCGGTTACACTTTAATTTCGACCAAACTCAAATGTTTCACTGAGAAATGCACTTGTACAAATTTCACTAGAAAAATCACCTTGGCGGCCATTTCTGTCTGATGGGTGATGTCGGTGGAGGATGATTAGCTGCTCGAGGAGGTGCCTTAAGCGAGACTGATGCTTGAATGTCACTGTGGCAAAGTATTTATACGAATAGGAAGGCTCGTCGCCGAGCTCCATCACTCCTGGAGCATGTACGTGGATCGGGTAGCGAAGTAACGTCCAAACGCGGGGAAAGTTTCGCCCGCGCGCGCGCGCTTCCTCTTCTTCGGTAATCTTGGCCGATGAAAGTCACTACAAGCAGCTCGCGTGTCTTTCGTTGGATTCTTTTGGACAATTGCTCAAAAGTACGTGTCGACGCGAGTGTGGAAATACTTTTGCAAAATCATTCATTTTTTTTGGAATGTTGCAACTCTTTCGAGAATCGAGACTAGTTTATCATTCAGGCAAAGTAAACAATTTACGAATCACGTTCCCAATGCTTGCATTCGTTCAATTTGTTCAATATGTACGATCTCAATTTCGAAAGGGTAGCCAGAGAAATTTCAATGCCGTCGAGCGCAAATAGTAATGCGATTTCTATCAAGAAAATTATGAAAGATCCAAGAAATGAAATTATATCACCGCTCTCGATCGCTAATTTTTTGACCGAGATCCCTTCCGTGATAAGACCAATCTAAAACAAACGTTACGCTGTTACACTATAGTTGGCTGCATCGTGGGTCTGAAATGGCCCATATTTCGTGGGCTTGGCAATATTTTTTCCCAACTAACCGTCGTGTGCTTTCACCGTTACGTAAGCTCTCGACTATCGTGTAAGTGTTGCGCTTCCGTCATGTGGCCGCGCGGAAAACTGCCATGGAATACAAAAGCGCTGAGTCCACTTCGTTCTATTGAACTTTTTTGCGTCTCTCGCCACTACCTGTTGCTGCGCCCCGATGTGCGCGCTTTTCACGACCGGGATTTATGAAAGTTCGCTTGCAAAAGCTAATGAGCTTTAATGTGGTGAAATGCCCGTTTCAATTGCAAAAAGGGAAAGTTTCTTTTTTTATTTGTGGAAGTGAATATGCTGAAGAATTTTACGCAACTAATCGTATGTATGCTTAGTAGACTTCAGTCGCAGTTTTTTAATAAATTCGTATCTTTCTAAGCATTGAAGTTTTGACATGGAAGATAATTCGTTATTGTGGATTGCATATCCTAGAATGAATACCTTGTCCGATCAGGTAAATAAAAATAATCCACATTTTTGCAAATTATTGTGAAGAATAATAAATACAATTAATCTACATTTTTACCTGATAGAGTTGTAGTTAAAGTGTTAAAAAAGAGGAGACGCGATCTTTGTGATAACGTGTAGATAATATTAAGAAGGCGCACGAGTATCGTTAATATTCATGATAGAGGACCACTTTCACGTTCTGTCTACGATTGCGCGACAATGAAAGTGCCTGGACTACCGGCGAAATCCTCTTTCTCACTTGTCACCTTGTATACGAATCAACAGTTTGGTACATACAGATCGATTGTTTTTCTACAATTTGTAGTGGATGTTTCGTGCAATTTGTCGAAAGTAGTTGCAACTGTTAGCATAAGAATCTCACACTCTGGACACTTCATTCATTATAAAAAAATAACTCTTCTACAAGTGCCTTTCAATAGCAAAGGCGTGTTAATAATGTCAACCACCTGTGGAAGGAGAAATGACCTACACTTCACGTAACCCTTAAAAAAGTAGGATTGCTTATATTTTCTTAAACTCCAAATAAATGTTTTGTAAAAGAGGCATCTATTTCTAATTTAGTGTTAATTATGCAGTTTTGAATGAAACTTTTTGCAAAAGAGTTTACAAAATCGTTGTATTTTGTTTCGGTAAGAGATCCAAACAAACCTCGAATAGTTATCTCATGGGTTCATCGTTCGCTGGAAATGCCCGACGGCATTATTGTTGTGCCGTTATAAATCCTATGATGATTCAGAGACGAGAGAAAGAAGATGCGCGAGAAATCAGCAAAGTAACCTTGACCGTGGCATGCATCTTCTACCTTCTCTTCTTCCTCGCTCGTGTGCTCGTGTTGCGCAATTGGAATTTCGCAGTTATGTGGCCGTTCACCTGTTTAGTGTGATGGAAGACGGTATTGTCATTTTTCTTCGTCGCAATGCTGCGGCAAACTGTTTATCATTGCAATGCTATTTTGGTGGTGTGTTACAATTGAACAGAATCACCTAATTGTAAAAAACGATACTAAAATTCGTTAGTACTGTTGAAATACATGTATATTACTTTTTATCCCATTAAGATTAGGACTAATTATGAGGCTTTTTACCTCAAATTATCATAAAATCGTCATCACATACATGTATATTATTTTTATGCCATTAAGCTTGAGACTAATTATGAGGCTTTTTACTTCAAATCATCATGAAAATTATCATAAAATTTATTATATATGGAAACTTGTATTTATATTAATAAGTTCCATTAAGATTTTCATCATTTTACTAATATCAGGAAAATCAATAAAAAATAAAATCTTATTAACATAAGAAAATAAAAGATCATTCATGAACAGTTGCGATATACTTATTGAATAAAAAGAAAGAATTTGGTAACTCGCTCTCCAAAAGCCGTACAAAAAACTTCGTCCAGTGACAATAAAGTTACCATTCAATGCAAAAAAACTCTTGATTGTCCAGTCTGAGCGACGATAAATCGCACCTTGTGTACAAGCAACGTATCTTGTATAAAAAGAAAACGAAAGAGAGAGAGAGAGAGGGAGAGAGAGACAAAGAAAAAAAAATTGCATCCCAATAACGCAGACCATTTCGCGACGTGGCATGTTGCGCTTTCGCTGTCGCTGTCGGGAATCGAAACACACAACACAGTCGCAAGATTATCGGGAGATTTCGTAATGTATCAGAGAGTTGTGTGGCCCTTGGTTAAAAGGTCCTATAAATCACCGGGAGCCATGGCAGCATACAATGCGCAGGTGGAAAGTCAATTCCGAAGTGTCCCTCCAGGCGCGCTGTAACAATCTGCCGTGTCTCTATTGGATTTTCATTTCTCGGTCCGCACCGCTCGCGACCGACGGTCTCTATTGATTAGCCGTCTAATTGAGTGGCCAAAATTTATCGTGCACTAATTATTTGCTAGCAATTTTTTAATTACTATGTATGACAACTTTCTTCCTTGGCTCGGACATTTTTTCGTTCGTTTCAGTGAGAGCGAGATGACATAATCAGAATTCGTCTCTGCCGTGGATAAGCTTGCGAGCCGAAAATGTCAAGTTTTTGATTCAACTTCTCGTCAATTAGTAATTCCATGACAAATCCAATTTCCATGCGAACTGACCAATGTAGCGCAAGATAACAATTTATTTATTCCTAGCAAAAGCAAATTCAAATTTCGAAAGCACTGAGTTCGCAGTTAAGCGCAATGAGCGACGCGGCCTTTCTGTGGGTTCGTAATTTTTATCAGCGCACATGTGGCCTGAAGCGTGGACCCGCGGGTGTGTGTAATGACGCGTGACCGTAAACGCGGAAGGCTCGCTTGTCTTCGGCAATCCGTTCTTCGACTGATATGCGCGCCAATTACCTTTTCGCTGTACGTAACGACTAATTGCTCGCCAATCAGAAGTAAGCTGCACATTTTTCCCCTTACCATCCTTCATGATTTAATCGCGGATCAAGACTTACAAGTGCTGGATCACCATTGATCATGAAACTTCTTTACTGGATGTGTATCAATTGCTTTTATTAAGCAATAGCAATAAACAGTGACTATCTCGCGGGTGCATTGAAATTTGAAGTTGATCGACTGAAAAAGATTCATCGCTGCTTATTGCTTGCTGCGGAAAACGTAGCAGAATACCGATTCGCTGGTAATATCGCGACAGGTTAATTCGCTTGATTGGCATTGCTGTGGAACGACGAATTCTCGCGAAAAGTGTCTCGAAACGTATTCAGCCCGTGGTTATCTTAGAGCGAATGCGCACGCGGATAAAAGTGTAGTGATCGATGCCAGGGGGCGTGTTACAGACAGAGGGGACTTAGGAGGGAGTTTCAAGTGGTGAGTGCACTGCTGAGGTATATAACTGCGCTTAGCCACTGTTTCCTTCAGATTAGAAGTGTCTCTTTTCTGCGAACGACCAGATATATATACGTGTGTCTGCCTGCAGCCATGGCAGCATTGGTACACTTGTGCTTTCTTTTACCGAGATTTCTGCTATCGATAAAAATACTACTTTTGAGTATTATTTCATTTTTTTTATTGTAACATCGTAAGAAAAAAATACTAATATGGACTAACTAAGATCGCTACTACAGTTCTATGCAACTGTTTAAACTTCCGTTAAACTCGTATAATTAAATCCATGGTTTCGACAGAAAATTGAAACTATTCTCGAATGTTGTTATTTTTTAGAAATGTTTGATTGTAACGATGCTATTTATATCTACTAATGGCCTGGCTATTGAGAAAGCCCCCATCGTACCGGTAGTCTATGGCAACACTGCCCACATTGATGGTATTCACCCTGTATTGGGAGGACGCCTGCCTAATCCAGATCACTACGATCCTCATCCGCAGTACAGTTATGTGTACGGGGTGCAAGACGCTGTGACCGGTGACGTGAAGCAGCAGCACGAACAGCGCGACGGTGACGTCGTTCGTGGTGGATACTCGTTCATCGAATCTGACGGCTCGCGACGTATCGTCGATTACGTAGCCGATCCCGTCACTGGATTCAACGCTGTTGTGCGCAAGGAGCCCGGAGCGGCTCCGCCCACTGGTCCTGTTGGACCTGCTGGACCACCAGCCAAAGCACCCCTTATACACGCACATAATGCTTTTGCTCCTGTCCTTCCTCTGGCTGGTAACACTTGCTTACTTTGAAGTAATAGTTAATTAGTCGTGTCTTTTTTTTGCATTGAAAAAATCCATTCCGTCTGTTGGAAAAATAATTGTGTCATACCGATTAACAGAGTAATAACTATAAAATACAAATAATTTTCTGAACAAACGCTTGTTTACTTTCTAGTTTTTAAAAGTGTAACATATTGCATAAGAGAATCAGTGAATTCCTCGACTTCCAACAAGAACAAAATATGTTCATGGCAAGGTCGTACTCCCTTTCTAGTGTAAACATTGTGTTAATTTATTTACATCAAAGAATGGCGACATCTTTTTAAATGTTTATTAAAAATGACTATTTTTTTTAACCAAAGTATTAATAATTTCTGAATAAAGATTTGCAATTTAATTTTTAATTAACAAGTTCACTGTCACATGATTCATAATGAATCATACTTTTTTTTGTATTTATCATTTACATATTTTGTAACACTTAAAAATGATCCAGTTCCTTTAAAATTGAAAATATATTTATTTCAGCCGCACACCATGGTGCAGTAAATTCTTTTGTCTCATACAATCGACCATTGAACGTTGGGCGTGTTGTCAACTATCATCATGCTGCTTATGACAATCTTCTGCCATACTACGATGTGCCTGCACCCGTAGTGGCTCCTATCAGACATCTTCCCATCGCTCGCAGCGGCTACGCTCTTGCACCCAATGCACCTTTCGGATACGCTTATTAACATTAAAAGTCAATCGAAAAATTGGTCATTGATGCGACTAACACTATTAGCTGAGAGTTATTGTAAGTATTGGATTTTTATTGGTATTTATGAAAAATGAGTGAAATAAATTTTTATAGATTGTTAAAAAGTTTTCTTTTCGAGAGAAATATCAAAATAACAAATAATCTCTTTCTCAAAACCAAAAAAAGAATCGACATAGATTAATCGATTGTATTGGCTACAATTCAAGGAAAAATGCTTGATGCATTATTTAACTGGCATAAATTAAATTATCTTAGAAGTATTACATTGCAAATGAAAAAAGGAAATCGTGCGTTGTTCTTATTAGAGCAAAGTCGTAACTGGTATTCAAATTATTTTTATAGCTCTGGGCTCTAAGAATATTCATGATTTAATATTTACAACAATATTATTTACATTATATGATACATGGTCTAATATAAAAGGTGCTATTGTATAAAAATGAAATAAATATTTTTGAAATAAAATGTTTGATTAATAATCATCTATTTATCTTGTTAAGAAATTGCATTGAAACAATAGTGTTAAATGAAGCAATATCTTATATACTATTGCACAATAATTATAATTATTATTGTCAAAAAGCATCTTTCAAACCACATTTGTTTATTATATACGTAAATCTTAAATTCACTGACATACCGACACGGATGGCTGTAGTCGAATGCAAACAGCGAACGATTTCATTCTTATTTTTATACCGTCCAAGATAAAAAGGACAGTAACACCACCAAAAATGTTGAAGGCCACGCCGAGCGATTGAACAAAATTTGCGTAATCGTAAATATCTCACCGAGACCTTCGTCAGTGAGCATGTGACCGGTTTTGATCTCGGAAGGACGAAATATTGATTCCAACGCAAGAAAAGGGTAGTGAATAATTTTTGAGGCTTAACAAAAATAGCCAGTCAAAATGATTATTATATAGTTTTATTTATTTTTCATTAATCTTAAAATATCTATAATAAAAAATTCTTATTCTAGCGAGAGAACAAAGAAACTGATTCTTCGGGATATCTATGATTTCTTTTTTAAATGCTTCGATATAAAGCGCTATGAAAGAACCCTTCAATGAATGTTTATTAAATTATAAACGTTATCATTTTGCAAAGTATTATTCATGATAGTGTCAAGTTTAATGCTAAGACTGAGATTGTTCCGTGTAAAACTACGGATTACTATAGCGAAGAGCAGGTATCCTGGCGGAGTGCGCTACATAACCAGATCCGAGATTAGGTCTTGCCGTAGTTGCCTGAGATACGTAGGGCTGAATTCGCGCAGTGTCAAGACTGACCTGTGTATGATATTGGTGACTCTGAATCGTGAAATGAGGCGTTGAACGGTACGTGTGCGAGAAAGCCGCATCTAAAGTTGCTATGGTTATTGTCACGAGTGCGCACGTTATTACGAAATGAATCAACAGTTCCCCGAATTGCTGCAAGGATAGATGTAGTATTTAAATTATTTATAAATTGTTCGATACTTACTAAAAAAATACTCGTCTTACTCGTGTTTCCTTCGCGCCAACCTTACGACTGATTCTAAAAATCAAATCAGTCATATCCATATAGGATAATTCTCACTTCTTGAGCGATTGCATATATATCTTCCTCTTACACCCCCCCCCCCCCCCTCCCCTCACCCTGGACCTGCCGTACAGCTAAAAATTTGGTACTCTGAGTCTCGTGAACAACGGAATCCTTTTTTTTGCGCAATCGTAAAAATATCATATACACAGACGAGATGGTTATCTGCCTGGATTTTGACTCTAGCCATGCGCGAGTTTCGACACTTCCCAATCGGTACATTGTATTTATGCCTGTGACCCCGACATTTATTATGCCAGCGTGTATTGTTTTTTCATTCTACCTAGTGAACGCGGGCTCTTTTTTTTCAGCGAAAGGTTTTTTTTTTCAATTATGCCACTTAGTTTTTTTTTCGCTCGCTTGAGGGGATATTAATCAAGAAGGTTGAACCGCGAACGGCTAAATAAGTACATTTCCTTTGCTGAAGGTCATTTTTCTTGGTTTCACAGACCAAAATGAAAGCAAGGTCGTATGCCCTTTACTTTCTGGTATTTCACATGTGATATAATCAATTGTGCCGAAAATCACTCGAATTCTTATCATTGTGATTGCATGATATCTACCTCGATTGGTTTATTTAACCTGAAGTTATTAAACTGAGAAACTGAATGAAATAATAAAATAAAGTATTTTGCTGTGGTTGATTTTAAAGTTTATTAACCAAAACAGCACGTCTATAGATCACAGTATCATTATAACATAAGCATTTTTCAACTCGCTCATCCTTGGTATTCAACAGGAGAAAACGGTTATAATAATAGTGATGAGCTAAATCGACCGAGTGAAAAAGAAATGTGCCGAGAATTTGATTACAAATGCAATAAATTATTAAAAGGATTTGTAAGTAACGACATTAGCGATCGACCGTCAAAAATGTTGATTTGTTGGCCCTGCAGCAAGGTGCCGATCAATCTCTTAGTGAGCTTTCCCAGGAGAATTCTTACTACGTATAATACGCGCAAGAGTTCAGATAGGTTTTCCCTCTGGTGGCTCAACTTGGAAATGTTCGTACGGTATCGCGGGCGAATTGTCGTCAATTTACCAGACCACGGGTGCGGTGGCATAGGCGGCGTGGGCGACGGCAGGAGCAGCGTAAGTCTGAGCAAATGGATAAGAGGCCGAGTAGGTGGCTACTGGCACGGAAGTATGCACAGATTTGACAACTGGAGCAGTCGAGTAGGTGACAGCAGGTGCGCCAGAGTAGCTGGTGACAGCAGGTGGGGCAGAGTAGCTTGTGACAGCAGGTGCGGTAGCGTAGCTGGTGACGGCGGGAGCAGCTGCGTACTTGGTGACTAGTGGGGCAGCCGAGTAGGTGGCGACGGCGGGGGCGGCGGGGTAGGTGGCTACGGCAGGAGCAGCAGCATACTTAGTGACGAACGGGGTAGCCGAGTAGGTGGCGATGGCAGGGGCAGCAGCATAGGTTGTCACGGCTGGAGAGGTAGAGTATTTAGCGACGAAGGGAGCAGCCGCGTAGGTTTGGGCGAAGGGGTAAGACGCGGAGTAGGCTACTGGCACGGAGGCATGGATGGACTTGACGACTGGGCCGGGAGCGGCGTAGGTAGCCACTGGGGTGTTGTACACGGTCTTGATCACCGGAGTGGAGGCTGCGTAGGTGGTGACCGCAGGTGCAGCAGCGACAACGGTCTTGACCTCCGGAGCAGCGTGAACGGTCTTAACTACTGGAGCGGCGGCGACGGTCTTGACGCTGGGGGCGACGGCGGCCGTGACTTCCACTTGGGCGGGTTCCTTGTGCACAACGGCGTTGAATCCGTTGACCTGTAGCCAAGAACAATTATTCATTTCCACAATGCAAATTATTATGGTTTCTCTCGTCAATACTCAAGCAGTCGTAGAGCGATTATTCAGTTACCGAATCAGCAGTGTAGTCAACGGTGCGCTTCGTTCCGTCAGAGTCGACCAGCGAATAGCTACCGCTAACGACATCGCCGTCACGGGTCTCGTGCTGAGCTTTCACGTCACCGGTGAGCGAGTCGTGGACGTCGTACGAGTAAGAGTACTGGGGATGAGGATCGTGCTCGGCATCGACGGTTTTCGTCACCACTGAGTTGGCTACGGGTGCAGCGTAGACTGGGGCTGCTGCGGCATAGGTTACATGTGTCTCAGGGACTAAGCCGGCATTGGCGCAAGCCACGAATGCGGCGAGGAGGACGAACTTGTAAATGAAAAGAAATCAATTATAAGTTTCAGCATATACGATTGGGAAAAAATGCATAATAAGCTGTCAATCTTTCAAGTTTATATAAATATCATAAATTATTAGAGTTATTATGCGCGAAACTTACGTTGAGGGCCATTTTTAAGCTGCTCATTAGATGAGTTGTTGGATGAAACTGATCTCGAGTTGGACAGCTCAGGATGCTTATATACTAGATCAGAGTTGCATCTGCGTAAACGATTTAGTCATTAGCCACGCCTTTCATCACACACGGAACCCCTCCCGCGTCATTTGTAAGCGAGTCGCCGTAGCCAGATGCTTAGTTATTCAAAAATGTCAAGCTGCCAAAATTCCATCAATTCCGCCGCTGTCCTTTGGTCGCCTCAGAAGATTAGATCAACCAGATATGTAATGGAACTCCAGGGACTCGTGTTCGTCTAGTGTTTCGATTACAAAATGGCAATGAGCGACCTTTAGCTTTCAAATGTGATTAATGAAATGCAAGGTTTCGTGTATAGAACGACTGTCACAGTAGTAATTAATTGTAGGGAAAATCAATTCCAACTGACTGGTTTATCCGATACTACTTATCGCACTTGTAAAATTTGATATTTGCCGATGATTTATTAATACCCTGAATAGGACATGATTCAGATTAAATAATAACTCCTCGTGCTTGCAAATCAAGTCTGAAAAATTACTGAAAAAATAAAATTCTAACAGAATTCTAAAACTTATTACATCGAAAATTATTTGTTTGCACATTTTATTTGCTCGAGCACTCATGCTCATTCAAGGAGTGATACTTTCAAGTATAAGAATTTATGTCAATAAGCATACAAAGAACGCCTGCGTACAAAGAAACTGCCTTTCTTATGAAATCTAAAATTACAGATTCGATGGTTTCGTTACACGTACGTCGGAGAATTTCGGCACAATGGCTAACTGACTTTGCGATCGGTCAAATCAAAGCATAACTTGCTCATAACCGTTTTGAATTGTTTATTTTGAAAATAACTTTGGCAATTTTGTGAGAAACTTTCACGCGTCGAATCGTATTAACGTTCTATAATATACGAGATTTTGTAACAGCCGAATGATTTGTGTTTGATTATCGAATAGATCACAGCATCAGCATTGACATCTGTCAGAAGTTTACGGGGATTTGATTAGGGACTTTCGGTCAGAAAATTTGATTACATATGTATTTATTCGTCCGATGTAAATCAAATCTGAAAATATAATGTTTTCTATTTAATACTAATTCTACTGATATTAACATATTTCAAGTACTTACATGTAATTATGTGACCGAAAGTATCGCAATGGTTTATTGTCCTTGACACTTTGATAGCGGAATAATTTTTCAAGTTTTATTAATAAGCTTATTGAAAATGAAATCCGCTGCAGTGCGTTGCATGGGACTACCGGCCGTACACGATTCGGCATCGATCGCTCCAATTAATCGATCAATTTTTTTCGGTTACGAGTGCTAAGATTTCCCGATCAGTGCATGAATTTCCACATACAGCGTTATACCGACAGCTATAGCCAGGCAACTTCATTGCCGTGAAGCCCTTGACGAGCGAAGCGCATCGGACAGCGTCGGTAAAGCGAAAAAAGTGCGCGGCCCACTAAAAAAAAAAGGAGCTAATTACAAGTAAGAGAGCGAAAGAGAAAGTATAGCTGCTGATCATGAAGTTCGAAGTGAAAAATGACGTAATACGGTGTCGAGTTAAGGCGTCCCGGTGATGACCGCCACGGTTTTCTCTGCGTAAAAGTGGATCAGTGAGAGAGGCGTCGGGCGTGAGTTAGCTCCCCTTGATTCGCTGGTGTCGAAACTACGCGGGGGACCAACTCTACGATACGCCATCCCGCAGGGGTTATTGTTGTATAGCCTAGGGCATCGTGTCGGACAGCGTTGGCCCACGAGTTCGGCAAGTATATAACCTAGAGACAAGCGCTGATCAGACATCAATCGGCTTTCGGTACTCCATCGAGCTACGACGAGCAGCATTGTCGCGCACTCAATCACTTAACAATGGCTTTTAAAGTAAGTTCGAAAGATTTGAAAGACTAAGATTTAAAAAATTTCCGAATCTCGGCATATTTTCCTTGCGTTTTCTAGTAATTTTTTATATTAATTATTGACGACTTTAACAGTTGATCGTATTCTCCGCCATGGTGGCTTGCATTCATGCCGGTGCAATCGGTTACTCCGCACCAATTGCCTACCACGCAGCTCCAGCTGTACACGCCGGACCCATTGCCTACCACCCAACTCCAGCTGTACACGCCGCACAAATTGCCTACCAGGAAGCTCCAGCTATACACGCTGCCCCGGTGGCTTATGCCCCCGTTGCCAAAACCTTAGTCGAAAAGCACATCGACGAGGAGTATGACCCCAACCCACAGTACAATTACTCTTACGATGGTGAATATACCGACTTTCATCTTCGTCGAGTTTCTATCTGTCGTCTAACGATATTCTAAATTCGATTCGACAGTACATGACAGCATTACCGGCGACGCCAAAAGCCAGCACGAAGAGCGCGAAGGTGATGTCGTTCGCGGCAGCTACTCCCTCGTCGAGGCCGATGGCAGCAGGCGTGTCGTTGAATACACCGCTGACCCACACAACGGTTTCAATGCCGTCGTACACAAGGAGCCCGTTGCGCCTGCGGTTGCCAAAGTCCATCACGCTGCACCTGCTGTTGCCACTTATGCAGCAGCCCCAGTTCTCTTCAAGTCCCATCAAGCTTATTACTAAGCAATAGCTTGTAAGCTTTGTGATATATATCCATGTTTTTAGTGTGAAATGTTGTGTTGTCTAATAGTCTTCTTTTAATGCTTTATCTGTGCACAGATGTGCTCTTCTGTTTATACTTTTTCTACGCCTACAATTTAAGTTTGTATATAATTTTAATAAATACAGCTTTAATTTGCAATTGTATCTTGTTATTCTTATCTACCTAACAGCTCCGTTATAAATTATATCAACTCTCACGCTAATGTTTCAATGTTATTTTACATTTTTTACTTATCATCTGCAAATCACGCATTCAGTACAAGTGTCTTGTATTATAATGTAAATAATTTTTTAATGTGTAGTAATTATATACCAGAATTCAAATATCAGCAAAATGTGGATTTTAAACGAGATGAATTATTTCAATACCTTCGCCATTTATTTTTATAAACGACCTTTACACGACCTACATGTTTTTTACTCGCCTGGCAACCATCGCGATGCGCATTCAAGCTTTGCAATAAACAAGTTTCAAAAGAAAAAGTTGAGTTGAAACGTATCTGGTTATTACCTGTCTTGTGTAAAAATCTTTCACTTTTCGAGTTCTTACTCAATCATTATACCTTCAATTTTTTCCTTTGTGCTCAGTTTAATAACCCTGGCTTCGGATTTATACAATACATGCATATATGTTTTATTTATTAGAGTAAGAACAATAAAAATATAATAATGTAAAAATGTCAATAATTTATAATGGATAAAATGAATCTCTTTTACAAAGAAAGCAGCTATAATAGCTCACTTATATTTTTTTAGATATTTAGGCTATCTATTCAAGTTTCAAGTATTTCTTGTACTTAAAATATCAAGGCAAACTTTTAACATTACATTTCGTACCTAAACTTTATTATACAATCTTTCGATATGAAAGCTTTTTGGATATATTTAATTTCATTTTTTCTGTATTTAATCCATACAAAGAAAGAATTCATTTGAAAAATGAGACTTGCATAAAATTTACACATTTTAATTATAATTTTAGCAATCAAAATTATTTCCTTCTGCGTGTTTAAGTATAAATATTGATAATGCAATTCTTTTTGAAAAAGTGGAAAAGCAAAATAGAATATATTACTACAGACGATGATCATTTTACCCGAAGATTCTTGTAATACTTGTATAAATTGGTAACCCAGATAAATTGATAAGCTCAGGCGTTTTTGTTATTTTTAAAATAGCAAACACTTTTCGAGTCTACTAATGTGAAATAAATAGCTTCATAAAAAAAAGTATATACTTTTTTTATTATAAATGAAATCGTTACATCTTCATTTATCTGAGATTGCTTGATCTGCGCACCTGTTTTATAACACAGAATTTAACAAATGGTATGATCAGGAATGTGCTCTGTTACCGCATAATGTAGTTAAAGTCAATGAATGTTTGTCACTACCGCTATCAGTGTTGGGTGGTGAATGGCTGGTGAAATTAAAAAAACGTGAAACGGGGGACGCGTCCCTGGCCGGCCGAATATCGAGTATATAAGCCGGGATCCTGGCATGTTTTGGCATCACTCGACTAGCCTTCGCAACTGCAGTCAACTTGAGTAATCATACAATCCTGCAATGGCCTTCAAGGTAAACACAAACGTTTAAACAACTACTTTCGTTCAACATCAACTGGCTTAAGCTCAATTTCTGACGTACTTAAAAATCTGAATTAATAAACTTGCCACAGTTTGTCTTGTTCGCCACTTTGGTGGCCTACGCTCAGGCCGGTGCTGTAGGATATTCGGCACGTGCATATGAGCAACCACTCGCTTATGCGACTCAAGGTGCCTACCACAGAGAACATGTTGCCGTGGCACATGCAGCTCCCGTAGCCGTCGCCGCCGCACCCGTGGCTGTAGCAGCTGCTCCGGTAGCCTTACGCGCCAAAGTATCTGACGAATCCTTCGACCCTCATCCCCAATACAGCTACTCGTACGATGGTAAGATTCCGCTTTTTCACAGCATTATTGACTTTCCAAGCATATATCCAACGATGTTTGATTAACAGTGCACGACACCATCACCGGAGACGCCAAGAGCCAACACGAGGAACGTGACGGTGACGTCGTCCGTGGTAGCTACTCCCTGATCGAACCTGATGGTAGCAAGCGCGTGGTCGATTACGCTGCCGATGCCCACAGCGGTTTCAACGCCGTTGTCCATAGAGAACCAGCCAGCCACGCCGTTGCCGCGGTAGCTCATCATGCTCCCGTTGTCGTCGCTCAGCGTGCACCTCTTGCCATCGGAGCCCACGCTGCCTATGAGACCCACGGGCATCATAGAAGCTACTACTAAGCTTTTTTCATACAATTGATGCTTGTAGTTGTGCTGTGGTTCTCTTTATACATATGTCATCTATGAATTTATATTCCATTTTGCATTATACTGTACAGACTGATATTGACTGAAGCATGTAAATATATATATATTTAATAACAATTTGTGTTAAGCAAATAATTAAATACTTTTATAGTTCTTTATTGTATCGATCGTTGATAACATACTATAAGCTACTATCTAATTTTCATTCCAGATCAAGTCGTTAGAATTTCAAATCTGTCATATCGTAGATATGATGTATTCTGATACACGTGACTTGACTGAAAAGTATTGATTGATCGATTTCTCATAGCTTTCTGGTACGTACGCATTAATTATGTAATTTTTATTGACTTTAGTATACGTAAAAATAACTGCGGAAGAAATAGGAATGTAGCTTAACGAAATGTGAATTTTTCGACGTAGACGTGATTTACATAAAGTATTTCGTGAGGCTATTTTGAAAGAACAAAATTATTGAAATGAAATATGCAAACTAATAAGTTTATCTTCTTAAAGATTTTAAATTTATTGAAATGTTACATTTTCAAAATAAGAGATGAGAAAAGAAAAACTTATTCTTAAATTTAATAATGCTTATGCGTATAATAAAAACTACCAATTAGCATTTTTAGTGGAAAAAGATTTTCGTTGCAGTAACTCAACTTAATCATTACAACTACAAGTAACTTTTAAGTCTTTGTTAAACAAAAAGTGAATTAAGCGTGAGACAGGAAAGAGAGTGAAAGTAAAAAATGACGGAAAGAGAAACGAGGGAAAAAACTAAATAGAGAAATGTACGTGAGGTTACTTTTTGTTCTTAATGCTTTAGTCTGTAAACAAATTATAAACGCTTTTACCATAAGTCAGTGAACCAATAAGCCCTTCTTTTATTTTAACCCTACTTTCCCTTTTTCCTTAAGAAAGAACTACTGAAATATAATATATTTTTTTAGTACATTTTGTACGGGTATGACGAAAACTAGGCATAAAATTTTGAAATGGAACATTGTAAAGAGCAGGATATATTCCCATGAGGTCAAAGTATCTTGTACAGTTCACAGTTTTATGTTCCATAATCATTTGAGTACTTAGATTAATAACCGTCATTGTACTTGACATTCGCTCAAAACGTTGATAATAATATTAGTACTCTATCAGGGTACTCGAAAGTATCTACTGAAGCAACAGCTCGTTAGTATATTTTATCATTTGCCTGCTCTTTAAATGAATATTTGTCAATTAAAATTATTTCATTGTCAGGAAAAATTATGTAAATCATTTCGACTCTCTTGTCGCTTATTCTAAATCAATTGATCGATTGATAATTTATTTAAATCATAGTGTCTACTTAATAATAATTTTCTTTTAAAGAGAAATTACAAATCCGTTCTAGAATTTATAAAACTTGGTTTTACTTGAAAAAAATCTTATTTAAATTCAATAGTCGCGACTTGTTTCAACAATCTGACCAATATTCTTTCAGAGTACAAAATTTACGAAGCTTTAGGCTGCATTACAAGCAGACATATTGCTTATAGTATCAAAAATAGGCTGTCATGACGAAAGAAATTGGAATTTATTAAGTATGTATGCTTCTTTTATATACAATACAAGGATCTCTATTGGATCGATGCGTTCCCATTTATCAATTTCAGAAATAAAATTAGTTATCGTATAAAAAAGTAGTTTTCCAAATATTTCTGCTGCTAATTTCTTTAAGCAATGTAAAACATATGTAAGATGCAACTTTCTCAGGTACAATTGTGCCCTGAGTAATAGAAATTAAAAACTTTTTTTGATTATGTAATTATATTATTCGCTATTTGGTAATAAGCAAACCGGTGCTCTTCTTGAGCCGTATGAGATTTAAAAAAATATCAGCTTTTAAAGCTTCCGTTGGCAACCCACCAACGTCCTTGAAAGATCCATAACTTCCGGACTTATTTCACATTATATGTCATTTTAACATCATCGCATAACACGGTTCTCGAGTAAAACAACTTTACTGACATAATAAGACCAATTTTCAGCGACGCATAGTCGCATGTTCGAGGATCAAACCATTACGGCAATGTGGCCTAGTTTTCTGGTCGTGAGGAGCAGTACACGCCCAGCGAGTGAAAGTACCTCGCATATGGAGCTCTCGATTACGCATTCACGCGACTTTGTGCGTTATAATGCCACTTTCGGCCCATGGTTAATGCATGTGTGCGACGTGCCATATTGCACAATTCTGGTTTTTTTTTTCATTGTGGCAGTGGTGCTATATCCAGTGAACACGATGAAACTGATTAGTTGTTACCTTTCTTTAGCTGGCAAGGGTGATAATTTATCAGAATAAAAGTCTTTTTCAATTTTATACGATGTATATATATGGATAACCGAAATAAAGTTTCAAACGATTTGCTCATATTGGTTAAACATGTACTTCAATGTCTGCAACCCTGTTATATTCAACTTTTAACAAAGTTTTGACAAACAAGAAAATTTGTTGACGTAAAGTTTGGCTTCAAGTAGAGTAACATAAACAATTATAAATAATAAATTATTTTCTTTTTTAATTTACGCCACTTCATCAAAGTTTGTTATATTTATTTCGAACGATTTTAGTTAGGATTTGTAGGTTTTGAGTTTAAGTGCATAAAATACAGGATGAGTTCTGATGAAAATGTGAATTAAACAAACTTTTTTTCTCGAATATTGCACTGATAATGTGGAATAAACGAATGCAAATTTTTGCAAATGTTTGGACGTGAATCAATTGAGTATACGAATTTCATTCAAAAAAATATAAAAGGAATTACTGAATACAATTTCAGCTGCAGCGCTTCAAGTTTTGTTGCGGAGGTCGTTGTAACTTCTGTCTCAAAGTTGTATCGACTGCCCAGATTCAATTCACCTTTCCTTTTACTTAGACGCGAATGGACGAGGCGATCGGTTAAAAGCCAGTTGGCAATATAGTTCCCTGCAAAATCATTTAGGTCTCAATCGTTAATTTCGTCAAAATGGTTCGATTGAGGTAAAACAGTTACAGGAAAGAAATATCGAATCAAGAAAAAATATGTTTTATAATCCAGGTACAGCTATTTTTTTGTGCAAACATGAATTATACCATTGCGAATTAATACTTAAATAACATTATATGATACTAAATTTTAAAAAGTAATCAACTATTTCAAAATTCGAATTGGTGTTCGATTAAGAAGATTGTATTAATCAATGTTGCGGCGGGGTTCAGGTTTCCCTACTATGTAACAGTATCATATGCAATGTATATTACGTTAACGACTATATAAACGGAAAAGATTCATGATCGAATCGTCCATCGAATCAATTTTATCAATCATGTGTGGCATTATTTTTTACTTGATAGTGCTAATTAAGTAAAAGTGGCAGATTATTATTCCACCTATACGTGCCGTTTGCAAAGAAAAGCGCATGGTAAGCACGCAATCTCCCGTGTACGAATCGCAAAGCGTGAAGTATTATTGAGATACTTTTCATTAACGGTGCAGCGGATTAATTAGTTATTGGGGTAGTAGTGTATAGTCGCTGGAGAATATCGTGAAATCGAAAGCGTGATGAGACTCATTCTTGCTAACTTTCGGTAGAAATTAACTGCATTTTTATGGTACAATCTTCTGCGGTTATAGGTAATATGATTAATCGGTTTCGCATGAAAAATATGACAGGGAAAATCTCGGGTAAGCAAAAATGCTTTATGCGTCAGTTTGTTTTATTTGTGCATACGAAATATCTTTTCAACTTAATGATTATTAATTTTCCAATTGGGTCATTGAAAATAATAAAAATTACAGATAAAAACACAACTATCACGTATTGTGATGACATTAAATACATGATATTGATAAATAGTTAAATCTTGTTAAAGCTTTATTGTTGCTATTCCGTCAGTGAGTAATTTGTCAAAAACTTGAAATATTATATCTTAGTGTGATATTAGTAGATGTAGTTGAAATCTAGTGAGGTAAATTTTTTTGTCGTTTTCTTCACCAATTTTGAAAATAAACATTAACATAGAAAATACTTGATGTGAAATATCAATAATGGTGATGAGAATGCATTTTCATTCTGGCAAGTGAAGCAGTATACCTGTCATCCATCTACATCAAAATGTTTTTAAAATAACTTTCACCGGGAGAACTTTATCTGACCACATACGCATTGTATAAAAAACCGAAGCTTGATGCTTCTGCGAGGAGCGGCGGTTTGCGGATTAACAATTAAAAGCTCTGAGGAAGGCAAATCGCAGAGCAGGCGAATCGCGGCCTTGAGGATCCTTGACTACTAGGTAGAAGCAGCTCCTACAACTTAGCACCTCCCTTTCTGTTTCACTTTCGCACCTCGACGCGGTCTATTTACACCCGGCACGGTAGCAGAGCACTTTCTCGGGTGAAAGTGTTTTTATTCGGGCGGAGAGCAGCGATGCAGAACCATCGAATATTGTTACGTGCCTAGTACGTCGACTGCCATATCTCCCCACGAATAATCGTGCCGACGTGACGGTCAAGCGAGTATATTTGGCGGAGCGAGGATGTACGATGGCTCGCGGGGACGAATGTCTTATTTGTTTCTACCGATCTCGAGTGAAAACTTGTTGATACTACAACTGACGACATCGCCTTTTTTACTTTATTTTAAATACCGAGTGCGTCGCGAAACAAATCAATGAACTTGAAACTGGTTCTCGAAGTTCATTGCACTGATAATTATCTTATTAAATATCGATTCCGGAAAATTGTTATTCATTCTCGAACTCTAACTAATTTACAAGTTTATGTGTTTACGTCTGTCTGATATTTCAGTTGGCTAGTTATATAAAATTTATGATTTGGATTTTCAAATCTGAAAAATCGTAAAACAGAAAGCAACCAAATCCATTTTAAAGTGATAGATGAAAAAACTTATAAAAGTTGTACGACTTTCTTTACGCTTATTTTTTTCCTATTCCATAGTTAATTTCAATATTATGAATATAGTTTTTTTTACTGGAATTGTTAAGTTTTTATACACCGTGATGAATACTTAACTACTGTTGCGCAATACGCATTTCAAGAGTCTTGACCAGATAAATACGCATAAAGTTTTTCTCGACAATAAACCATCACGCAATTTGACGTATTTGCAATTGTTCCGTTCAGATCCAAAATGGAAATTCACTTGCAGAAACGAAGCGAAGCAGAGATCATAACTTCGCGAAATCACAGGGTTCAACAAAACACTTCGAAGAACCAGAAACAATAGCAACGAGATCTTGGTAGCGTCTCGCATGCTAATAAGCTCGATTCTCAAGAAAGCAGGAACAAAAAAAAAGGACTGCTCGATTTACAATGTGAATTTCACTCTTATACTATGTCAGTTTCACTATCTGCACTTGTGCTCCTCACTTGAGCAGTTTGTGAAAAAAAAAACAAAAGAGATGCGTAGATTACAAAAGACGAAACTTTCAGTGGCTTTTTAATTGGTCCGATGCAACGCACTAAATAGCTCGCTAATATCTTGAGACCGTTGCTGTTGGATATTTTAGTGGAGAACGAAATTGAATACAAGAGGAAATTGTTAATATGTCTTTCTTACACCCAGTTGTTATAAAAAAAACACATGGTCATTGTTTTTAGGTGTACGCATTATTATCCTACAATGTGAGCTGATGATGATACATATCGAAGAGGTCTTCGTTGCAATGAGAAAGTACTAAACAAAAAGTCACAAAAAAGCAATGAACGTATACAGTTCTTACTAATTTCACGAAGCATATCATTAGAGACGATTAATATTTTGTTCTAGTTTTTTTTTTATGATGGATTGTAAGTATTTATTGACGCCATTTGGAATGTTTAGACGAACATTGCTTAATCGCATTAGTAATTCGTGAAACGAGCAGAAACTATTCAATTCTATCATTTTATCTGGATTAGGTGTATGATAAAGGGATCATTTATTAGATAAAAATAATAAGAAAAAACAGGTAGATATTTGTCGTCGATGACATATCTTTAAGTCTATTAATATTGTAACCTTCTTCAAATTATACATATCTTAGTCTCAAGAATTTGCGTTTTTGAATTTTCTGAAACAAAACTATAATCCTATATTATTAGTTCATAGGTAGATTTTAAAAAAATTTCATAGAATGAGAATATGATAGCCCTGAAAAATAATGATATCGCACCAATTGTCTGAATTTTTAGTTATATTGCGCTGCCTCAAAGAATTTATCAAATTAAACTGTTTATATTACGTAGTTGACTATCATAAATCATTGTAACATTTACAATATAATTTACACGTATCAGCGATGGAAATCTTACTATAGCTTGGACAGTTTTCGAATTTGCAATTCCAATGAGGATCATTAATTATTATTAACATCAATTTTGTATCATAGTTTTTTGCATTAAATTATATAGCGTTGCTCAGTTCTATCCTGTCGTGTTACATAATTCAATTAGCCAGTATATTTCCCAAATCTTATTGTTTTGGAGCGCAAAATCATCGAGTTTTATTTTTTTGATATACATATCGTCGATGAAGTACTTAGTGTGTTGAAACTCGTATTCATAATTATCGGTTTAGCTATTAATACTTTTAATAACTTTCAAATGACAAAGCCAAACGGTGCATCCAATCCGAGACGTCAATCGTACTCAAAAAGGATAAAAAATGTTCTTAAAGTCGATTGTTTTTCCAATCACCGCCATTCACAAAGGCGGAAGTGTGCGCAACGCGTGTGCGGAGGGCGTTTTCACCGCGGCTCTCGCGAAGAAAGGCTTTCTCGTTGGTCAGAAAGAAAAATCACGCGGCGCTGGTCGCTGGCGCATATTATCCTTCGATGATGCAAGACAAGAGCGCGCTCGCGCAGCGTTCGAGCGTGACCGCTTTTTTTTTTGTTCTCAGCGGTATGCTTCTCTTCTTTTTCCCACCTCAAACGCTGTCGGCGCCCGGGAGCTGTGCCTCCAGAGCTGTACGCTTGCGACCGGTACTCGGTTATTTTTATCACGATTGACACGTTGTGATGTAAGACAGTATCGATTTGATGCGCGCCGCTTCACTCTCCCCAATTTTTATAGACTATGTGTAAGCATCTTTTGTGCTTTTATGCTATTGAAAACTCAGTGCACGTCATATTTACGTTTTTTATTGTTTATGCAACTCTTAGATCGATTTTAATTAACAGTCGCCGCGAGCTTGTACTTTTGTTATACGTGTTTTGCAGTGGCAAAGGCGTTCGCACGAGTGAAAGTAGTAGGTAATAGTGTTTGAGAAAAATCCGAAATAGAGATCAGCTGCGCCATGTATAGCGCTATATATGTATGTGTGTGTGCGTGTGTGTGTGTGTACATATGTACATGTGCATAAGACGTAATGCTGGGAAAGAGTGGATAAACGAGGCTGTTAGTTTTGTGTGTATGAGATGATGCGTAACTCAATATTCTGAGGTAATCGATTTTTTCGCAACCTGTTATAAGGACATTGGCGCCGCGAGCTAAGTTAACTGACGAGAACTGCCGATAGATTTATTTTGTTCAGTTGCTCCGATCTGATCCCTTTCTCGTTATTGCCAAAAGGAAGTTCTAATACTAGTTTCTAATTTTTTTTCTTTGGTGTAATATGGAGTATGCATATGAAAACTACGTACAGCTTAATTATTCTAAGGCTGGCGTCTGATTTTGGCTCTTATCGACCGAGGCTCTGAAACTTTTGGTGTTATTTTATCATCCTTCGTGTGTCATTTGATTTTTGTTTTTTAATAGATGAACCACTTGTACCGCTAATCACCCATTTTAAGAGAAAGCAAGAAACAAAATAACATGCGCATAAGATTATCGTTACTGACGATTCTTTGACGTGAGACGAATTTCGTGTTAATTACTTTTTACGCGCTGCACAAACAATTTTTTCATTCAGGCGAAAGTAACGAAATTAAATCCAAGATAAATTGCATTTTTTTATAATAAAATAAATAACGTTCCAGCCGGTTTTTTGTTTTAGATGCCTGTGCCAAAGTAGCAAGTTGATTTCTTAATTATAAGCTAAATGAAACAATCAAGAGCTAGCAAAAAAGTCATGGAGATCGGATGCAGCGCGAGAATGCTCTGCCCCCCCCCCTTTCGGCGTCGAAGCCAAAGGCCCCGCGCAAAGCCTGCCGGTATGGGCCTGCAGCTCCGTATAAAAGAGAATGTCTCGCCGGCCCGCCGAGATAAACCCCGTGTGTGTGTTGCCCGCTCGGTGTCTGTTGTGCTTTCTTACAAATCCTCTTGATCTTCTCGCCTCATACGACTAAATAGACTGTTTCTATTTTGCAATTGATAAACAACATTGTTGTGAGTTTATTCTACAGGTAAGCGGTTATATTTGTGTACTGTTGTGAAAAATGTTAGATATAGCATAAGGAGTGTTTTTGTTAAAATAATTTAAAATTATGGTAAAGCAGATCAGAACTTTATTGATAGTTTTCTTCAATCTTCAGGATTTTTTTAATGCTTTTGAATCTACTTTCAATGTTTTATGTCTCTTAACTATTTGATAATTGAATTGATGAAAAGTTGGATATCTAACATTTTTCTAATCGTAAAAAATAAAAAAGTTAGTTTCACTGTATAGAAACACTGGATAGTTTTCTCACATAACATAGAAATCTTACTCATACAATATTATTATAAATGGACTGTCAGTAATTTATTTAAACTCCAATTAAGATACGCTCGAGATTATTACTTTGATATAACTTCGTTCAATTCCCGTATGAACGATTTCGCGGTAACGCGTTAACGCAAAGCACATTAATGTTGAGATATTTTCGACTGTAGACTTACATTAAAAATATTCTCGCAAAAAAAGAAACGCTTTTACCGGAGCGGAAACATGGCTCGATATTAATCACTTTCATCAGGGGCCGGGAAGGCGGGGGGAGTGGTATACACGAGACTGAAAGAAATTATTTAGAGACTAGTTAAGAGAATCGAGCGGTTCTAATACTACAGCTGCATATGTCTGCATAATGAAAACACGGAGGATGTTGTACATTGGCAGGATTGCAGTTCGTTCCGCCGATGATACTTGCATGTTTGTATCACATACAGGTCACAAGACCGTGAAAATTTCATTTCGCAGATTCTTAAGATGCCACCAATTCATTGCAATAATGAAGAAACAATCAGTAGTCAATGAAATTTACATTTGATTATGTGTAGTCACCAATTTTTTATGAAATTTCAGTGCAGTTTGCAAATTGTTCAATTCCACATTAGTTTTATGCTCCAATTACACAAATTTACAAAACACTTCATTTCTTCTAATTGATATAAGCAACTAAAGCGAGACAAAACAAGCCTGCTTAGAACAAACTAGTCGATTTAATAAAACATCTCAAACTAAGACCAGAAATGTAATCTTGCGAAATGATACCGGGAAATTATGTAGTTAGCTCGCGACCCCGGCGTTCCGCGCCAAGATACGGTGGCGTCTCTGGGTTCGTGGCTATTAACGATCGTCTGTGCTCTAGATTTCCTTTTTCACCTGGAACAGACGACGAACAAGTTAGGTGATATTTTTCTGTCTCACAACGGCAGTCCTGTTACGCTCTATAGCTACCGGACAACTATCTCCCCTAGCGAGAGTTGCGCAATTTCGTCAAGTTGATTTTTTTTCTGTTTTTTTTGGCAGCTTTTTGCCGCCTGACGCAGTGTGTGCTTTTGGAGTTGTCGGTGATGAATGTCGACGATTGCTCTTATGGCAATCGTTTGGGGCTACGTTAATTGTGTTGTTATATTTTATTCTCCGAGTAATTCTATGGTCTTTTAGATCCCTCAATTTTTTAGTTGTACATGATAGTAAAAGTTGACCTGAATTTAATAGTTTCCTAGACGATACGTTCATATATTTGAAATTAATTGTAAAATACAACTTTAAAATTGCATTTTGTGAAAATGCAATTTAAAAGTTGTAAAAAGATTGATACATGACTTTACAAGTGTACATGCGCATGGGATTGTATTACTTTCTCAAATTATTAGAAAGTGCATACAAGTTGGAAATATAATTGCATCATTTATATTCTTTTTCGTCTTGATATTTAGCTGAGTCACAATCTTGAAATAATAGCGTTAATTCAATGTTTAGCAATACAAATCCATGTAAAAATCCTCTGATTTTATTCAATTGAGCGCTGAAAAACTGTAAGCTCTTGTATCGAAAATTCGCGTGGTGGCCATTATTCTGGAGAATAAATCACTCGATTTCACCGGCTTATACACAAACTGCTGATTACTGTGATTCAGTTGTCTTGCGGCTGCTATATACCTATTCCATTCGTCAATTTGCCAGTGTCACTGATACGTCAAGACATTTTTTCTCTTTTTTCGAAATGGAAGTTTTCAATTTAGTTTCGCTGATATCAGTGTGCAACGGAGATCCAGCCAATATGATAGATAATCATATTACAATGACTGGAAAATAACTAAGGGAAAGACTCGACTTTGAAAAGTTGCAGGCTATTATTATGCTGACTTTATCGAACAAAATCACTTCGGAATGAATATATAGTCTTTTTACCTTTCTTCGGCTTACAAATTCGAACGCAGACCATTCCTTTTGTTTCAACTATGAATGTTAATATATAATTAACTATTACGGAATATTTAAAGTGAAAAATTTGGTATTTAAAAAAAAATTAACTCGTCAATTTTATGCATCCAAATTATTATTCGGCAAAGTATAAAGGAGATAATAGCTTATAAAAGTTAACAGCATGCGTATATGCAACTTTATTGCATAATAAATCATGCGGAAATTTCTGAAATTTTAGCAAAACTATAACTGAAAATAGTAAATTGTAAACGTGAGTTATTTAACCAGCCTGAAGTGCTCCTCGAGCCTGTATTCACATAATCGCATAAGAAACCCCGCTATACTTTGTCTACGATAAAAAAAGAAAGAAAGAAGAAAAGGAGCCACGTAAGCTATGTTTTATGAAAACCTCACGGATCTCCATTGGATGCGGCAATTATCCGTGTCTCATTGCACGTAACAATAATCCAGAAGTGAGAATTGCAGTCCAGATTTCCGGGATGCACGTGCACACAGCCGAGGACGAGATAAAAAGCCACCAACCTTTCGCGATAAGCTTAAATCGGTTATGCGCTTCACGCACATAAGTAGCCCGCGTGCGAACGAATTTATTGATACAAATGGGACTTTTATTTAGTGTCGTGACTTTCACTCTCTTGCGCGCGGGTCCACTTCCTAACGATCTTGAGCAAGGAATGTTCGCGCTGGCTCGTTAGTTCGCGCTTCGCACAAAAATCACGCTTGGCTTAGCCTTTTTTTTCTTCTTTGCGGATTGCCGACGCAACTATTGTCCGCTCTTGCGAGAAGGAGAGACTCCGACTTGTGATTATTGCCAAAGTCTGCCAACTTTTACGGCTGTGCTGCGAATTTCCGAATGACAAGGGGAAATTGTTTTGCCGCAATGATATTCGATTAAAAAGTCATTTAATGAGGTCCTTTTGCGACAAGTCTGAACTTAATAAAAATATCCGAACACATTTCCTTCGGTCTAAGATAGCTTACGCAATAATTTATAGTGTTTGCGGCTTGTTTTATTATCAGCTCGTAAATTATCAGAAACATGGTTGGCAGGAATTCTACCGTATCTGAACACTCTCCTACAGTTCGAACAACAGTCACATTTTCTTAATAAATGTCAAACATATTCTCTTAAAAGAATAGTATAATTTTTAATTCTCACAATTAAAAAATGAGTTCAGTAAAATGATCAAGTGTAAACTCGTATTTATCTGATCTGCATCACCGTGCCCTGTATGGTTTCTCGCGGTTGAATGTGTTTAAAAATCATTGTTTTATAAACAATGATCCATAATATGTGTTATTGACATAATGTTTAAGGTGTTGTGCAAAGGATTTGTATATCACATCGTGACCACAAAATTTTTTCCTTTGCGATCTGTCCACGAGGTTTCGAGTTCGTACTCGCACGCTCAATTTCATGTCGACAAATGTATTTTTACACAGACAAAACAAGTTCGTGGTTTCTTACTTATCCATTGGAAATAATTAAGAAACAAATGTTATACAGATTCGTCAAGATTTATGTCGGGAAATCGCCAACGCCGTATCAGTCTTATAAAGTAATCTGTATTCTGCAATGTTAACATGTTGTATACATTATAGTATTTTGTGAGTTTGATTTTTCCTTCAATGGCTCATGAATTGATGGGTTTGAATATCAGCCCCATATCTTATGCGGACAGGTTGCATGGAACTACAAGCTGAAATTTATGCGTTTCGACAAAGTTATACAATGTTACGGCTCGCAGTTTATAAAGTACCAGAAGACAGACAAGGCAGCACTGAAAATGTATAAACTTTCTCATACTTTGGCATTGAAAAACTTTACTCTTACCAATTAAGCATTGTTCGTATATCGGAATATTACACTGGTCTTGCATTAGCATAGGATACAAAAGTCAGGCTTGACCGCGGACAAGCGTTCAATAAACTTTCAAAAGTCAGAGCGCGCGTTCTCCTTATAAAGCTCACGTGTGAGAGACTTTAAACAGCAGCCACAAAATATCCACTGCTCTAACGCGCGACTGCAGTCCATTGCGGAAGAAATCGCTCGTGGCCGTTTAACCGTGAGCACCACGCCAATTTCGAAACTCGAAAAATTTTCCTTCGCCGAGCGCCACTCGTTCTTTATCATACTGTCACGCTCAATGGCCTTCTCTGGCGGTTTACCCACCTTTGTCTTCGCGGATTCTTTTTTTTCCCACTGCCAGTTGCCCCTTTATGCCTAGCGCCGTACTTTAGCAGGCTTAAAAGTCGTTTATTTTCGTTGAAATATCTCGGCCAAGCTCGTTCGATCGATTCTAGTCTCAAGTCGAACAAAAGCTATAAACCGGATGAATTTGCGATTTCAGCTATAAATTATTTGAATTGGAGCAGCCTTTTTTTTTGAACGAACCTCGGTAGTTTCATAGAAATAAAAAACATTCATCAGACTGGCAGCAGATGTAGCGTGAAAACCGCGCCACTTTTCTTTTTTCTTTTGCGACTATGAGAATATCGACGAAAGCTCGCTATCGTTGGCGAGTGACAATTGTGATGCGCGCAAACTTAAGCGTGGATGCGCGCGCGCGTGCGCGTGTGTGTGTATGTACGCGCGCGTGTGTGTCTGTATATATACACGCTCGAGAAAGTGAGAACGCTTTCCAGTGCTTCATCGTGCGTTAAAATCTCTCTCCTTCCTTCGAGAACTGCGATCTTTCTTGAAACGTCACTTATGCGTCAGGCTCGTAATCGTAACAAGGCATATGCCAGTATTTTGCCATTTCACTTTTTCCGGTCTCGTTATTTATAGCGTCCCCTCGACTTTTTCTCGGGCGAGGTATTCCATTTATCAAGCGAAAATACATCACGTGATGCCAGCTGCTCTTCTCGCGAGTCATGATAATTCGCGAGATTTTTTCGCAAAGATCCGAAAGAAATTGATAAGCGTTATGAGAAGAGTTCGATGACGAATTGTCGGTGCTGACTGAGGAAAATACCAAGTAGCGTGTGCAACTCTTTTCCATCGGTGACGATATGCGTGTGCGCAATTCCTATTGATAATATTGTTTCGTGTTGTGTGGAAAAATTTGAACGACAAATTGAATGGCGTTAATGCACTCTTGGCGTAGTTTTTATCGACCGTAAACGTGATCATTTTAAGAAGCTTATACGACGAACTATATATATTTATCTTTTAAATAAATTTTTCCTCATGTGCCCATGGTTTTCTTTTTATCTTGAACGGTCGCTCGAATGACGCGATAATTTTTTTTCAGTTTATAAAGTCATTTCTCTCTTCCAGCAGCGCGAGAAAAGCACTCTCGCACACCTAGCTCAACGTGGAAGCAAATAAACTGATTTCTCCTGGCCCTGCGTGCGGCCAGCACGCATAGAAAGCTGCCAAGCCATTATCTCATTATTGGAATATCGAATAAAAGTGTACCGATCGTCTGGTACCCAATGAGCTTTTTCCATCCAGTCGAGTGCATAAATTAATTCGTTCTCATGACACAACATATGGGAAGAGAAAATTTCCTGCTAAAAATAGTCCGAGCGACGGCGTGATAATATATGGGTTCAATTCAATGCCTCGGGTGAAACATTTGACTATCACACTCGTTTAATCTTATTGGAATTTATGTAATTTAATTGCACATTCGAGCAGAGTTTAATGCGCTCATTCTTCTTGTAATTTTTCTCGATCAAGTAAGTTTAGTTTTCATGCGCTCTAGTTGAAAATGGATTGTTTTAAGACTGCGAGCATATTTCTCACATTTTCTTCCTTCAACTGTAAATAGAGACTTGCTCGCGCCCAGACTGGGCATCTCGTTTGAAAATCGAAATGACGGACGAGCGTTTCTCCGCGCGCGAGTTCTGGGTCACGGGCACGCAAAGCGCTTTCCTTGCGCGACACCTGCACTCGCGCTGAGCCATCAGGCGAACGTCGTTTTGCACTTTTCGGGTAATAACAAGACAATTAGAAACTCTGCTCGCCGATGCGCAAGGAGGTCTCGTCGCTATATAGTTTCACAAATACGCGCGATACACGGACATTACGGGCGCGACGGCGATCCGAATTTTTTTCCACTTGCAGCGAATCGGCTTTACGCTTGCTTACTAAGTGAGTATAGAACTACTTTTACGAGGTATTTTACAGGATAAGCGTTGCAGATTTTGCGACATGGTTCATTAATTTGTAAGAACCACCGGATATAATCAAAGCTGAGGAGTTTATTTAAGTAGAAAATGTACCGTCGATTTGGTATACCCAGCTAATAGAAAAAACCAATTTTTCTTATTTCGTAGAATCGAGAGACGAGAAAAATGTATCGGCTGTGCTTGGTGCTGTGGGCGTCCGCGCTGACATCCGCGCAGTACAGCGATAGCATCGAGTCTCGATCAGTCGCCTACCAAAGCAAGGCGAGCCTAAGCCCACTCTACGCTGGTTTCGGCGGCTCGCCAGGTTACCGCGACAACAGCTACGAGGACAACGCCGTCACACCTACGCCATCCCCGACTCCGATTTATCGTCCCAGTGGCCAGGTAAGATATTTTTAGTACATATCGCAATAGCAGTATTCGATCGACACGTGGAAATTATTCGCAGGTTTACAGAAAGCCATCGAGTCAACTCGACAGCTCGCGCGAATACCAAACTCCGATAAGGATAAGTCCGCAGCGAGCGTCAATTCGCGGAGGACAGATTGTCAAAAATGGGCAGGTGAAATATAAGGTAAAGCTCGATTGCAATTTGGATGCTTAACCGAATGATCGGTTGTGGCACAAATTCTGAAATTTTGGCCGTGAAAAAGGAGGAGGAACTGGAGGAGGAGAAGGAGGAGCCCGATCGTCTGAGCATCCTGCTACCCCAGAGCAAGTTCGACTGCGTCGGTAAGCAGACGGGCTATTACGCTGACGAGGAGCTGAATTGCGAGGTGTTCCACTACTGTCAGAACAACGCCAAGCACTCGTGGATCTGTCCAGAAGGTTTCACTTTCCACCAGGTAGAGTCGCGACAGACCGAAGAAAGCGGAAAGCAACGCTCGCTTAATTAAACAGTTACACGCGCGGTAATTGCAGGTGCACCTTATTTGCATGCCGCCGAATGGTGATATTAGCTGCAAAAAAAGCTCGCAGTATCACTTTGTTAATGAGTACCTGTACAAGCCATTGAACCTCGACGAAGCCGAGAGCAAACCCAATGTGACGCTTAGATACAGCGAAAGATACTTCCCCTCCGACATTTACACGGACGAACGAGAAAGTAGCGAGTACCGTGCCGCTTCGACTCCAGTTCGTCGACCGGTCAGTTCTTTTACCAAATAATGCGACCTTTTTTCATTTCCATATCGCTGCTTGTTGCGCGTTACGTTTTCCGCACTTTTTTACTTTCTAATAGATTACATTTTTTATTAGTGAATTCTGGAGCCACCCACTCTACTTTAACAAACCTTACGTTTGGCCGAGTCTATATTCATCGTATTCACAAAGAATATTTAATTAAATCGTAATAGCATTACACCTGATGCATTGTACTTTGGATGTTTGTAGATTTACATTTCCCCGCAGGCGATTCCGACGATCAACAGCATACCGAGTAGCAGTCGACCTCAGCTGTCACCCTCCACACCGACGTATCGCATCCCCATCAATCAGGTATTCCGCAGCCCCGAAGAGGTCAACATTCCATTACAGCAACGACGGCCACAACCGACTGCGAGCTCAAGCCTCAGAAGGTATCCCCAGGTCAGACCTGACGAAGAGGACTACGAATAGTTTATAAAGCAAATACTTTAGATGCTTTTCGGCGATGCTTTAGGAAAGTAGAGGCACTGGAAATCATTTGCCGCTTGATTATTTTACAAATAAGCCGACTGGGTCTAATGATATTGAGTTAAGTGAAGAACAAAAATAGCTCCAGATAATTTTTCGGTAATTGTTAGTATTCATATGAAGCAGAAATCAAATTTGTAATTGTTCCCAGCGTTGTCACTAAATGCTTTGACACTGTCATTATACTACTTCGAATTGATTTCCATCAATCATTAGCATTACCATCATCCTCTACTTGCAATAATTTTTTTTCTAACAATATTTTTTACTATTTCATTATTTAAGTATTTACTCATACTCGCAGTTCGTATGGAAATGTTAGAAAATATGAAATTGCAAGGTCAGTCGTAACGGATTTCATAAAAATGAGAAATAGCGTAACGCATACGTATAATATTGTGTATATAATAAATTGTAATTGGCGAATCGAGCTGAACATGTAGAATAAGAGTGATATTCTATAATTTGTAATCCTTCAAGTATTTTTTAGCTTTAGATGTAATTCAAATGTATTACTTTACATATTTTATATTTAATGTCTTGTAAGAATGTAAGCAAATAAATTGTTATCTTGTTTTTACCAACAGCTTAATTATTTTACAGTTAAATTATTCATTTACAATTGTTTCTTCATGTTTAAATTAATTAATTAAAAACAATAAATTCATTTATTTTGTCGATTGCTCTTTACTTGTATCATACAATATATAACAAGTGTCTTGGATAGTAATGGAATTGTTGCAATTGAAATAATTCGTAAAAAACGTAAATAATTACTTTAAAACGTTTAGCGGAGAGTTGGGACGATATATATATAAAAAAAAAATTTTCCACATTTCTTTTAAAGGCTAATCTGAAAAGTGAGTTATTTTATCTTTGATAAAGATATTTTTTCCAAATTTTCTCCAAAATCAGTCTTTCTGAGGTTAAATAGACTTCCTTGAGAATTCATTGAAATAAAAAAAGACCATTTGATTACATTGATTAGATAAAAAGCAAGTGTATACATTTTATTTATTGGTCAAAATTATATTTCATACAACAACACAAAATGATCACTATTTTCATAATGTGCGCATTTTTTTCATCTTACATAAAAGTTGAATGATGTGATTATTATTATCTTTATAATGTTAAGAAATATTATGTATCGATGATTTGAAAAGTACACTCGACAAAAACAGTGTCTATTAGAAATCAGTCAATCAATATTTTTCAAATGATTAACTAATGCTTTTCGTTAGCTTCGTAAACGTGCCGACAGACATTGCTTACATCAAATGTACTTACAGTCTTTAATTTACAAAAATTCAAGCAAAATAGGAGAGTATTACAGCAATGTTTTGTTATAGATTTTTTTGTTACGTTTATAATGTTATTACTAGTACTATTTTTGTATGCACAAATTTTTGAATCAGTTCTTACAAGATTGAGATTCGATATTATCTTACAACTTTCAATGTTTCACCAATTGTACTACTTCATAAATTTTGTATAATCTGTAAATATTTGCATCAAATTTTCAATATCTGACTCAAATAAAAGTTTATGTCTCATATTATAATTGTATCTAAGAGTTAAAAATGAATTAAATAACGTTCATTTATTATATGTCATACAGAAGTAAAAAATTAACTATATAAATTGGACAATATCCAAATGCTTATAATACATATTACAAAATAAGTTTATATTAAATGTCAAAAAATAATTTGACATTCGAGTATTATTTGTTGGAAATTATATCAATTTCTTAATTAAAAAGCTAAAATTTTGAAACTAGATACTTAACTGCTTGATACAACTATGCAAGAGATAAAAGAAATATATGCTGAATGTATACAGCAGTCTTTATTGACAAGAAAAAAGCAAGTATTTGGAATGATGAGAAGTGAGAAATGAAAAAAATATCTAATTAAATATTCAATGATAATTGATTGTCAAGCTAAAATTAAGTAAAAGTCAAATATGAATTTAAATAATTTCTCATGTAAATAAAAAGTCTGATCAAAGATAGTATGCAAAGAATATATAAAGAAATTGCAAACAAAACAAGGAGAGCCATTCGAGCATTTATACTGGCTTCAAATTCTTGGCCACGAATATTTCGAGAACTGACTGCCTGTCTGCTACTGGATGAAGATACCTGGTAGCGATAGGCAGCCTGAGGTCAAGCTCAGGAATGCCATCGTGATTTTTGCAACTCAATCTGACCTTCTAGAGTCTTTGACAGATAGATTACAAAAAGTTGACTTAATGCAATACCCAGAGCAATTCCAGCAATTGTGTAAAGGTTACGTTCTGCCCAGGCCCTAACTATTTCAATGCAGCCACTTGTCCATACTTTCTTACTTGCTTCTGATACAGGAGCCTTTTGTACACCATTTCCACACATGTTATTTACTAATCCACTCTGTAATATTAATTCATTGTATGTTTAGTATATTCACAATTACTATAATTATTTATTATTCTATCAATATAAATGTAGTACCGCAATGTTAGTAGCATTGATACAGCAAGAGAATGGTACTCCACAGCTTTCACTACTCGGACTTGAGCAGTTGAAATATTCATTTTTACCCCAATCTTGATATCCAGTTTGACTTAATCCACAACACTTGAACTGATATTAAAAGTTATTAGTGGCAGAAAAAAAAGAGATTAAATAATTATGCAATTAATTCTTATTGTATCTTACTTCTTTTTGTGCAAAATCAATAAAATTTTGCAGATCAGGATCTTCTCGATAAGTCTGAATAATTTTATCAGTGAATGATTCTTCCAACAAAGACTGTAGTGTGTGTGGAAACACAAAACCTACTATAGCTACTCCCATTTCCAAAAGGAAAAATATTAATAAACAGAGGGAATACTGAAAAGTAAAAATAATTACCATTAATAATATCAATAAAAGTGATTAATATTAGATTTTTTTTAAGAAACAAAGCTGTTACTTACGAACTCAAGCAGGCAAGTATTTTCTCTCAATGCTCCAACACATCCTGCAAAACTAACTATAAAAACTACTGCTCCAGCAATAATCATGACAAGTGATATATTCAAAACTATATCATAGATATTTTCTACTCTGACTGAACCAGTCATTTGCCATTTATCAACGAATGCATAAAATCCAACTCCTATTAGTAACCCTCCAAATAGCTAAAAGTATGATATTTATTTAGTGTCGAAAGACACTACTTAATTATGAAATAAGCACTACTCACCCAAAAAACAAAATTTAGCATAAAAATCATATATTTGACACATGAACTAACATATGTAAAGTTATTTGTTCTTCTACGATGGTGATGCATTTTGTTTTCTTTAACAATAAAAACGTTTGATCAGAGCCTGTAATGAATCTGATCACAAACAAATGTTGGCAGTCATAGAACTTGTGTACTTTTTCAATGAAAAGATTTTCATAGAACTATTTTTCTATTGTTCATTGCTCATACATTTCGTTTACCCTATTCTTGTTATTCTCCTTTTTTCTTTCTTTCATTCAACTGCAGGCGTCTGTGTCATCGCCTTTTTTTGTCCAAATTCTTAGCTGTTTATTCAGAGTTCCTATTCGAAAAAACAGGAAATATGCTAATCAAACACTAATTCACGTAAAAATACTATAAACTATAATAGAATGTCTGTAAACAGTTCTTTGCATGTAAAAACATAACTTGTCACTTAAACAATATACATAATATACATACACTGACGGTTCCTCAACTAAATAACCTATTTGACGTTTCGGATAATTGTGATGACAATTCATAACCTCTATTGGTTCAATTCCATAAATGTTGCATTTAGAATTTTTAAATGTTTTCTTAAGATATTTAAGATACACTAATTGAAAGCACTTTAATTGCTCATTCCAAAAATTAAGTAAAAAGTTCCTTCTTCAAAGGTTTGTAAAATATTAAATTTGAAATGTCATTGAAAATAACAAGGATACCATTATTGTTATCGAACACCTTTTATTTACAGATTTAATAAGTTCCTTGTAAATAAATTTATTACAGAATGGAGGAGATAGATACTGTAAAAAAATCTAACTATATAATATAATAATTGTAATTAGACATATGTATAATTAAATATCATAGGTTTGGAAAATTACTGGTTGGAACATAAGGGTCTGTCTCCATAGGGCCTGCCTGAGTCCGTCCGAGCCGGCCGAGATTTTTTATGGGCACGCCATCTCTATAATTTCGTGTTCATGCGTTTCTCGTATTGGCTGCGTCCGATCGGGCTCGTTTATGTAAAGGCAGCCATTCACTATGAAACTCGCCATTGGATACGAAATTATAGAGATGGCGTGCCCATAAAAAATCTCGGCCGGCTCGGACGGACTCAGGCAGGCCCTATGGAGACAGACCCTAAGGGAGTGTCCACACGGAATCTCTCTTCCTTCCCGATTCCGAGGCCGTCCCGTCCGAGTTTTTGTATGCGCACGCTGTCTCTATAATTTGAAGTTCATAGATTAAGAATCATATCTCGTATTCATTATGAAACTTACCACTGAGCTCGAAGTTATAGAGATGGCGTATGTATATAAAATCTCAGAAGAGGATGGCCCCGTGGTCAAGAAGGAAGTGGAATCCCGTGTGGATACTTCCTAAGTAAGAGAGTTTTGGAATGGAAATGGATGAAATAAAATTGAAAAAATAAAATAAAATAACGCATGCGCGATTGTGTTTTAAAATTCTATATCTTCTAAATTATTGTGAATAATTAAGTGAACAAATTAAAAAAAAAATTTTTTCTATTATTAAACAAAGGAGCTATCAAAATCTTTTAAATGTCAATTTTTGAAATTGTTAATTTGTAATACGACACTGCAGTGCAGTAGCATTGAGGTGATGCGCGTGGCGTCTTTATTTGGGGTGTGTGTGTGTGTCTCTGTGCATGCGTTTGCGCATTCATTAGTATTGGACGAAACGAACGAATCGCCGTTGTTTCGTTTCGAGTTGGTGAACATGGCGACGGTTGTTACGGACGACGTTTATCATTAATTTGTTTATCATTATCTTTTAACGTTAAAGCTATTAATTTTCAACGTCTACCTCAGCACCTTTTTGAATAAAACAGCATTAAAAGGATAGGTTATAAACTCGTGTTTTCGCGAAGAAATCTTCGACGCCTAATTCCTTTAGTGGTCGATCTCTTCTGTTTCTCTAAGTTTTATTGATAAGATTTTTTTGTAATTATATCATGGCAGCGGCTGCAGCTGCTGCTTTGCTCGACGAGTTGATGGGCAGGAACCGAAATATCCTGCCCAACGAGAAACCCAAGGAACTTAACTGGGAAGATCCCGAGGTACGTCTACCGGTGTTTCTTAACCTATTTTGTTTCTATCTTTTTTTTTTTTATTTACGTGGCATATTGCTTAACGTACTACGTAATTTATTTTATCATTACTGTATATGAATAAAACTCGATATACTGACAGAAATTGATGATTGTAATTTATACAAATATTTAGCTTCATAAAGATCATTGGTTTATGATAATTTTAATGTGATTGATGTTTTCAGTTTTGCAAATTGTTCTTGGTCAAGTTTTGTCCACACGATTTATTTGTAAATACAAGAGCAGATTTAGGAGCATGTCTCAAAGTACATGATGAGGAAGCAAGAGATCTTTTCGAGAAAGCTCCTTATACTTACCGTAAGCAACAGTATGAAGATGAGTTTATTAGATTTTGTCAAAGCATGCTTGGAGAAGTGGAAAGAAAAATTGTGAAAGGAAAACAGCGCTTAGCTCTTATTGGCAAAACTGAAGCTGTAAGTTTTAATAGAAGAAATTAAATAATGTTTTTGTCGTAATATAATAATACAAATATATATATATATATACTTATTTTCAATTTTGTAGCCAACTCTTTCACCTGCACAAACTCAAAAAAATGAAGAACAAATTACTCTACTGTCAGAAAAAATCAATAAACTTGTAGAAGAAGCTGAACAGAGCGGTATTCAAGGCAACGTAGAACAAGCACAAGGGCTAATGCGCCTTTGTGATCAATTAAAGGAAGAACGAGAGGCTCTACGTAAATCAAATGATAACAGCCATTACAATCAGGTGAGGTTGACACATTGATTGCACATTTTTTATTTATTTTTTTTTTGAATAATAATATGTTATAACTATGTATTATTTTCATTTCAGACTGCTGAATTAGCAGCTGCTCAAGAAAAACAAATGGAGGTTTGTGATGTTTGTGGAGCATTTCTAATTGTTGGTGATGCTCAGCAAAGAATAGATGATCACTTAATGGGAAAACAACATGTTGGTTATGCTAGATTGAAAAATGCATTACAAGAAATTTTGGTATGCTCTTATATATTAAAAATTTATTCACTTAAATATTATATTTTTCATTACAAATTACATTTTTATTAGGACAAGCGAGAAAAAGTTAGAAATGAAAAAGAAGCTAAACGCGAAGAAGAAAGAAAACGGACGAGAGACGACGATAGACGGAGACGAGATGACAGAGACAGATATCGTGATCGAGAACGAGGAGACAGAAGAGATCGAGACCACGAAAGGGATAGGGACAAACGTCGACGATACGACGACGATAAAAAACACGAGGGTTTACACAAGTAATGATTCTAGTTTAATCATTTTTTAATGCATTTAAAATATAATTTATCATTTCAAAACTGTTTGAATTACAGGAATTCTAAACACCGAAGTAGAAGTAGATCTAAAGATAGACATGACCGGCATCGAGATGATGACAAAGAACGTCGTCACAAAGACAGAGGTATTTTTAATACTAAACAATTATCTGTTTTATTAAAATGTATTATGTATTTATGGCTATGGTTTGTTGAAAGGTAATCATGACCATCGATCGAACCATCACCGTAGACGACACCGATCTCGAAGTAGAAGTCACAAGTAACTACTCTTGATTGGTTAGTGAGCAGAAAGTCAGGTATGCACTATACAATTTACTATTAACGTCTCAATTTTTGTACAGATTGTTTTGTCAGGTAAGTTCCACTAGTTGCACCTTTAAACGTCAGTTATGCTTGTGACCTTTGAAATTCTGTTTGAACAATCACAATTTCACCTGACAATAATCCGTGACGCGCTTTAAATTCGGTTACTTATCTATTATTGGAAACATGTTGGCTTGTCAATTAAAACATTTCACAAAACTCGTTTGCCAAGTTTTAAAACTGCAATTCAATCAAACAAACAAAAAAAGAATAGGTTAAAATGACTATTTGTAGATATTGAGACGTTAAACAATATCTTAGAATATGAAAATCTGCAGAGCAAGTTAGGAGAAGGTATACCTACACTTGCTTTGGGTCGACGATAATGTATCTTTAGGTTGTACACAATTATTTTAAAAACTCCAAGGACAGCGTAGAGTTATTTTATTCAAAAAATTAAGCGATTTAATGGAGGAAACAGAGCCTACTTCCATAAACCTGCCTCGACACTGCCGTGTGTGACTGACTATACAAACCTAGCTTCTGCCACGCATTTCAGAGGTATTTATGGTGGAATGATGATACCAGAACCTGGCCTCTTTTTTATTAAAAATGTTTTAGATATGTCAATGAAGGTGCACTGTTCCATAAAGCAGATTTTTATTGCATTCTACTATATTGCATCCACTTTTTCCTCGTGGTACTGTTTTCAAAAACGTGTTGAATTTTTTATGCAAACAGTTTATCATTGAATTGTACATAAAATATTCAAAATAGATGATAAAATTAATCTTTTCCTTTGATTAACAACAATTTTTTTATTCTAAAATTATAGCTTTTATAACGTGTATATTTTATTGTTTGCTATTGCATTGCTTACATTAAATAACTATGAAATTGCTGCTCTGCCTTCACGTTTAACCATTTACCGAATAAGGTGATTTTAAGGAAACGTAAAAACGTTAATTATATACTTTTTGAAAAAATATATATCCGTGGGATATTGTATTTAATATTTATTTTAATGTTCTCGTCAATCATAATTTTATTTTTAAATGATATTTTTTTATTTGTATTATTAGCAGTCTTTTATAAATTTTAAAGCAATTACTTTGTAAAGTTTCATATTCAATTGGACTTACATAATTTACAAAAGTGCACACATGTACAAAAGTTTATTTAACAATATACACTCTAGGTATTCAGTTTGGAAGACGTATGCATTTCTAAATACGTCTTGAATCAATTTAATTTTGTAAGCCAGACTCCATAGCTGGGAAACCGATTTCGAAATTTCGAACATTGCAGAAATCCCGTTATATATAGGTATTTTTATAAATGTAATTTTATCTGATATTTTTAAAATAGGATCAGTAAATTTCTTTAATTGAAATAAAATAAGTTTACTGATTCGGTTGTTAGCTCTTAAGTGAACATATACATGAAGTTATGTGATAAAGTATTTACCTAAAAAGTATTAACGAAAAAAATAGTTATTTAATTGTATTTTTAAATTTATCAATTCACTTCTAAGAGATAAAAAAATTATAATGATTGAATGTCAATCTAGCAAACGACAATAATTGCATTATTTTCATTAATACTTTGTCTAATGGCTGTAGGTCATGATTTGAAAAGTATTTTATCATCAGTGTCCGGTTTTGCAATTATTGTATCAAATATAATGTGCCTAACAATTTTGTAACAGCGTTTTATCGTTAATACTTTCACAAGGCAAATTGTCTATTTTCAGGAAGACTGCGCTCGGATGTTGTGAGAAGTGTACAAGTACGCGAGGACACTCGAGAACGGCTTAATGTATCATTTAAGGTAAAAAAAGATTTTCCATACGTGTTTGAAAGATTTTGAAAATGTGTTTTCAACGATGTCGCCAATGGTCAAGTGGAATTTGAAAATTTCGTCTTTCTTAATTTATTCTTAATTAAAAAGGAAATAAGAAATAATTTCCTGTTCATCAAGTCATTTTCATTGTACGTAGTAAATACTTGTACATTGAGTAAATCATTTCTAAAAATAGTTTATTTGGAAATTTCTTTGTTATTCAAATATTCCTTATGCTCTTGACTACTATGAACAGTTCTTTTTTAAATTGTAATAATTAGTTGTGTTAATATTTGACAAATAGTGTTCTAAAATACATTTTATCGTTTGGAATGTAATAACTTTCAATAATTATTCAATGAATTGGATTACGTAAAATAATCAACAACTTCTCTGTAACTAAAAATAAAGATATTCAACAAACATTTAATATATTTTTCTTTAATAATAATTAGAGAATAAGCTGAAATAAAAAAAATGTCTAACCTGTCCTTTTTAAGAGTTTCATTTCATTTTCCAATAAATTAAGTATTAGAATATAATTTGGTTAAAATAGATATAACTGTCATTTAATTTTAGGCAGATACATTTGTTTTAAAGAAAATAGCGACACTAGATTTATATAGATTCATCATATTTATTGATTTCTTTACGACTGCGAATTTTCTTATTTTTAGTGTGCTATAGACATAAATAAGTCATAAATTACGTCTAATGAGTCATATCACGTGTTTTCGAAAAATTATGAAAAAACTATTCAAGAAAATAGCGAATGTAATACAGAAATATGTAAGTAGTACTGAAAACAAAATAATTTTATAAATACCGTTTATAAGAATTGTAGTGTTTTAAGATTCATTTCTTAAACATTTTCTTCACAGACATGGGTCATAAAAACTAGTAAAATTATTTTTATATTTTTTTATTTGGACAATTCCAATTATCAACGTATAAATTAATCTTCTTCTTCTTCAGCAGCAGCTGCGCCAGCTCCCTTACGCATGTTCTTCCTCTTTACGCGACCAGGACGACCGCCACCGAAGGGCGATTTCAGAGAGAAGTCAATGTGCTTCTGGGAGTCCAATCGAACTATGAACGATGGAATGTTCACAACTTGTTTACGAACGCTGTGAACATGAATTACTAAATTGATTTTTTGCCTTTTCTTTCATTTATTAACTAAAGTAACTAAAACAATTTAATTGACTATGGGTGTACAAGTTTTAAAAATGTTGATAATTTATAAACATAACTGTACCAATATTCAGCAAAGATTACGATTCTTTTGCTTTTAGGCAGACGTTAAGTGTTAAACATAGTTTATCACTTAAGTGGTCTGTTTGAAAAATTGGTCTTTAAATCACAAGATGCAGATTCCCATTGCTAACTCTGTAGGAGCTGCTGAGTGGTCAGTTGAATACAGGACTAAAAAATGATATAATTTGTGATTTTTGACGCAATAATTATTTTGCATCAAGAAATGTTAATTTTTGAATCGTTTATATGTACTCAGTCTGAAAGTCAAATGAACAATTGTATTCAATCGATGACTAGCCTAGAAATTACTTTTACCTTAGGAATTAGAAATGCTCTGTTATATTCACAGACATTTCTTGCCCAGACAATAAGGCTTAATAATTTTGTTTTTCTATTAAATATACAAACCGAATGTGTCTTTGACGAATGAGGACACGTGCATGATGAATGGATTTAGCTAATCCAAGCTTGAAAACTTGTGTTTGAAGACGTCTCTCCAAGAAATCTTCAATTTTCAAACCAAGAACGTAATCAAGCTTCATACGGCTCTCATCCAACACTCCAATTCGGACTAAACGTCTTAATAGTGCATTACCTATAGAATAAAAATACTAGTATGAAGTTGAGATTAAAACTAGTTTTATTATGTTATATAACAGAATAAACATTTTTCAGTTAAATTTCTTCATTTCAATAATTATTCATACAAGAGGTGTCAGAATTAATAGAAAGTATCATCATTTTTAATTTATAAGTTAATAACAGTTTTGTTTTAAAAATGATATATACCTTCAAAAAGACGTCTGGGATCTTTCTCTTCCAATGTAAGGAGTTCTCGAGCAGCTTTGCGTATTTTGGCAAGAGTATATTTTACTCTCCATACTTCACGTTTATTACGAAGACCATATTCTCCAATGTGACGTAATTCCTGGTCTAAACGAGCCTTCTCATAAGGTCTTCTTGGCGTGACATAAGTCTTAGAAAAGACTGATGGAATCCTTCCATTGACCATGGTCGTTCTATGATAATAATCACTTTTAATATAAATAAAAAGCTCAGAATATTATAATTAATTGTACATTAAAATTAAAAAAAAATGTATTCTGATTTGAAGTCCAATGAATAATTATATTCATTAGATGATTAACTCAGAAATTATTATAGCCTCAATGATTAAAAATGCTCTGATAAGTTTACAGAGATTTTTTGCCCAGACAATGAGGCTTGTAAATATAAATTTAAATTAGTTTGAAATACTGTAATTTAAAGAACGCGAATATTCAAATTAATATGTATTAATTAAATTAATTAATTAAACCTAAAAAGTCATCAATTATCATGTCCTTAATAAACGAGAAAAAAACTATGAATTAACATTAAATCAATTCATACTAATCACCCACTATAAGTGTTTCTACTTTTAAATAATTAAAACTAAAAATTTCGGGATATTAGTCAAATCGTGTATTTGAAAAACACGTGGTTTAGTTGACGCGTGTATAATTAGTAATTATAGATTATATAATTATTGTTATAGATATTTGATAGTTTATAAATTATTTTATAAAAATTATATACCTAATTTTGATGAAATTTTTAATTAAATTTTATGACATACCTATTATTTTAACAATATGAAACAACCAACTCTTCTGGCTTTCACGGACTACGTGGAAATGGCCGAGTGTTTCGTTTCCGTTCGCCACGTTCGCATGTTATCTTGGATCGGTTCCAAATTCTGAAACGGAAAAAACAGATCGAACCAAGAAAAGAAATTATTTTAATTTAAATGTCTTTTTAGTTGAAAATTCAGAATTCGCAATACTTAATTATATAAAAAATAACTATTTCATTTTTCGATATTTTTTGTATAAAAATTATATATTTACCTGTTTAGTTTTTGAATTTTATAAAAATTACAATTTTCATTGTGTTCTACAAATTAAAAATTGGTTGTAAATAAGTTAGATTAGGCTATTACTTGCTGAGTTGTTGAAATGCTTGTAATATGTGTACATATGTTTATATATAAGATCTAAGTGTATTCGTGATTGTGCAAGTTGCGAGCAATAAGAAAAATTACAGATCTATTGACATTATTAGAACAATAATATATCATTTGATTATCCTGGTACACTGATGCCCGATATCCGATGTTCAAAATGTCTTCATATGTAAAAGGTTCCTTATCAATTCGCTTGATAGTTGATACTGTTGATAGTAGTAAAAATCTGATAAATGGTATTTTGATTGATGTATTTTTTTCTTCAAAATCAGAAGTTTTAATTTTTGTAATTCTACTACGTTACAAAGATGTAATACATAGTATTATTTTTTAAAACTTATGTTTTTATTTATAAAAAACGAAAGAAGTTTTCGGTAAATAAATGTTATGGTATTCATAACCTATTCAAATAGCATGACCTTGTGGTTTTTTAAATTGGCAAAGTGTTTTTATTTTTTTGAAGAAATATTTAACATTTAAATACAAAATAAATGATAGAGTAATAATTATCTTATAAAAAATGGTAGTATTCAGCTACTTGATTTACACTAGTCACATTTGTATTTTTATTAACGAATATTTATTCAACAATTGTTTTTGTGTTCACATGTATGGTAATTATTTTAAGTGTTAATGAATTTTTGATTTTTGATTATCATTCTTGAATTTAATACTTTAAATTCTCATATTTAAAAGTAAAATTTCATACTTTCATTACAGAAAAAGAATTATTGTAGCATACTAAATTCTTCATATTAAAGAAACTCACGTTTAAGTCACGTTTCTTTTTTTGTATCAAGTAATTTTCTACAGTAGCATGTTTTGATATGAAGTGTCATTCAGTTGACCCCGAAAGTGATGAAACACAGATAAGTAAAGATGTAAGTATTCAAGACTTTATGAGTTCCACTCAGTATTCTATCAACCATTAAAGAGGTTGTTAAACAATTAAGTGAATATTATTATTACGTGCATAAATTTGGAATATAAGTGTATTATGATTATTAAAATTACCAATAATTTTGGGAGAATTACTTTGTGAACATGGAAAGTGTAGGCGGGGTGAGTTTGTTAAATATAATTTTGAAAAATTAATTAATTTGAAAAAATCTGATTTAGTATTATTGGTTATTTACAGAATAATATATTGATGTATATTTTTTATAAATATTAATAACTATCATTACCACTATTCATTTTCTTTAATAATAAATTATAAACTATTATGACATACTCCATTAGTAGTGGTACTTGATTTCTTTTAAATATGAATTTAAATGTTTTCTACAATTAAAAATTAACAGTATCAATTTATTTTATAAACAGGGATACATTTTATTATAAATTATTAGTCAATTTAAACCATTAGTCACATCATTCTATTAGTTTCATTTGCTGAAGGAAAATTTTATTACGTTATTTCCAGCTGACATAAAATCAGTGTGATATGTCAGTCTATTTTTAATGTTTTGGACCCCCCAAGGAAAGCTTACAAGATAATTCTTAATGACTTGACCTTTTTATTAAAGTTCAAGTTACACATACAAGGAATCTCAAGCAAGATATTGTTTAATCAATTTTTCCATTCACGTGATCATTGTAACAATAAAGACTATATTCAAATGAATATATTGAATAATTTTTGTATATTTATGCAGTATCCTATATTGAAGTCATTCCTAGCTGGTTCTTTCTCTGGTACTTTCTCAACTATTCTATTTCAACCATTGGATTTAATTAAAACAAGATTGCAAAATAAAGTAAATAATCATGTAGGGTGAGTAAGAATATTACAATACTTAGTAATATTAAATTCTCATATTTTTTATTTTAACATATTTACATTTTGTTTTTAGTCGTCAGAAGAATGGCATGATATCAATGACAATTGCTATTATACAAAAAGAAAATATTTTTGGACTATGGAAAGGTATTACACCAGTAAGTATTATTTAAAGACCTAAGTAATCAATAATTATTGTTCATAAATAATAAGAGTATTTCTATGTTTCAAGTCTATGACTAGAGTAATACCAGGAGTGGGTCTCTATTTCTCAACTTTGCATTGGCTTAAAAATACTTTAGATTTAAATGAATCTATAACACCTCTACAAGCAGTAACTTTAGGAATCACAGCAAGAACAATTTCTGGGGCTTTGTTGATTCCAATAACAGTTGTCAAAACAAGATATGAGGTATAGCTACTATGTCAGAATAATTAAGATATAATTTATTTGATTTAGACTAATACCAACATTATCTTAGATGCTTATTTGTATTTTTTTAGAGTGGAGTATATAAATATAATAGTATAGCTGAAGCTTTGAAAATAATTCACAAAAATGAAGGAATGAAAGGACTTTCAAGTGGGCTTATACCCACACTACTTCGTGATGCACCTTTTAGTGGTTTATATCTTATGTTTTACATACAACTTAAAGAGCTAACTTCACGTGGTAAATTTCTTTTTAATAATTAAAGTTATGAAATTAATAAATTAAATTGAAAGACATACTAATTTTGTACTTTGAAATATATTCATTTCTATAATGAATCTTATAATTCAATATTAAGCAATTTAATTTAAATAATTCATTTTATTTTTTAGAATTACCTCATTACAGCACTTTATCAATAACTCACTTTGGATGCGGGGTTATAGCTGGTATACTGTCATCTGTAGTAACACAACCAGCTGATGTTATTAAAACAAAGATGCAATTGTATCCTCACGAATTTACTGGTGTAAAAAATTGTTTTTATTCAATTTATTATAAATATGGGTTATTTGGATACTTCAAAGGAATAGTGCCTAGAATGTTAAGAAGAACTTTGATGACTGCAATGGCTTGGACTGTTTACGAACAGGTTACTAGAAGTATTGGCTTAAAGTGAAGTTATAGAATTTGTAAAAATGTTTGCAATGCCTATTACAGTATTAAGAATGACTGCTTGATTGATGTTTTCATCGAAATGTTGTTATGTATTATAAAAGTTTTATTAGATTTAGTAAATATAAATTGTTTATACACATTTATTAAACTGTATATTTTTAATAAGACACTTCTTTTGATTACTTTACCTATCTCTTTCCATTTCGTTAAAAAAAGAAAATAAAAATGAGACAATTACTTTATAAGTTATTTGACAGACATATAACAATGTTTTTAAATTGTGAAAGAAATTCAGCAGTTTTCTTTTTTAATTGAAAAATCAATTCATCAATAAATCCTTGTTAATGTTGTTATCAGTCGTGCAAACATATAGTATATAAACTGTAATATCTCGCTTATTAATTGTTATCAATTTGATAAGAGTAACAATTGAAGCAAGAAAATGAAAGAAAAGAAAAAGGCTCGAAGATATGAAAAAAAGGATTATTGGTGTCTCGGTTATCGTGGTTGTATGTGCACAAACGCGTGTATGCGAGAGAGATTGGAGTGCGTGCGGCGAGAAATAAGATGTAAAATATAAATGAGAGGGAGAGAGAGAGAGAGAGAGAGAAAGAAAGAAAGAGAGAGAAAGAGAGAGAGCGAAAGTCTGTCTTTTGTGTGTCAGCGCAGCCACCCTATTCGCTTTGGGGTCGCCTTCAAAGGTTTCCGCGCTGGTGTTTCCCTTATTTTTTCCTCGACCATTAGAGGCTTCGATTGGTGCTTTCCTTTCTTTCGAGCTCTATTCAGCGCTCGCCTTTAATGGGCTTGCACAACCTGATAGTGAATGCCTTTTTTCTTCATCGGCATTGAATAATCTATTGACTGGACGCGTGCCTTGGTGAACTCGCTGCGCGCAAGTTCGGAATTTGCAACCTCGAGGGCTGCAGAGATTTTTTTAAGAATTGTTTCTTATAGGTGACATTTTTATAGGCTAAATAACTGTAATATATTTTTATTGCACTCTCAAAATGATTGCTTTAATTTTATATTTTACGTCTAACAAACGATAAAGTAAAGCAAACACTGTTTATGCGGGAAAAACCCATGAAAGACATAAAAATATCCATTTATCAAACTAACTAATCAAATTGAAAATGTTCAAAGAGATGAAATGTGAAGCCACAGATTACAAATGAAGCTGCTCCCAAAGAGAGCCTAATACGCGAAAGCTAAGCTAAATGTTACGAAGGGTCACAGAAGGTCGGCGAACGTTAGAATTGCACACAAGTGTAACTAATAGTTGCAGACACGTGAGACTGCCTACATTGCGTGAATGCACAAATCGTTCTGTTACGTCGTGCACTCACACATACAAAACGTTTGTTGGCAATGACGACGATGACGGTATTGCATTTTTCAACTTGTGACTGCAAGTTTGTTTATCGATTTATACCAATAGTGGCGATTGGTTATTGATATCGTTGTTAGTCGTGCAATATATTATTTGTGTCTTGCGTTGACTTTTGCAGTTGTTGGCTTGGCGATGAGTTAATTGCGCAATACGTGGATTTGCGTCTTTGGCGACGATAACGATGAAGAAGAATGAAAGCGAGATTTACGATCACGAGAGATCCGCACGCTGCTAACCGTTGACGCAGCGGGGAAAGCGCTTGAAAAGTGCATGTTTCGCCTGACACTCGCTCTCGCATGTGCGCGCAATGAAAATTTTATTGACTATTAGTCTTTATTTTTATATTTGATTTAAGAAAAATTTTAATTTGATGGACAGCCTTTTTTCTTCACACGAAATTTGTTTTATCAGATTGACTCAGCACAGGATCTTGTACTTGGCTATCGTACGTAGTAGCTGGGAACACAACACAGATACGTCTATGTGTTCGCAGCAAGGCAAACGGATGTGTTCGACGTGTAATATCTAAAACTTTGAGTAAGATAATCCTCTTGTCTGCTCTTGGCTCCCCCCCCCCCTCTCTCTGTGCGAAGGCTATTATATTATATTATATATATATATTATTATAATATTATAATATTATAACATTTTCTTTTTTCATGCTGTAGAATAACATTATATATTTTCTTGTTTTTTCAAAATCTCATTATAAAAAGCTTCATTTATACTGTTATGAGAATACAAATTCTATTCTCTTTCCTTTTCTGCACAAGCAAATAACTAAGTTCAATTGAGTTATCAAATTCATAAGCTAAGATTGCTTTGATTATTAACTTTGAAAAATCAATTACCTTAATAAAAATAATGTTCGAATGGGAATTTATTGGATGACAGGATAATACGCTGTTTTGTGAGTTTTAATCGAAAAGAAATCAAAAGTAAAAAGTAAGTCCATCGAGTGTTCAAAGGAAAAATAATAATCCAAAAATCTATTATCGAATGAATGAAAGTCACGACGATTTGATACCAAATAAAAGCCACCAGTAGCGGTTTGAAAACCACAATTTCATCATTTATTTTCAGTGTCTCACAAAAATAAAAAAATATCATCAAGAACTTTAATTGTTACTTAAAATTACTATTTCCAGGTATTTGTGCAACAAAAACAATTAATCAATTTAAGCTTATTGATAAGTGAGTAAGCACGGCATGAGTCTGCCGGTCATTAAATTGATAATTAATCCGCGACAAACTGGCACGTGAGAGAGAGAGAGAGAGAGAGAGAGACAGCATAATCGGCTACACACACATACATGCATGCACAACTATCGCCAGAGAGCTCAAAGGGAAATTTATGCGCATAGAGTTGCCAAGGAATCCAGTCGGCCTTCGCATGCTGCTACGACAATATTAAAAGCGCCACTCTCTCTCTTTCTCTCTTTCTCTCTCTCTTTCTCTCTCTTTCTCTCTCTTTCTCTCTCTCTCTCTCTCTCTCTCTCTCTCTCTCTCTCTCTCTCTCTCTCTCTTGCTGGCGAAATGTTCTTATTTTGACTTTGCCTTGCTTTTGTTTGAAGAAACGCAAAGACATTACGAGCAAAATCTCCGTAGGATGCCTGTATGTGTGGAACGCTTTAATGAACGCGTGGGTTACCTTATCGCGTTTAGTCACCTTTAAATTTTTGAAGAAAATACAATAAGCTATTGACGGGACATGCATTTTCGAATTTTCTATCGAAATCACGAAATATAACATTGTACGAATAAAAGTGAACACGATGAATAACAAAACGTGCAGCGGCGGCAGGAAGAAAGCCAAAAGATGAAGAGTCGATTTCGGCTGTTCCGTGGGCGCTCGTCATGCATAATGCAAGCTAATATGTATTAATAAGTGGTGGGATTGCTGCTGCTGCTGTGTGTGTGTGTGTGGGATAGTGTACGCGCGAGGTGGACTGATTTTCAATAGTATGGTAATTTCGACCGTAAGTGGATGCGTCATGTACTCTCTGCAGGGATACACGCCGCCAGCCTTGCCGCGACAGACGTTCGCGAATCCTTAACGCGTGAGAAACTCCATATATAAGCTTTCTCTCTCTTTCTCTCGTCGCCGTGGCGCTACATTTTTATAGTTGTAAACGCTCATTCAATTAACAACTCGAGTATTCAACATTTCTAAGCGTTCTTGCACCTTCTCCAGCCGAACGCAGCTGAATTTACGTATCCCCTTTTGCTGTAAGGGGAAGAAGAAAATATGTGGCGCGCGAATTCTTGGCATTCTGGGGAGTAACGCAAAGGCGTACGCATACAGCGAGGGAAAAAATACTCGACGAGTTCTATCTGCTCTCCTCGAGGGAGCTATATCATGCGGCGCGCGTGTGCGTCTCCTGCGCTAAAAGTGCACCGGAGTATGCCTCATTGTTCCGTCGCGACACTTTCGAGTACCGTATGGCTCTTTTTCGCCTATAGTTCGGCTCTTTGTGCTGCTTGAGCATTCCGATGTGCGCGAGAGCGCGATGGAAATCCCCGTGTGTACGTGGGGTCTGTATATGCTTGATAGGAATGACCTGCGCGGCCGACTATATATGTGTGACTTCGGAGAAAGGGAATACATTCTGAAGTGCACGTCGCTGGAGAGCTGTTTTCGGATGCGACTTTCTTGTATCGCAGGAATTTTCCTCGTCTTCATGGTGATTTTCACTTTGTCGGGAATTATACGTTGCTCGTGGAAAAGTGCTGCGTTGCATTTCGCGAGGGCTGGACAATGGACAAATTAAAATTTGAACTTTTTAAGTAGTTATGGTCAAGCTAGGTCAGACAAATTCAACAGATCGAAGAACGATAAGTCGCCGCAGTTACTTTTTATCCAACTAACGCCGAATAATGCGAGCTACCAGTGCGTATGAAGCTGCGCTGTCGTTATACGAAGCGAACTTTCGTTATCAGTACTTGGCCGGAAAACAATACAGATGCCTCGGCCGGATTAGCAAGCTATGTAATCCCTTGGCTGCCTAGCTTACCTAGCCGGCGCTCGGCGTGGCGTCGTCGCCTTGAAGTGCAGAAAAGTATTTAATGGAAGCGGCAGGTCGCAAATCCGAGGCACTCGCTCGCCGGATAAACAAAAAGAGACGAAGCCCTCGAGGGCCAGGAGCAGAAGGGGGAAGGGCTAAGAAAACGAGCGGAGAGACTAAGCGTATAGCAGCTAAGTAAAAGAAAGGGCGAAAAAGGCAGCGGGAGACGTAAAAAGCCTTGACGAGCGCGCAGCCACAGCAGCATGCTCCTGCGGGCGAAGTCTCTTGGAAAATTCGCCGGTGTATAAGAAAAATTCGCTTACCTCGCTCGCGTGATTTACTGCAAATCGTTATATCCGCGATCGCGGTTCGACTCCAAGCTCCAATTCTTTTTCAAATGATTTTTTACGAGCTTCCGCTCAATAAGTTTCTCTAGGGTCAATTATTTATCCAAAGATAACAAATAGCTCGTGGTTAATATCATAAGCGAGTAGAAAGAAAAGAGACGTGGCAATTGCTCGTCCGACACTCGTCGAAGTCGTCGGAAGCTATAATCTGCCTAAGTTCGCAGTCGACGAGGAAACGAAACGTAGGTGGCGTTACTTGCCTTCAGGCAAGAGGTGGCGGACAAAAGACGGTAGCTAAGAGCTTGGCTGCTCATACGCACCGTCGTTTAGAGCTAGCGGCGAGAAAAGAAGGAAGAAGACGTGCCAACGAGCCGTATACGCGTAACTGAATTGCTTAAAATGCCAAAAAACAGGCGGGTGGCGGGGGTAAGTATACATATATGAATAATGAAGACTTGCGCGTGTTTATACGTTTCCTAGTTTTTTTCTTGCTCTCGCGAATTTGAATGGCAATTTACAGAATTGAAGAACGACTCGCGGAAAAATGAAAATAACTAATTGCGAACGTTATTACTGAAACAGGCCGCGCGACAAAAAGAATTTTCGAACGTGCGTTCGAGACACACGCGTCTTGCGAGTAAATGCTAATTAGCGGGGACACAATGTTCTCTTTTCGCTCGGCCGGGCGACGACTCAGGTGTCACAATGCGCTCGGGGAGCATGGCGAACCAATTAACGAGCAACAAAGGGAGTCGAGACAATAAGCGAAAAGACAGCGGCTGCGGGGATTAAACGAATGAGACGGAGCGCGCCCCGCGTCATATATACGCGCTTTCTGGACAAGCCTCAAAAGAGGAAATCAATAGACGAAGCTCTTTGTCCACTTGCCCAAGCAATTTCTCCAATCCCGTCCTCGATTTATGATATAGCTTTGCTCCCTGTCTTAATCCGCGATATGACCGCCCCTTCCCCCACCCCGCCACCATCTAGACACCCTTGATCTTCTCTATGTGCTTCATTTTAGCGATGACACAGCGCAGGCTCCCCAGTTTTTCCCGTTGCTGTCTCTTTTTTCATATCGCTTGTTATTAGCTCTTGAAAAGTATGCTGTATGTACATCCAGAGGCCTTAGGAAATTAGTTACCAAAAGTAAGAGTCGTTTTTCTATTTACTCTCAGCCCCCTTGTACCTTTGGACCTCTGGTTTATTAATTTTGCCGCTGGTGCGGCAGTTGAGCCTGACGAGCGTTATCGAAGTTTTTATTTAAAATCAATGGCGTAAAGCGCAACGAAAGAAAAAGAGGAGCGCTCACAGAAAGCAACGTCCCTCGTATTTCATTGAAAATTATTGAACGGCAGAATTTGCGACCAATATCTGTACTACTATTTGAGAGCGAAAGCAATTGCCCAGCCCACGTTGGAAAACTCTGCGCCACACAAACACGTTGCGTGAAACATCGCACTCGATGTCCACTTCCGCAAAAAGGAAGCCGACCAAAAAAAAAAAATAGCCGTCGAGAGAGAGAAAGAGAGAGAGAGGAAGAGGAGAGACAGCGGAGGTGCGCCATGCAGAGTACGCGGTGAATCCGCAAAAGAGGCGGACGTGGGAGAAAGAGCGCAGGGGTGGTTGTAATCATCGAGCGAAATGTCACGGCCACGTGCGAGATGTCGCGTGTATATGTCCGATATGCGCTTGCTACGGGAATTGTACCTACGCGAGCACTTCAATTACGGCAAATTTCCTACCGCGATCCTCCCTCCCCAACTGAACTTTGCGCGCTGTTTCCGCACGTACACATTAGGAATAGTGGACGTGCGGGAAATTTTGCCGCTCGGAGCTTAATATTTTTATCTGCTCCAGAGCTCGCGACGCGCTCTTCCCGTATGGCGGTCCGGCTTATTTCTATGAGGATGTATGCTGGTTTAAAGCACCGCCGTGACAGCACATTTTCGGCAAATCTGATTTTGGCCGTAGCTTCAAGTGAATTGGATAAATCTCACTGAAAATCTGCATTTTTGCAGATTGTATTGGATTATTTCCGCTTGTTCAAACAGTTATTTTCGGAATTATTGTCCGAAAACGTCTAATCACTATCAACCGTATTAATGATGCTGCTCCAAAATTACGTTATTATTATTTTCATTACAATCATCAAAACTTTGAAGAGTTCCAGTTGGCAACTGCACGCAGCAATGTAACTAATGTGACGTAATCTCATGTTAATTTTTGCATTTGGTAGAATTAATCAAAGTTTTAAGCCAATGAGAGGCGCGATACATAATGTGCAAACAAATGAAGGACATAAATTCTAGGCCCCTGTAAATTAGAATCGCGTAAATCGAAAATCATACCTACATTAACTTATAACTACGTGAGCTCAAAATTGAAAGTTTGAATGAATTGTCGACACTGTACTTGTCATCGTGCAAACTTTCGTTTTCCACAAGTTGTATATCGTTGAGTAAACTGTGATTTATAAATTCATTCTAAACTTGGCTGAACTTTATTAATCGACATGAATCTCGTTAATAGCTACGAAAATTATATCGATATTATTAACAAAAGTTATAATATTATTTTACCAGACAATTTATTCCGATCCAGGGAATATTCCCACGAGCTATCAAAATATCAGCCAAATGAAAAATACGCTGCAATATGTAGGCTGCAGCGCAGCAAAAATCATTTTTAACTTTTCGTCCGGCTGCGTAAAATACTTCGATTATCCCGTCAAGCGATGCGTGAAGCGAATAATTTCGGGGAAAAGAAAAAGTGGGGAGAGCGAGGAAAAAAAAGATATTCTCCGCGGTTGCGTATAATTTGCAGCTATGTCTGCCGTCGAGACGGATAATGTAATGAGGAAAAACGGCGATATTGAGTAAACATGCTGCTTCTCCCGCGTTTATTTTCCGAAAAATAATCTACACAGTTGCACTTTCCACGGGAAATAGTTGATCTGCAAATAATGAACTGCAATCTATCGTACGATGGAGATCGCTGTGAGCGACAAACGAAAAGTTTGATGAAAATACAAGAGGCCGTTAACCCGGAAATTGACAGATACAACGAGATTTTCGCTCGTTAGCTTTCTTCGATTCTGGCGTGTGCGAGAGCAAACGAGCGAGCAACCGTCGATCAGCTTTATGAGACTTTCCATCAGCGCCGTCCGTTGCTTCTTTGACGTTGCAAAACTGCGAGCTCTTCGCTGCCGTATTTGCGCGTTTTATTGCTGCGGAATACTGTTATTACAACTGTCGATCGCTCTGTATTTTACGCTATAAATAATGACTAGCCTCGTATGTAGTCTATTGAAAAGTTAAGGACATTGAATGCGTACTTGTACTATTGTATATGTACAGTGAAAGCCATTACAACGAGATGTGGTACCACATACACTACGAATAATAGTATGTCGCTTCCTTACATGCTTCTTTAGATTCGGTATAATTACAGAACTGATCCAACTATTCTTCTATGATATAATATTCAAATAACTCTATCATAAACCTACCTTAATCAAGCCACCTTAGGAAACAATTTTTTTTTGACAAAGGAAACAGTCATTGTTTGTTATCATTCTTGATATGATGGGGTATAAAAACTATACACGATTACAAGCAATGCGGAATAAATTATCGAGAGATCGTGTAAGTAGACAAGATCTGATGTAGTTTGCTCTCAAAGGCGTTTTACGAAGGTAAATGTAGCAAGCTAATGGCATGATAAAAACGGGAACGCGCGGTCTATTCGTAAGCCTCGAGGGGGTATAACAGCGATGACTCGCGGAGCTGCGATTACCGTATATGTGCGCGCGCGGAAGTCAACTTTCGCCGGCGCATCGACGGAGAAAAACATAGAAAAGGAGAGAGAGAGAGAGAGAGAGAGAGAGAGAGAGAGAGAGAGAGAGAGAGAGAGAGAGAGAGAGAGAGAGAAACAAAGAGAGCGATGGGATATTTAGTTTGTTCTGAAGAGATTTCCGAATCACCGTGTACTTGTTCGCGTCAGAATTGATCGAACTCGACATTGTGACGTATCGTGAGTACTCGATCAATTTGGATGCATGCTGCCTGGCAGAAATGGTTTGGCATTACCATATGTTATTCAATGAGAAATATACCATGAGAGTTACATCGTCGTTTGGAAATACAGTGATATAGCTCGTCACCGTGAAAAAGTAAAAGAATGATCGATGACGTACCGTAGGTGCTCGAGTGTAGAGCTTCCTTTTGATCGCGGGCGCGCGCAGCGTAAGGCTAGGTCACTCGACGCAAAAGTCCCCACGTCTGCAGCGCGCGACAAGGAGAAATCCGCGTCATCAGCTCGCTGTGCGTTCGCTCCGTGCTGCAGCGCGGCTCATCTGCCCGCTTTCTCTCCAGCACCTGGCGCGACGCCTCGTTTCTTTTTTACTTATAGGCGCGCGCGCGCAACGCCACGTTCATGTTTTTGCGCGCTTCGTTCGCATCACGACCGCAACGACGCAGCGCTTATCGCGCGTAGCTCGGCAGCGCGGGGATAGCGCGTGCGACGCGCGTTGCTCTAGCTCTGTGGGATGCGCGGCGACGGCGGCGACCGATACCATCGGCTTTCAAATTGGGTGAACGAGCTTTCCCACTAGCTGAGATATGCTTCACTGGACCGTGAAAACATTCGAGACGAGCGAGTACATGTGCACGCATAAGCTTATGAATGATTCGTCCTTGCGTAAGCTAAATAACATTTTCCGGCAGTGGCTCCCTGCTACCACGTATAAAAGCTCCGGTACGAAAATCTTTGCTGTATCGCGTTACTGTTCATATGGCCACTCGCTCGCTACTACGAGACTCGAATAAAACTTGAGGAAACCAAATCTGGACTCTCAATTAATGTCTTCCACGACGATCGAATGTCCTCGTATTCATTCGAGTCCACGCAGACAAATGCATTCCACTTACTTTTGCGGGAAAAAGCTCGTCAATAATCGATTTCCTTATCCACCCCAACGGCAAACACTAGACACAGTCGTTCGCATCGAGACACTAAGAGAGAGTTCGGCAAATAACATTCGACATCGGATTCCGAGTTGCTTTGAGGAAACTAGGTGGAGGGGGCTGCTAACGCGCTGCGTCGACCGTGGCGCGCTATGTGCTGTTTGCCGCACCCGCCTACCGTCCCTTAAATACCTAGGTACCCCTTAGCGCGTTTAGCTTACCTCTCTCTCTCTCTCTCTCTTTGACAGTTATCCGTTTGCAGAAGCACCAATTTCACACATTATGTATACAGTGACGATGGTCTTCGTGCAGTAGAGTATCCGACGCATGTAAACACCGCTACGTTCGTATCATTTCCCCGTGTGATACTACACTGTCACCTGTCAAAATAATCTCCGGAGCGCACGACTAAAGTTTGTTGATCCCTTCGCCAAGCTTCGAGTTCAGTAAGTCTACGTTTGCGACCAGTTTAAAACTCGTCTGTTTCGTTGCGGCAGCTTGGCTCGAGCGCGCGATGCGCATGCACATACATTTTCAGCTGGTAGCGTCGGGCGTGTTGTAACGGCGTGTCCGAACGGCCGCGTAAATTGTAATTCGCAGCTCGTGCGCGCGAGCCCGTGTCGTAGCGCGCGCGAGCGGCCAACCTAATGAGCATTGCTATCCGTTGCTCGCTTCGCTGCCGCCGCGCATTCAAGCGCGCGCGCGCCTGTCATTGCCGTTTTCTTTTATTAGTTCACTCGCACTGGCTATGGCAAGGAAACAGCCAACAGAGCGCAAAAACAAATACATTCTTCCGACGCGCACCGCACGCCGCTGTGCTCAAGCCAATGAATTCGACGTTTAAACTCGGATGTCGATCGCTCGCGCGCAACACTGTACGTACAGACTCAACGATTAACTGGAGGACTTTTATCTGCATCTCGTAATCGACGTTCCTTGAAACGAGATTAAATAAACTTCACTCGAGCTCAATGGCTAAGCTTTTGTTAAACAAATTGAAGATTACTCGCAACTTAGTTTTTCTGACCCTTACTGAAGAGAAAACAAGAAAGATAATCACAACGCATACGTTTGTCAAATGCACTTGCTGATAAACGCAAAACAAAGCAAAAGAGCCGTGTATAAATATCAAAGGCAATCGCAACAAGTGGACCTCTCTCTCTCTCTCTCTCTCTCTCTCTCTCTTTCTCTTTCTCTTTCTCTCATAGGCAATGGAGGACACGATTTCTCGCGAGAAGATCAGCGGCGGAATGCAGACTGCACAACAGCAGCAGAAATCAAGGTTGATCTATACCGGTCGCACTTCCGTCTAATGAACTTTCTGCGCGAAAGAAAAAATCTGTTGGCGACGGTCGATGTTAATTGGCACACTATGAAAATCAGTGTTTTCATATTTTTCCATCTTTCAGAGCGACGTACGAGTAGTTACTTTCTGTTAACGTTATGTGAGACATACGATTTTCCTTTTTTTTGAGGGAAAGGGGGGGGATGTTTAAGATGAGAACAATATTATGGCAAATATTAAAATGTAACTATTACAAAAGCACAATTGACAAATAGAAGTTTTTATTGAAAAGAATATATATTCGTTCAAAAGCCTCACGATTTCCAAAAATGTTACGGAATTTCTAGACTTTTGTGACTTACAAAAAAGTAAAGTTATTATACCCGATGAATAAGTGAGGTTTAACCGTGGCAAAGGATTATTTTCTCTACAAATGTGGATGAGGAAAGCTCATTACTATCGCATTTATGAAAAAAAATATCTTTTCATTAGGGATTCTTTTTTCCAATTTCGTTGCCTTCGTCATATGTTTTAAATTGGATTTTCACCCTACGTTGAAATTGACATAGTATAAGTCCAAGAGTCTAAACTTATTTTGTTACAGTTATAAATATCCGAATTTTTAAAAGCATTAAAATCTTAGTGAAACTATTCGATAATTTAACTAAATGAAAATGCATACCTCATATTTGATAATATTAAATCTCAACGTCACTAGTATGTTTCCTAAAACTAATGAAAACTCGATTTTTAGTAACTGAAATTTAAAAAATCGCTAAAATTTGAGAATAAATATTCGCTGATTTAAATTATATTCAGAGTTGCCGTAAAATTAATTGTTTTCTTTTTCTAATATTTTTATAATATTTAAGCCTAAGGCGCTAAGTAACTTTGTTATTTATATTTTAATCAAATGACCAGTAACCAAGGCTTGATTTAGAAAACAACAGAAAATTAGTTGAATAGATGTATTAATAGATATTTCTGATAAAAAATGTGACAGTTACGCCGTTAAGATGTGAATAAAAATTATAAACGCTACTCGGTCCTTTGTTGAAAGAAAGTAATGAATACTGCATCGAATGATGTTATCGACAAAGGCAAAGAGCTTTTGCCGTCGAAAAACTCGCGATAGGAGAAAAACCGAATACGCGCACACGAAATCAGTACTCGCACTCTAGCCATCTCCTGTATTTATTTGTCGCGCACGACTGGCTTATTTCGAGCGAGAGCGAATAATACTTGCAGCCAAACTAAAAGAAACAAAGTGTACGTAGCGCCAGGCCGCCCCCTAGCCCTGAAAAGAAAGAAAGAAAGCGACGCTGTCTAAAACAACAATAAGCGTAGACAGCTCTCCCCGGCAAATAGAAGAATTGGAAAGTACGGTTTTCGTCCTCCCTCGTTTTTCGACAATAATTCCATCAGCGCCGATTTGTATGGCGCACGACTAGCGTCCATTTAGAAGTCGTACGATTCCCAATGGAGGAAGAGAGTGGGGGTGATAGAATTCGCGCGGGCCGTGGCTGAGGAGAATTATCATGATAACGGCGAGGCCCGCGCGAATCCCTAATGCATTGCCAGCTCCTCGCTCGGCGCGGTTGCAGCGCGCGACGACCAGCCCTTGCGCGAATTTTCGCTCGCCCTGCACTCTTCCTTCGTGGCTGTTTTTATCGCTTATGATAATACGAGGCCACGCAGCGCGCCCAACGCGAGAATATGCTGATGACCTCGGCGAGAGAGAATATGCCTGGCTGATTCTGATTTGCTTCTGTGTTATGGAGCTTTTGTGCAGGCGCACGGCTTTGTGCGCTGCCTCTCTTGTACGCACCTGTTCGCGTATGAATTTTTCACTTCGCCCGTTCTAATTTAACGTACGAATGATGTTCGAATAAAAACCGATGGAGGTCAGGATTGCTGTTTGTTCTACCACTCTTAGATAATCCGAGAGATTTTAATGGAAAGTGATTAGTCATCCGGATATAAAAAAAAAGAAAAAAAAATACAATCGAGCACTCTGAGCGATGGTCCGCGTCTTTGGATTAGGCACAGAGATCGCGTAAGGGTTTCGCTCTGCGAGCGTGGCCTTAATGCCGTTAAGGTGTGCGGCATGTTAGAGCAGCGGCGATAGGCAGCATTGCAAGCGCGCCTACAGCGTATAGGTACACGGAAAGGAGGCCGAGTGAGCGGAGTTGGAAAGTCTGCTGGCGCGCTACGCTGCGAGTATGCCTGGCCGTGTTCGTGCTGCTGCATGAGCCGGCTTCGACGCCGAGTCAGAGCTATAGAGCCGGCCAGTCGCTTCGCGCGCTTCCACCCGCTCGGAGCTCCCTTCGTCGGCTCTCGTACCGACGGGTTCTCAGTGTACAGTTCTCGCAGTGTGCTTTTTTCTACTGGTGCATTTATCATCGAGATTTTATTTTTGTTGAGCGTCTGCGTTTGGTTCGGATTATACTGTGGTGAAGGTCAATTGAGCTTTCTTTATATCGATCTGGTATCGTTGAGTGTGACCAATATATAAGAAGGTAAGCATGAGTTGACACATGCATGCGCGACGATCGGTTTAGAAAGTTGCATCGGATGGCTGAGCTAGCTACGGTGACGCGCTTTTTAGGTGCGCACTTGGCCGTGACACTTCATATGACGTGTGTCACGGCACTGCGAAATGGTAATCGATAGTGCTGGAATGGCAATACATTATTTTTTTCTTGTAATTATTAATTGCAAAGATAAAAGGAATACATTTTTAAAAAGTATAACGATACTAGTGTGCTGACTGTAGTTCAAACGAATATCGAAGAAATAATTTTTGCTTTGCAATTTCCACCTGAAAAATAAACGAAAAAATTCCTCATTCGCTCTGACGTACGTGCACTTATAAAGTATTAAAATAATTTACGCCGACATAGTAAATTGAATAAAAAAGAAATTAAGGTTGGAAAAAATAGCAGGTCTACAGCCGGCATATAACGCAAGTATCTCATACCCAGACGTACGTACGAATGCTTCATCCGAAATCAGATAGCTTAATCGTTTATTCTCGCGGCCTATACGTTTATTCGTTTCATTTGCGCGCGATTATATTCGCCAAGCGCGCGTACACTCGACTGTCAACAACCTCTCTCTCTCTCTCTCTCTCTCTCTCTCTCTCTCTCTCTCTCTCTCTCTCTCTCTCTCTCTCTCTCTCTCTCTCTCTCTCTCTCTCTCTGTCTGTCTCGCTGCGTCGTAACGGAAATTCGGCGCAAATTGAACGCTCATTTTACACGGGATCAAAAGAATTAAAGAGTACGCGCGCAAACGGTATACGGCACTAACGTGCCGCTCGCGCACAGCGTCGCTTAGTAGAACAGACTGCGTGTGCTTTGTGCGGGATTCTCTTGTATAAAGTGGCGGTCTCATCATCGCTCACAGTTGCGCTCGCTCTTCTTGTTCTGCAATTTGTCAGCGCAGTTCGCGCAACCATGATCTCCGACAGCTCGCGGTTCTGAGCGCCGGAGTGATTCCCTTTGGCGATCGCCTTGTCCAAAGGACTCTGACCACTTGCTTTGAGCCGCACGTTTGCAAATCAGTCTTGCTGTTTCCCTTTCCTTTTTCGAGCCTGAAGGACTTCCACTCTCGGCGAGTGTTTGTTTTACTTTTCAAAACACTCTTGACTGTCTGCAGTTGGTGTCTCGTTGCCGAGGAAACTTTGACGCGCGACGCAGCGACAGAGAGGCATTCATCTTTCCTTGAATATGATAACTTGGTTTGGGTTTCTCGTGTCGCGCGGAAAAATATACAAATTTTGAATGCAAGCTCGCTGTATTTATACCGGGGCTATTATTGCGACATCAGATAATCCGTTACCGCTGCTACGTTTATCCGCTGGTACTTCGTCGAAAGCTCTGCCGTATTTTAATTTCGCGCCAGAAACAAAAAGAAACATGGCGATGACCGAAAAAAAAGTAGATAAGGTATCGCGCGAGCCGAGTAATCCTTTCAAAACAAAATTGCTATTTTTAACGCTCGGCCGACGGAACTGGTTTCCCGCGCGCCAACGCAAATAACATTCACATGCGAATTGCAGTATAGAGCCGCGTCCATAATCAAAAGTCCGTTTCCATTTGATACCTGGTGTGGCACACCTTGAATTTTAATTCTCACGAAACGTATATAGGCAAGGGGAGAAAATTCTTTAATTTACACCCGGCGTAATAAGTCGTGATCCCTTTATAATTAGAGCCACAATCTTACCACATATAGTAACAACCCTTTTTCGGGATTTGACATCGGCGACCAACATACAGCCTACAACTCCATGTAGCGTCATTTGTAATAAAGTATAATTGGCTGAAATAATTGGGGTGTCGTAGGCATCGTGTCTATAAGAAAATTGCGGCATTTTCTGTAGGTAGCGATAGACATGCCGATGCTTATTGCGCAAAGCTGTTTACTATATAAAAATGAGGCGGTGAATTGAATTAAATTTCAACACGAGAGCTCTGGTTACATAGTACAAGTAAATGTCCCGGAGTGAGTGTCTTGCTGTAGTAGTCGTTCATACTTTTGGAGAAGTGTATCGGTGGTAATTAATTGAATGTCGGGTAAATCATTATGGTTATACGTTGTATCATACGTTCCTTCTAGGTAATTACAACGTGACAAAGAGATCTACTACTTTATGACACTCTCTTAATTACTTTGGACGCGGTGGTCACGGTAGGCATACAGTTATAATTCGCCACTCGTCATTATAATAAATGATTCATCGAAACTTTGCGAGATAGCACACAGTGGAAAAATCGCGTTCACTATTCGTGCGCACATACTGCTTTTACTTGTTGTTTACAGAGAAAACAACGATGAATTGCTCTCGACCATATAACACCTATAAAACACAAAAAAAAAATTAAGGACCGACGTCGTGAACGTTTGTTCAAAGCGAGCGTGTCAATGTCAGTTTTTGTTCTATTCGTGTAGCCGCAACTTTCACGCGGCATACGAAAGCAACAATAACCAAAGGAAGGTATCTCTCTCCTACACACTCGTGCGTGACCTTAGCGCAGGTGTACGTGCGAGTTTGGAGACGAGACCGAGAGAGTGAGTGAAAGACCATCGGCTTTGGATACCGTTATCGGACCGAACCCGCACGACGGCATTCCTTTCTCTCTCAGCGGCAGCAGCACGGCACCTCAACTTTACTACTACTCCATTTAAATCTCCGCGCGTGCGGAGACTTCTGTCTCCCTCCCTCTTGTTCGATTAATTACATGCTGGTGCGCGCATGTACAGGGTAATACCGATACGTATTCATTCAGGGGGGATCCACTGTTATTCGCTGTTTCTACGATTAGGCTCTAGGCAGCGGATCAACGTTCGTCTTGTTTTATCCTTGGTAATGCGTAATTTACGCAACGGGTGTTCAGTGACTCGGCATCGTTTGCATCCTTCCTTCTGACGGTACTGCGGACGGATAGTTTCGATAGTATATCGCTTTAATAGCCTCTCAAACCAGTGCTTTAGAACGTCTAATATATCTCTGCTTTTCTCGACTTATTTCCGACACATCCACGAGAACTTGTCAAGAAAAACATTTCTGTAGTTTCAGCGATTATCATTAAATTTATTTTTCACCATTTCATTACTAATTTATAATCGAAGAGAATCATTCGATATCATTCAGTAAAGTGAAAATTAATCAGTATTTGCATTCAGCGGGCACAATTCATTATGTAATTATCAAAATCGTATATCAGCATGTAACTCACTATATAATAAGCAAAATTATAGCTATCGGAAAATCGGAAACCTAACTGTGTAATAAACTTATGAAATGTTGGATTCAGGAAGTGAGAGCGTTACAATTTTGTTACACAGCATGTGAGACGTTATCAGGAGTGATCAAGCTAAACTCGTTCTTATTCTCTTTGTATTCCATTTTTGTTCTCCTTCAAATTGGTCATACCTGCTGGATTAAAGAGATATTAAAATTCTGAAAACATTGTCGCGCTATAACAAGTACTGGCCAGACTAAGGCTTACGTTGTAACTAAAGCGCCACTTTCCTCGCGAGGTTGTAAATTAACTTTTTCTTTTTGTACGCTAAAGAAAAGAATACGACCGGTCGATTGAGAATAGGTTTATATCGTGGCAATAAATTTTATCTTACTGCGCCGATATACAATTTATACAAGCGGTACAATTAATTTTATGCGACTTGATATCACGCACAGCCTGTTTTATTATGATTGAATGACGTTATGTAAATACGTTCAACCACGATTAGCATAACGAATATTAATGCTGCACAAGAATCAGCAAATAATCATTGCACAACTTCGATGGCGCTGCAAATTCAGTTGAATAGACGCATATTTGACGAATCGCTTGCGATACGTATAAAAAAAAATCAATTTCCAAACGCACGGCGGAAGAGGTGGAATACATGTGTATACGTATCGCTCCCACGAATTTCATACTTTGGCTTAGCGCTCCCAGCGTGTGACACGAGTGCCACACAAAACAAACATCCTCGAGAGCCCTCGCCACGTAGCGCACACGTCGTTGTCACTCGGTCATCCCGATAAAAGTCACGCGCGGCCAAGTCCTTTCCTGTGTCGCCGTGTGATAGTACCGAATGTGCTTGCAAGTATAACGTGCGGGCGCGCGCAGTAGTAATGTAAAAAACTTGTCGACCGGTGCTGTTTTGAATAAGACGCGAGAGAAAACAGCTGCCGGTACGTATAGGCCTGCCGAGCGCCAGATTATAGTGGCTTTTCTCCTCGGGACGGCGTTTTACTTTTGTCCGCGAGATCGACTCGACATTTACCTTGCAGATCAACAAATCAAGCACAATAGCTCGTTTTCCATTTTTATTTCATTTTCAAGCGATCCTCGACGGACCATGCTTGCAAAGTTGATAGATCGACTGGGAAATAAAGTTGTTGCTTCGGCAGGTATCATTTGCCCGCTTGGCCCCACCCCTCGATGCGGTCCCTATTGTTCCAATATTGAACCATCCATCCGACTGCAGGCGTACTTTTCTTCTCGGCGGCTTTACATCCGCGAGCAGCGGCGGCTTAGTGAAAAGCATGTCGGCAAACAGCCGCTGGAACACAAGAGCGTAGAGACGTACGTGCGCGTGTAGTACAAGAGAAAAGCGAGAGTAAAGAGCGCGTGCACTTGCTTCTCTCTCGCGCGGCGAGGAAAAGCGTGTAAAATGTGACGCTCAGTCACGACGACGAGTGAAGTGGATAGACTTTGCGTTGCGCTCGTTAGAAAGTCGAGGCAGTCGAAGATGAGGGGCTTCGATCAGTCGAGGACGATTTGGCGATGAAAGCCGCGCTCGCCAGATCGGCTTCGTTTCAATTGGTTAGATCTGATGGACTGATTTGCAATGGTTTCAAACGATGCTGTGAGCTTTGAGTTGACAATCTATGCATGTGGAACTGTTACGAAGGGTAACTTTAATTTGTTATAATGGGACGCGCGGAGAACTACCGAGAATTTTTAGAGCGAGTCATTAACGTAAATTATCATCAGTTATGGACCATATGTAGATACTTCAGCTCGATTGTTGTGTACGTACGTTCAATCGATGATTAATAAAGGATTATTATGGTCGTCGTTCCGGATATTTTTTTTTATTTTGCGCGGGTTTTATCACCGAGGACAGAGTACTTGTGCGTGCATTGTTAAATTATTATCGACGAAGTCTCAATTGCTTTTTACATTAACTTGACAAGATCGCGACTTTATAAAATTAAATCAATATTGAATTTTGTATATTCTCAAAATTACGACTTATTCACGTAGTCAATTTAACTAGTTATTAGGGGGAAATTACTCGCTAATTGTCTTTGACGCATAACTGCAATTAGTTGTGAGATTTGTTTTTTCTTAAATTCTGAAAAATATAAAAACGCTCGCTCTCCAATTAAAACTTCCAATTGAAAATTTACCGCGCTGATTCCTAGAACATTACTAAGTGTGCGGTTGCCAACAGCAAGCGCGCTTTCAACGACTCTCCTCTTTTTTTTCTTGTCCTTTTTGGCTCGCAAAGCTCTCTTTAGCAGGCGGTATTTCCAGGCCGTCGAGTACGCCTATTCGCTTTAATAAATGCGACAACGATAATTGGCGAACATGCGCTGATCCGCCAATTAATGAGCTAGCCATTTATATACGGAGATGCATAAAAGGACGATCGACATAATAAGCGATTTCCACAGATTGTGGCCGTTCTGAATTTTCTCAAAAGGAATGGCGCATTGACAAGTCTGTTTTGTTTTCCTCTTTTTTCGCGCTTCAATGGATATAATCGAAGGTCACGCGTGCGCACCTCAAGAAAGGGGCTTAGTGAAATTTAATTACATCGCCGGAGGTTTTCGTATCTGGGCTAAGTAGGTTCTAAGTAGGTCCCTATAAACTCGCCGAGTTCGTTGGATCAGTTTTCACTTTGTTTTAGACTTTGGAGTAACTCAGAGACGTCGAGATACAGTGCAAGTTCGAAATCAATTTAGAGTCTATTGAAATTGGACTAAGATCAGCCGCGACGCGGCTGAATAGAATATTGGCACCTGGATGTGTTTTATAATCGAGAGCAGCTTGAAGATAAACATTTCGAAAGTTGCGAGTATTACGTGAAAGATGTTGTATACTTGTGTGTATACACAAAAGCCTTCGTGCAGGAAGAGGTCAAAGTAACAAGTTATACAACACGCTAACTTAATTAAGAGCGAGACGAGACGGTCTTACGTAATATTTATTACATCAAAAAAAAAAAAAAGAAAGAAAAAAAAAGCATCAGCCACTGTCGCGCACGAAACTCATTGGTATTGTTGGTATTGTAGGTAGAAGAACAACGACAAGAATTAGCCGTGCCTCAAATATGTTTGCGCTCATGAGTCGAGGGCGACAGGTTCATTGCTCGAAATGTCCTTGCGAAATGAAAGTGTACAAAAGAGTATCGCATACAGCGCACGGCTCTGCGCGAGATCGTGCATTGAATGTTTTCTCGGTCAGGTGTGGCAGCGAGATACCCCCCGCGCCTGCTGTCACGTTCCCGCGCAACCAATTGTTTGTGCAGCTACTTGCTATCTATACGAGGCTTTTGGCGAATGTATATTTTGTGGGCAGAAGTAATGGGCTTGGCAGATTAAATGCACCTTCTTCTTTATTTTACTTCTAGAGATATCATGGAGTTTTATTCGCGTAAGCTCACGCTCAAACATAGACTTAATGATTCCCAAGAACCATTGTTTGTGTAAACCATTTGAATTGTAATTTCGATACGATTGCCAGCGGGATTCACATATTTGCCATTATATGGAAACGCAAACATGTTATTGTCGATACTAAAAAGCGCAATATGAAATGCGTAAAATTTCAAGGTCTGTTTGCTGTTAATTAAAAACGATAATAAACGTTGTCCTGATATGTATACTTTCAACGTCAAGGCCTTTAGACTCGCTTGAAAATACCCGGCAATGTCGCATAGTCATGAAATTACAATTTTTCCCGGTACATCCTTGTAACATTTAAGTTCTATTTATATTTTCTCTCGACCTGTAAACTACTGAAGTACAATATTCCTCCGGTGAAACAGCGCAAGCCCGAGTACGCGTCTCTCTGTCGACTACTTCAATATCAAAGCTGATGATACTAGAATGCGTGTATGTACTCGACACTCGTTTCATTATTACGACCTTTAAGCCTCGCTTTCTCTCTTCTTCGTCGCTCGTCCTCGAAATTGAAAATCGACTATTTCTCTCTATGCTATAAACAACAAAAGTGAAAATAAACTGAAGATAAAAATTGATCATGGCATTGTTCCAGGCTAGTGCGGAATAGTGTGCCGCAAGGCGGGAAAGTGGAGCAGCAGCAGCAGCAGCAGCAGCAGCAGCAGCAGCAGTTGGAGTGGATGGAGAACATGACCATCACGTGAGCGTCGCCGCCGCGTCAAGTTTGAGAGTTCAGAGATCTCGACGTGCGAGTAAGTGATCGAGAGGCAAAGAAGACAAGGAAACGAGGCCGATTTCGGCCTTTGATAAGCTTGCCGATATGGAGACCGAGGAGCTAACCAAACTCGTCGATGACATCTACAAGGTAGGTGAACTTCCAGCCCCATTATCGAGGAAAACAATCATTCGCAGTTTTATAAAACATCGGACGGGGAGCTGCGTGAAAGTTATCGTTTGACAAAAAGTACACAGACTCCGCCTGTGCGTCTACATGCTAATAAGGAAAAATAATATTCATCATATCCACACGTTGTGCTACCGGATGTTATACTATTCTGTGGGCCGCATAATAGCGTGCTTATTATACGCCATGTCATGAATAAGCCAACGACATCCCTCGTTAGAGCAAAGCTTGTCTTCGTGAGCGTGCACGTCGCAGCACGTGCGACCTGATAAAAATGTTATTCAATGATCCACAACCCATAAATAATCGATCGCGCCTCCCGCGAAATAATCAGCTCTCTGCGATCTTCGAGAGGCTTAGAGGAGCTGTCGGCAATCTTGATACGATCCACTAAGAGGCCATTTCAAGTATGTAACGACGACGACGACGACGACAGCAGAGAAAATAATTAGATAGCATGCGCTGACGAAATACGTGCACCTATTCACTCCTCAGGAATCAATGAAGGATGAGCTTTATTCTCGTTGAAAACTAGAACTTTGATGTTGCTCAGAGTTCATAGGTGTAGTTCAAATGATTTCTAGCTAGGTAAACTTTGTTTGAATCAACCTGCCAAGTTTAATTACATCACATCGTTGAACCAAAAATCGTTACGAATTATAAAAGCCGCATATCAATTTCGGTTCAGCGATCGGCGAGCAAACCTGTTAAACCACTGTTCGAGTAACTCGGGGAGGAGGGCGACACGGATAATTTGCAATAATAAAGAGAGATGAAGATAATACGTTGCGTACATGGGGAATGCGACGTATGCTCCGCGGTGGCTGATAATAATGGGGCGTAGGACGCGCGCGTGGTTGGTATATCTATAGTATCAGCACGGACTAGCTCTCTCTCTCTCTCTCTCTCTCTCTCTCTATCTCCGCTTGCGATGTATACATAGTTCGGGCTACGTATACCGTATGCCGCGGAATTTGCCGATAATTAGGTGTCACAGCACGGAAAATTATCCTCCTTCTCGTTTCAGGACCATTAGCTTGCGTACGAACACGGCCTGGAAGTAATCCGTGCGCGGAACTTTCACGGGCTCGCGACTTCTAATACACCTCTCCAGCGTCTTTGAGCCGCGCTCTTTTTCCTTTGTCGAAGCATCACGGTAATTCCCTCGCTGTAACACGTAGCCCATTAATCTTCATGAAGAGTGAATTTGCAAAGCTCGAATGCGCGCGGCGGATGATATATATGTCGTGAGCGGATCGGAAGCCAATTAATATCCGATACCCCACCTACCCCCCCTGGTCGCGCGGAGAGCGCAGCAACTTCCCTCGCCATCGCGACGACCCTCCTCCCTCGCCATCGCACGATTATGTGATATAGCGACTGCGACCTCGAAAACACATTGCGGCCGACCTGAATTATCGTTGCGACAGCAGCGGGGAGCGGGTTTTTATTTATTGTCAATTATAATCCCGCCTACCCCTCGAACAAAGCCGAGGCCTTCTTCGTTGAGCGATGACGTTTAAGTGTGGGGGCTGTCGGGCTCAATTAACCGAGTGCAAGTTCTCTCTCTCTCTCTCTCTCTCTCTCTCTCTCTCTGTCTCTTTCCATTTCCTTTTTTCGTGCTTTCTCGAGCTGGTTTATACTAGTGATGGGATGTTGCTAGAGTTTTTTGTTGTTGTACAAGCATATGTCATTTTAGTCCATTCTTGAGGCGATAATCTGGCAGCATTTCAACTGTTAGTCGAACGAAGCTCATCTTCGTAACGGCTAATATTCGAGATCTAGGTAGTTTGCGAAATCGCTGTAGATAGCGCGGCAAAATCGGAGGAGAAAGAGCGAACGCCGACGCGACAACGTCGTAGGGCTGGAAAGCGCGCTCGCGATTCAAATGCAAAATTCACTCGTAGTCCGCGCGAGAAGCTTTTATCAAGGTGCAACGCGCGGCGATAGAGAGCCTGCAAAATATTATTGACGGCGCGCGCGCATTGATCTGTCAATCAGCGATGCGCGACAGGCACGCACTGTACATACTGTCATGTAATACGCGCCTCGACGATCAATCTGTCACGAACTATGTTATCGTTACGCGTTTGCAATTCCTCGATACAACGCGCAGCGCAAACAAGCTCTCGCTGCGCCTCACTCCAACTGTGTTTTTTGCTTCCTTTCTCGTGCAATTTCATGAATTTCAAATTTTTCATCTCATCAGTATCGCGCAGATATTCGACGCGCTGCTACAACAACATCGCACAGCGTAACACTGAGTAAGCTTGGACGAGTGTCTTAATTATTACTACGGAGGGGCTAAATTTATGGAGTCGCTCGCAGCGGCAGTCTAGACGTAAAACAAGTTAGGCAGGAAATACGCGCATGAATAATATTTAATTCGACAAACTGCTTGATAAATTAGCAATTAGTTTTTTCTCTATGATACATCCATTCATTATCACGTCCTAAAGATTACAATTTCATAAAAGAATTTTTTTTTATAGTCTGTGTAATTCATAGTCACATAGATATACATTTTTAATATCTACTTGTCACGTTAGAAATGTAGATTCATGGTTCACGTGTTTCATAAAGTTGATAAAATGTAGATATACATATGGAAAAATTAATGGAAAAATTAATGGAAAAATAGCTGAAAGCCATACCGAATTCCATTTCAACGTACTAGAATATTCTTCGATTCGAGAAAAGCATGGAACTGTGTTGAAAAAGCATCAATTATACGTGTCATAGTTTATGCGATATCCGTGGGTTCGTCTGACATTCCTCTCCGAAGAATCTGGGCTCACATGGACAAACCAAATGATAGTCAGTGAATCTCATTTTTCACTGAGAAGTCGCACCCAAGAGAGAAAAACGGAGAGAAAGTGAGGGAGAGGTAATACTTGGATCAACGCCAGATCAGAAGAGGTAACGCACGTGCAGATTCGGGCGCACGCGCGTTAATTCAAATTTTTCGAGGTCCGGTTTTTCAACAATTGAGAATCCGCTCTAAAAGATCGTTAAAGATATTCATAAAATGTTACGGCATACGTCTGCGTGAATGCATAATGCTATACTCGGTGTCTTTGACCGCTACTGTCTCCATAACTGACGATTTTGTGATATAATGTTGCTTCACAGCGACGTTTGATTATGTTTCCCTGTCAATTTCGTTCAGCTTCGCAACGAATTAACGGCAAAAAATGAAAATTCAAATCCTCTCGCTTATCTACATATTTATGCGTTGTTTATTCAAGCGCAAAGCTTTTCACGTAGAATGGGGAGATTCGCATTGTCTCCACGAGTACAAAAAGATTAAAAGCCCGCGCGTGGCGAGAAAACAATGAACTGCCCGACTGTAATCTTCTCAAGTTATCTAGCCAGCCGCAGGTTAATTAATATCAACAAACAAATCCCGAGGTACCCTTTCTCATATGCACATACGTGTGCGCTGTAAACGTAAGGCTCTGTGTATACGAGCGGAGCTAGCTTTCTCCTTGATCTCGTGCTGAGCGTACATAGGATCGAAGGTTAAGTAGATCCCGAAATCCGTTTATCCGCGAGCGTATCGGGCTAATGTATCTCGTGTGCACACGCAAACCAAGTTTCCCCTAATTGGCTACCGCCATTATTTGGCTGTCGCTTCTGTCTTCACCTATAATCGCGCGCTGGCGCTCCTTTTACGCAAGCATACACGTCCATACGGAGATTCATCACTCGTGTTTAATTTTCGGTTGCGACCGCCTATCGAATTTCGTTCCGCTTGACTTCCTGTTCGATATCGCCGCACCGTAATTCGAGTCTCCAGGGAAAACGTAACGGTCACTTTTTTTTTCTTTAACGCGCTGTGTTGAAATCCGATGATAATGCGACGAGCGTTTTTCAGGTTATGCTCTGCGGTTTCGCGTGCGTATAGCAATGATGTTATTTTTTTCTTTTAATCTTGATTTTGAGGATTATTTACTTAGTTGGACACTGATTTGCTCTCATCGAGAGGACAAAAAATATCTTTGAAATAGCTGACGATCGAAGGTAGTACAAAAATGAGCTTAGATTAGAAAATGTGTCGATCAGTGAAACCTGCTTGATGGTCGTTAACTTATACGTAAGATTTTTAATGCTGGCAATGATCTTCCATTAAACGTTTACAACAATGACAGCACCATCGAGCAATTTCGCTCTAGTAAAAAATCTGCTCATAGCTTGCATTATGAAAAATAAGTAGTAGAAGTCGATTTGGTCAGACGCGTCCTTTTATTTTCGCTATTGAAATATTTTCGAGCTTATCTTATTCCTAAACAGAAAAGTCAAAAAAAACAGCTTTGCAAGTTCTGTACTCCCGTTACACATTTCTTTGCTGTGTTTCCATATAAATACGTCACATCAGAAAGCACATCAAGCGCGAACATCAGCCATTGTGTGTGTGCAGTATTGTGCATTCAAGTCGGCAAATAGAGCGGCACATTTCTCCATCAAAAGTAAACAGCAGCGGTATCACGTCGCCAGCGCCAATAGCAACAATCTTCGTCGGGGTACACTACGTCTTAGACATTGGCATCTCTCCAATCATAAGCTTATTTCCCCGGAGAGGGCCGTCGACGCCCGCAAGCACGCAGGCAGCTCGTCCATCCATGTAAATAACGCACGAGCCAGCAGTGCCACACGCGGTGAACTTGGCGCCGACCTACGATAATAGCCGCAATAACGCACCGGATGCTACACTGATTTTTGCTCGAAATCCTCAGCGCGCGCGCGAGCTGTTGTCTCGTCTGTTTGATCTACGGAAACGTCCTTGCGACGGGAAATACATTCTGCGAGAGATATTTGCTTTCGTTATTATACCTTTATTTGTTCTGTTAACGGATGACAAGGGACTTACTAACCGTGAATTCACTGTACAATAAAAATGAAACGATGCGGATTTCAAATTAATAATAAAAGAGAAAAACACCTATCTGCATATGTAAATA